CCCACTTTAACGACCCTGACTCTCCTTTGTACAGACAGTACAACTTTGTCAAGCCTTGAAGCCCTTCCAAACTGTTGGCCCTTGACCCGGGAACGGTACTGGTCCTCTCTAAAGTAACGATGTGCATAGGCACTCTCCACCTATCTCCCCTCAACACCAGTCAGTAGTGAGCGCTGCTTCAGGTCACTCCACAGCGAGGGGGCGACAGTTCCTTTGGTACGAGGAATGAGGTAACCCGCCCTCTGCAGACCCGCTCAAACCCGCCACGATCCATCAACCGCTTTCGGGGGGGGGGCCAGAACCTCTCCCGAGGACGCGTGTTCAGGAACGAAGAAAGGTTGGGCACGAGGCCATTGATAGGAATATGATAGAGGGTTAGATTGTAGGTGGCTGAAATATTAAGCCCCTACTGTGAGTTCACAGACAATATAGCACATGTTGTGTCTTCTTGTAGATCTCAGACGCCGTAGACATCATCGATCACAGGCATGTTTTTCCCCTTGGGCCGGAGCATCCATCTGGATGGAGGGATGGTAACTTTGTTAGTCATCCGTTTGAATACGGCCTGGGTGTAAGTCCATAGGGCGAGCTGGACTTGGAGGCGGAACAAGGACCAAACAAATGGTAATAATCAATGGTGGACTGTGATTCGCCTATGGGCCACTGCCCAGGATTTCCAAGCAGCAGCTCTGTAATAATGTGATAATGCCATACCATACCTTACCAGCCAGTTCTCAAAGGTCTCAAGTTCATGACGATCCCAAAATACCGTACCGTACCACATTCCCAAGTCCAATTCCCACTTTTCCAAAAAAAGACGCGGTCCCTGAGACACCCTCACTGAACTTCTTACTGGCAGAACTCCGAACTGCCTGCTCTCCAAAGAGGCAAAAACGCTAGTGCCCCATCCCCAATCCTACCCCCATTTCTGAACCCTCTCCTCCCCTTCTCCCTCCCAAGTCCCTTTCTCCCTTCTCTAGGGAAATCAAAACCTCAACTACCCAACTCCTCCCCCCCCCGCTCTTCTTGGCCCATACTGTGTGTGTTGCCAGTCCGCTCGCTCTATCCACCCCTTGAGGTTCCGACTAGTACAACCGACAGGACTCCCGCCTCCCGTTGACCGTCAACTCGCTTCTCTCTCCCAACTTCGACGACCCTAGCTTCTCGACTCTGGCAGGAATTTGCTGCGTCGCCTATTCTTTGGGACTCTTTGTCCACCGACTTTCATTCATATTCTTCCATTCGACGTTCTAGACAACGCCCGACTGTCTGCAAAACCCTCGGTTCTCCTTGATTCCTCGACCCGCTCCGCGACAAAACTCCAATGACGCTGCAGTGACCGGCCTCCCTCGAATCCATCTCCACCACTACAACTCGCACAAAAGCATTGATCATTGAATCGCCGCAACATCCTGCGTCATCTGGAATTCACCGCCGGTCCCACCGTTTCCGCCGAACCTTCTCGGCCGCAGGCTGTCCGCATCCGGCGACTACCAACGTGGTACTCTGGAGTACCGCTCTGAACACTCGCCGTCATACTCTGTCCCTGTTCCAACCCTCATCTTTCCCGGTCGGCTGATCGCTTCTTCCGACCTTCTCTCCTCCATCAACCTTAAACGCTCACTCGCCAGCATGAGGTTGTTATCACTTCTCACGTTTTTCGTCGCCTTTCTGGCGCCGCTAGCGTCCGCTATCAAGCTCCTCGAATCCAATGCGTTGAATGTGTGCATGGAAAGTAGTAATTTCACTGCGACATATTTCAACGTCGTTTTCTATCCTGGAAACAACTCACTCACGATTGGGTTCGATGGTGTCTCCTATATTTCGGGCAAGGTCGAGGCCGAAATGACCCTGACGGCTTATGGTTACAAGGCGTATTCGAGCACGATTGACCCCTGCTCGATCGAGGGCATGGGAATGTGTCCGATGGCCCCCGGTCCCATTGATTTGGGCCCAGTTTCGCTCTCGCTTCCCGCGGGCACTTCTGCCAAAGTTCCAGGTGAGTCGCATAGTCGAAATGTATCAAGGAGATGTGAGTGCTAATCGCAGGAAATCCTAGGCATCGCCTATACTGTTCCCGATCTCGACGCGAACGTACAGATCGTGATCAAGAAGAAGGACACTGGTGAAAAGATTGCTTGTGTGGAGGCTTCGCTTTCCAATGGCAAGAGTGTGTACCAACTAGGCGTGGCTTGGGTGACTGCGATCATCTCAGGTTTGGGTCTGGCCGCATCCGCCATTACCTCCGGTCTAGGTCACTCTAACACGGCCGCTCACGTTGCGGCGAACGCGCTGTCTCTCTTCGGCTTCATGCAAGGCCAGGCCATGATTGGCATGATCTCCGTTCATATGCCTCCAATCGTGGAATCGTGGACTCAAAACTTCCAGTGGAGTATGGGTATCATTCACGTTTCTTTCTTGCAAACAATTTGCACCTGGTACCAGCGCGCAACGGGCGGTACTCCCTCGACTGTTCTTTCGCAACTGGGCGACACCTCCGTGGAAGTCCTCAAGCGTCGCAAGCGTGATCTCATCGACCCTACGGTCAACCTGATCAAGCGAGCTACTGGTCTCATCTTGAAACGAGATAGCTCGAACCAAAAGCTCATTGTGGTGCGAGGTATTGACCGTGTCGGTTTCCGCGCCAACATTGAAGAGACCAACATTTTCTTGACTGGTCTGATCTTCTTCGTCGTTTTCGTCTGCTTGGTGGTTATCGTCGTCACGTCCTTCAAGGGCATCTGCGAATTCCTTGTCAAGCACGGCAAGATGAAGAGTGATAAGTTCCAGGACTTCCGGAACGGCTGGAAGGTCGTCACTCGCGGTATTCTCTTCCGTCTCACTTTGATCGGTTTCCCCCAAATGACTGTTCTCTGCCTGTGGGAGTTCACTCGGCGTGACTCGGTAGCCGAGGTTGTCTTGGCTGTGGTTATGATTGTATCTTTGCTCGTTGCCCTTGGTTGGGCCGCGCAGAAGGTCATTCGCCTCGCCAAGCGCTCCGTCACCATGCACAAGAACCCGGCTTACATTTTGTACTCGGATCCTGCCGCCCTGAACAAGTGGGGCTTCCTCTATGTGCAGTATCGCGCCACGGCATACTACTTTGTTGTCCCGTACTTGGCCTATATCCTGGTCAAGGGTATGTTCATTGGTCTCAGCCAGCCAGCGCCAGTTGTCCAGACTGTCGCCTTGGTGATCCTCGAGGCTGCCATGCTGGTCGCTGTTTGTGTGATGCGCCCATGGATGGACAAGAAGACCAACATTTATAATATCTCGATCGCCAGTGTCAACTTCCTCAACGCTATCTTCTTGCTGGTCTTCTCGGATGTGTTCAATCCCCCTGGCATGATGATCGGTGTCATGGGAGTTGTCTTCTTTGTGTACAACGCCGCTTTTGCCCTGGTTCTGCTCGTCCTCGTTTTGATCGCCTCGGTGTACGCCGTCGTGTCCAAGAACCCGGATACCCGTTACCAGCCTATGCGGGACGACCGCGGATCTTTCATCAAGTCCCAAACCCAGCTGACTACCGAGCTGGACGCTCTTGGTGCGACCGCCCGTGGCGACATGAAGAGCGGCAACGGTTATCAACAAAATCCATTCGATGACGATACCGCTTCCATCTCCAGCGGCACCGGCGTCACTGGTCACCACCACAACAACCTCGATGCTGCCAACAGCGCTCAGAATCTGAACCGTCACCAGCCTCCTCTGTCGCCGGTTGATCCGTCAGTGCCGCTCTTCCCAAGCAATGCCTCGACCCACTCGGCCAGCCGGGGGCCGCCTCCCGGCTACGACCAATATGGCCGATCCGCATCGCCCGCGCCGCGGAACTACGACAACGCCCCAGTTGGCGCATCCGCGCTAGCGACCACCTACAGAGCGCAAAACAACGCCAGTCCCTGGCAAAGGGGAGCTGGCTACGACCACTAGATGGGGTGGCTTGTCTGCATTGGTTTCCTGATTTTATTTTCCACCTGAGATGAAGACATGTGATTTTTAGCGTGGGACAGCGATGGTCTATGATCCTTTTCCATCCGCCATCCTTTTGGGTCCGGTATCTGTTTGAATTTTGAATCTCTGTCTAACTGCGCTTTTATATCGTTGCCCATTCGTGGCTTGCCCCCTGTTCTCGACTACACCAGTTCTCCTTTCTTTTCTCTCTTCGATTCTCCAATCCACTGCTCAAGGGCCGTGCGATTTGTCTTTTTCTTCCACCCTCTTTTCCCTCCCTACAACACCTTCGTCTCATCTGTCTCAAAACTTACTTTTCTCCTCCCCCATCTTGACGCGGGGAGTTACCCTCGTCTCGAGATTGACGTGTACCCTCTTCTTCTTGTTTCCTTTGGTCCTTTTCTTCGTATTTGCTCAACCTGGCGTTCTGATGCATCTTGGTTATGGAGATCTGGCCTTGGGGTTTCTCGCGGGCTTCGGAATATACATTACTTTCCTCTTTTCCTTTCATTGCGTTCCTGGTTTCGATTCTCTGGATCTATCGCGTGACATGTACGCTATGTACTCGGTGAAAGAAGTAGTCCTAGTGTCTAAAAGACGAGACGTGTTCGTCTCGCATTCTCGTGGAATCTCAAGCTGTCGTCCGTCCAAACTCTAGCTTTCCTTTATGCATGTAAATAAGTCTTGCGGCATAATTAGATGTAAGAATGACTTGTGTACCCGAACGCCGTGTTTTATTCGTTTAAGCATAATGAACCCAGATAGCTGCTGGAAAAGAGGAATCCATATAGCAGCCATCTCAGGATCAGGACTTGAGATAAGGGGAAATCAGAAGACGCTATTGTACAGAACCAGCGAAGAAAGCTCCCCTCCGCACTGAGAAAGGGCATTTGCATCTTCGCAAACACCTCTGCCCTCGCATGGCAAGAGGCATCACAGCATCTTCCCGAAACACAACGTGATCATGACTGAGACCAGGTATTGAACCGATAGATAAGAAAAGAAGTGAAATGAAAACGCAAGAAACCAGCATAACACCTTAGAATAAATCACCACCGATCTCCCCGACCAGGAGGCGGCCCTCCACCAGGAGGAGGCGGGTACCCCTCCGATCCTCGCGGTCCACTAGGAATCGGCGAATCCGACGCACCATACTGTCCAGGCATCGGCGGAGGGAACGAACCTGCCGCGCCGGGTGGGGGGATGGGGAAATTCGGGAATCCGCCTGGTGGGGGTGGAGGCAGGTTACCTGCGCCGGGGGGCATGTTGGGCATGTTGGGGAGTGGTGGAGGGAAGCCGCCTTGGGGAGGGGTGCCGGAGGCGTTAGGCGGGAATGGGGGGAAGGGCATGCCGCGGCCGCCGGGGAGGACTGTCCATGGGTAAGATGGGTTAGCTTGTGGTGGGATAGGATAGGGAAATGAATATGGTTGTGGAGGTTGATCTGGCTGCTGGGATGGTCCTTGGGGATACGTACGAGGCGGCATTCCTGGGGCGCCTGGGGCTCCGGGGGTGGGATACCGAATGGTGGAGGGGGCACTTGGCCTGGATGTCCTGAGCAGACGGGTTGTTAGCCTGTCGTGTTTTGTGACGTGGTTATCGGAGGTGTGAAGTACCTGGGAAGCCGAATGGAGGCGGGAATGCGCCGGGGGGCACCATTGCTGGATTGGGTACGGCCTGGCCCTCTGCGGCGTAGGAGGAGGTGATAGAGTCAATGACTGATTGGGCCTTCTCTTGACCGATCTCTGCGTGGGTTGTTAGCTGTGTTCGGCAGTCTTGGTTGGAGACCGACGGTGTGGTTCCATTTGGGCGACATACGCTGATAGTATTCCACCACGTTGCGGAGGTGGTTGCGGCCGGAGTTATGCGCCTTGCGCACGCTCATCGAGTCGTGCGTGAGGTACACATCGCAGTAGTCGCCTATTGTGGTGTCCAAGAGTCAGCTGGCTGGTCAGAAATCCCGGGGTGGTTGTCATGGTCGTCGATATCAAAGGCGCCTTATATCGATCGCATTGCCGCGTTCGGGTCGGAATCGCGAGTCATGCACATGAGAGGCTGTGAGAGTTGGGGCGTGGATTGAACCTACAAAAGAGTTCACAGAATGTCAGTCATAATATCAAAGCCATGTAGAGGCAAGGGGGGACTTATATTTCGGCATCTTGCCAGCTTCTGCAAGCACTTAGCTGCAGTCGCGAAACGGACGAAAATTCCCGTTCGGAGTAGTTGTCCTTCGGCAGAGGTCCTGGTAGATCTTCGTGAGAGATCCTGCAATCCCAGATCAGATAAAATTTGTGAATGTCCCTGCGATGGCTCGAGATGTGGTAAACAAGAGTTAATCGAGGTAGTTGTGTTGCAAGGTCGTCTCCCAAGCTTCAATGGCGAGGGTCACCAAGGCGGTGTATGGGTGCAGAATGGAGCTTATCGCGCCCGCTCCGAAGGTTGATCGAATATCCATTCCATCATCCTTCAAAGCGAAATGAAACGGAATTCCAGTGTATCTTGAATTAAAAGTTTGGTGCAATGCTCTTCATTGTATTGTCAAATTTGCTCTTGTCTCCTTAGATCCTCGTCTCGAATCTATACCTTTGGCGCCTGTTTTTCTGATCACCCCCAACTGGACAAAGATATATATACCTCAGATAACACGTAGAGTGCTGGCAGGTAAAAGTCGCAATTGCTAGGTACCTATGTGCAACAAGGCTCATCACAATTATTCTATACCTTAGAGCTGAGCCCAAAGGATGGAAATACGGGTCTCTTCAACCCGTTCGTTAAACAGGGGCATGGATGATACTTCTTTTATACTCTTGAACAATTCTGGCCTCTAGGCTGGGTACCAACCTTCGTCAAACCTTCTGTTAGAGGACGCCAGGTTACCTATCTTTCAAAAGGTCCCGGCTTCTGGAGTTTCATCGGAGAATAGACACCAATTTTATCATGGAATGCCCTAAGCCCTCTGGTATGGCTATCGGCGTTTTGGAAACATCATGTTAGAGCGGACCGATGAGGAGGTGAATAATTCGGATGACCACTCCACCTACTGGTAAAGGGAGTGGCTTCCGTCGAGTGTATTCCGCAGGAACATGAGACAGGATTGTCAGTACGAACGGACTCCAGGCCAGATCTGGCTTGTTAGCCACGGGAGCTGGTAGTGTATCAACGAACCGTCGGATTTTGTCGCTCAAAGAGGGAAGGGAAGACGGCGAAAACCTATCAGCACATCATTTCGGCAATGCGAACAAGAGAATAGAGACGCTCTTATGATCACTGAGGGTGCCATGAGTTCGCTTTCTGACTCTATATATGGACGTATAGTCCGAACGTGGCTGATATCGACGAGTGAAAGCCGGCATCATATTCACAACATACTATCACTTGACTCGACTAGCGCTTCCTTATCATGAGTATAATAGAGCAGTAAATAGTCGAGGAATAAGGTATAAATGGGCACTTTTCAACATGGTTTCATACTTCATTTGACCGTTCAAACGACTCTCATCCCAAATCATCTTATTATTTTTTCTTATCCTTGAAGTTGATCATGACCACTATGGCCTCTGCTGTGTTCACCAACCCTCCAACACCGCCTCTTCCAGTTGGTCCCACCACGAAGAAAGCCACACGCCCTACCAACAAGATACCACAATCGTTGATTGATAGCGCCCGGATCGCTCACAAAGAGGCCTTTGACCCCAAGAAGCACCTATGCTTTCAACCCCCGAAAGAGTCTATACAATGAAGGAGATTGGCCTTGAGGGGCATGGAATCTCGTCAATTGCGGCATCCGAACCTTTCCCCCTGTTCACCATGGAGGCAATAAAGCAGATCCGAGCCGAAGTGTTCAGTGAGCCCGTCCTCCGAGATTGTCAATATACCTCGTCCTTTACCAAGAATATGATCCGGGGCATGGGCCGAGAGTAAGATTCGATTACCTTACATGAGTAAACTACGAATCAAGCTGATACAGTGATTTTCTTTGTAGACGTGCCCCGTTCTCCTGCGATGCGTGGACCTCTCCAGAACTCCTTGCTTGTGTTTCGCAAGTTGCAGGCATTGATCTTACTTGGTGTTTTGACTATGAGATTGGCAGCGTCAACATTTCGATAGAAGACCAGGATAAACAAAATGCCCACAATCAAGATCCAACTGCTTTTGCCTGGCACTACGATAGTTTCCCCATCGTGTGCGTGACGATGATATCGGACTGTGAGGGGATGACCGGAGGTGAAACCGCAATGAGAACACCGTCCGGGGAGATCAAGAAAATCCGTGGGCCGACAATGGTAAGTAACTATCCAAGGCATCTCTTAGTGTCTTCATCTAAGAGACATCTGACTGGCATCAAGGGAACTGCAATCATCCTTCAGGGTCGATACATTGAGCATCAAGCCCTTAAAGCTCTCGGAGGTCGCGAGCGGACTACTATGATCACTCCTTTCAGACCGAAATCCCCAATGATTCGAGATGAGAGTGTTCTAACAACCTGTCGAGCCATAAGCAATTGGTCTGACCTCTATCATGGGTATACTGAGTATCGACTGGAGCTTCTGGAAGAGCGTTTCCGTGCTAAATTGAAGGAGGAGAGAAGAAGAGAACAGGCCAAATGGCGCTTTGATGTTAGAGAGACGCGGAAGTTTCTCATGGAGCAGAAGCTGTACTTGGAGACAACTATTGCTGAACTTGTTGAAATGGAGGATATTGATTAAAATGTGAAGGATTTGGGCAATGCTAATACAAAGCTTCTGTATTTACATATTCCTGATTATAATACTATGTTCTTTTTGGAGCAGAAGACGCATTCTAGTGTTATTCTCTGGCTGCAAGACGAGTCGATTTTCCGACTGTCAGATTCTCTTGAACGGCGTTGCGTCCGAAGCAGCTCCATTGAACGAAACAGCCCGTTCGGGAATAGCCAGGGCAGCGGGTGCCAAAGAGAGGGCAATTAATAACCAAGAAAGCGACACAATCGTGAGGGATCCTTCTCGAGTGAGACAAGGTGGCAGGCTGTCGCAGAGCAGCCGCGAGGGAATATCAAGCTTTTATGGGTGGCCATACAAACACCACCGAGCAAGTCCGAACCCCGAACAGATCCTGGTGAAAACAAAGGATGATTCGCGAGATTCAAGCAATATATATGTATTGGCGCAGCCACCAAATAGTTCGCAGGGACCCTACCACATTAGTCGGATTAGGGTCTGCAGATGGAGAGATACCCGGGTTGATTGGCTGAGAGAAGTATAGATCGGCGCCACCAGATTGGGTGAACAATGAGTGTATCCAGGGATCTGCAGAAAAGGAATTCACTGATTCGTGAAAGATCTGGAAAAGAAAGAAAAAAAGCAATCAAACAGTAATTTCAAGCTTGTTGCCTGATCGATTTGAAGAATGCAGGAATATCTTTCAGCTGAGCGATACCTGAAGCGAATTTTGGCCTTTGGTGAAAGCTCTACGCCAATAAACGATGCTTCGGTTCTCACAGGTGCTCTAGTGCACGTAACTTTCACTGATACTGCTCTCAAGTCTCGCCGAGGGTAGTAGGCTTTTTCACAGAGGGCCGTGCCGGAAAACGAAAACTACGGATCGACGTGACAGACAATGTTGTCAGGGTACCATATCTTTGGGAGACAAGCATGGCCCTTTCCCCGTGATCGAGATAACGCTCTATTGGCTAATGTTGTGCATGCCAGATGTTGTCAACAATCCTTGGCCTGCGTTACTGCTTGCAGATAAAAACCATGATGAAGTTTCAGCTTGCGATTTTCATATGGGGGATTGCCAGAGCACCTACGTACTAACTCATTCAATGATTGATTCTTTTGCTGTAAGCTTAGCAATTAGCGGCTGTTCAAAAGATTGATACTTTGAGTCAAGAAGAGAAGGATGGCGGTCGCGGCAAGTAGAATTACTCCATGCAGCAGATGAGTTAAGATCGGATAGATTCACCGGCCTGAGCATCGGGTGGGGGATCAGGGTATTCGAAGGAGCACATTAGGGCTGTGGATCAACCCTCCCTAAGCTCTGGAAGCTGATAACTTTCCATCGCATATAGAGTGACCAGAGGTAGCACGGAAAAATGATTTCTCTTCTTGAAAAATTTCCAGTCGGGTAAGCTGGACAAAGCACATGAAGCGAATTTGATACCACACTGAATCTTGTTATAAGCATCGCCAACGCCGAAGGCCCAAAGCAAGGGTCAGAAGTGGGAAAGGAGTCGACGAATGTACTCTATAATAGTCGTGAATCGAATCGGTCATAGTTGTTTGACATTATTGGTTGCGATTATAACAACGGGAATTACTGCATGGTCTTTGCGCGCTTTTATAGCCTCATTTCTGAGAGGATCTTCCCTTCTCTTGATTTCCTTCCCCATTCAGTATTTTCAGTGAGTTGTTCAAGTTGATGTCAAACCTCCTTCCTGGCGTGTGATAATTGACTACAGCTTCAAATTAATGTCTGGTTTGACCGGAAAGACTAGAGGATTCTCCAAATTGTGAAGATAGCAGGATATCAAGACCCTCATCTCCCCAATGGCTCTGTTTCATCAATTATAGATGTACCGCAACTTCAAAGAGCAATTGGAGTGGGACAGGCGGAAATTGAGCATTACGTTAGATGCCACAAGTAGATCCGAGCATCTCGACATAAATCACTCATAGTCGATTGCCCTATGAACATGTGATAAACATAGCAACAAGTCTGGAACCCTGCTCGACATTCAATCAAGGATCGAAATGGCATACCCCACCCAACATCTTAAGAGCAAACACGGGACCTTAAACTTGATACTTTGTGTCAATCTCGAAGTATACCTCTTATGAGTCGATGATTCGACCTCGAAAATACCTCAAGATACCTCCCGGGCCCAAACTCAAGAAACGCCCTTGCACAGAACCCGACAGATTGGAAATCCAGAGAGCTTAGCCCAACCTCGAGCCATGCGTAACGTCGCACCGTTGACAGCACCTGCAGCGCAACAGAGAAGAGACGGAAATAATTTGTAAGCACTCAGTATACTAATCGCGGTCCAAGGTACATACGACACGCTCTGGAACTTTGTCGTCACCTTTAACCCCAGCTACATCACTTAATAAGAATAGTACACCATCTAGATCCTCATGCTTCAAAAAATCGCGCAATGATATGATACCTATCAGCAGGACCTGCTCCAAGTATAACCGATCATGACATGCACGACACTATGGCTAGCCTCACACAAAGCCTTGTAACCCCGTCCTCTACGTACTGTACCAATCATCTTGCGTCATAGGAGTCAAGTCCAGCCGGCAGATAGCCGGTCCAGGATTGTTGGCAGGTTCAACCGGCGGTCTCGACCCGCGACGGTCGGATTTTGATGTGTCATGATGCGTTGGTATTAGATAATAATGGGAGCACTGCGTGTTTCGGGGTGAGGGAGAGGGATTCTAGGGGGTTCTAAGGAGGTACGATAGTACTACAACAGTTACTTGGAGTCTTGGAGTACTGTGTGAGGGTCCGGGGATGTTTTTACGAGATGGGTATGTCCTTTTAGGAATACTGTACGTGTCTAGTAGATGAGTACCGCGTGGGTTGTGTGTTAATCCCGCATTCGTGTCGTGGTGAGGAGTACAGGAGTGTAGTAGTCGTATACCTGACTGCTGAGGGGAGTGTCAAAAGGGTAAGGTTGGGGTAGAGTCTAATTCTTCAAGATTCCCAAATCCTAAATCCTAAAATCTAAATAGTGTTGGGAACGTCCATCCGACCCCCTGGTATTATTAACTCTGCGTCACAGATCTAAGAGGAAGGTGAAAAGGAATCCAGATCTAGGATCTGGAATGACCTGAGACTCTAGCCTTGAATAAGAGAATGTTGTTTGCGACGAACCCAACATTTCAACAAGTTCTAGAAACTGGCCACATGACTCACCAGAGGTCATTCAAGTCAGTCATTCTTGCCAAACCGTAGTTTCCCTCGGCTGGGGGTACCGAAGTTGGAGACGGTGGCCGCACGCGGGGGTTCCGAGGTAAGAATACTACTTGCTGGGGGCTTGCTGGTCCCATTGTAACCACGCCGCCGCCCCCTCAAAACCTGTCTTTAGGGGGACCCATCACGGGGTCTTGCATGACTGCAGGTGCACTAATTCAGGAGCAAGCGTGATCAATCATCAGGCGAAAGGGGGAAGAATAATCCGCAGGGCGATAATCTCGTGCATTTTGGGGTGGGTTGAATGGTCTATACAGAGGGGAGTATATCGAGACTTGACCAACCGAGCAAGTCCAGTCGGAGGAGTCTGGGGAAAAAAAGTAAAATCTGGGGAAAAGGGCCAGCACCAAAAAGAACGAGTACGGGCCAGCCGCCGCGTGGTGATTGGACCAAGACACCGGGCTCGGATCCGTCGGCCATTCAGCAGGTCCAAGTCCCATGAGCACGCAGAATTTTCTTATTCTCCTGCCTTTTTGCTTTACGCGTTTCGTCATGGCCCACTCCACTGAGTAAGTAGTCAGTCTTGGTCTGGGGAAGGCCATACCCTTTTTGGGGTACTCGATCCAGGGTTTTTTTCTTCTTTTCTGGTCGTTGGTTTCCAGGGGATGTTTTACGGTAGTGTGATTTCCTGGCAGTGGCGCGAACCATGCCGGTATTTGCAATTATTGAAAAGGAAGGTAATAGAAGAATGGCTGGGCAGTCTGGGCATTGATCTGGGCATTGCGCGAAGGGGGTGAAATATTGAGTTGCCAAGTCACGATGTCGACCGGGGGGGGGGAGACTTGCATGAATTTTTCAACGCGGATGATCTTCTCAGGTACCAGTGCAAACTCTTTCGTATAGTAGCACTGTACTGTAGGCCCTAGACCTGATCGACCGAATGGTGGGAGGGGCAGGGAGAAAATATCCCGCAGTGTGGTTAGTGTGGTTCAGGGCTGATTCAGTGTGATGGGGTCATCGTGCTTTTGGATCGCCCCCCCTTGAAATCAATCGGTCCACTTTTGTATAGGACGTATACAATACACTTTGCGATGGGGTACACCGTGGGAGCATCCATGGCATTGACGCCGGACAGGCAAGAAAGTCCAGCGCTGGCGTGCTTCACGGGTCCTCGCAACGCGGGAAACCATGCGAACCAGATGGAAATACCTCGTTGCTTGTGTCGTAGCACGACAGAGAGACCAAATATGTCCTCAATTCATCATCACCAATATCGCAAGACATGGCGGTTAAGCATCTCCGTAAAACCGAGTGACGGCCGGCCCGGGATGATGCAATATGGCCGGTGGCATTCTCAGCCAGTCATTGGCGTCACACGGGGTCTCTCAGAACTGCTGTTTATGGCGACATACCACCGCCATGGCCTGTCTGAGGGGCAATAATGGGGGCTTGGGGCATAACTATTGTCAGTACTGTCCACCAAATGCTCAATGCCGGGCACACCTGACGTGCGAGAGAACGCCAGAGCATCGAGCCGAGCCACGAGGGCGCGAGGGATGCGGTGTGAACGGGGGTGTGTAATACGACCAACGTGTTCAAGGAGTCTGGACACAATGTGCGTGGTTTTTTGAGGGTTTCCTGGGGGTAATGAAAACCTCATTAGCAGCCATGAACCCGCCGGCCATCCCTGTTTTTAGACGCCGTGCATGGTGATTGGCGGGCCCGTCCATTTCTGTTACGTGAAGACGGGGCTCTTTTGGGGAGGTGAGCGGAGTCAGATGACCAGGGCCTTGACGGCGTTGCTGGGTTGGGCAATTAAAGCAGCGAGAGCGAGTGGGTAGAGAAGTGGACAAAAGTGGACAGCAGTGGAGTGGGTGAGGACCAAGAGAGCACGGCCCAGTCAGCCAGTCAGAGAAAAGCCAACGGCCACACGGCCACTCGTTGCCTCGGATTTTCTGGCAGATTCGATGGACACCCCGTTGCTGAGGCACCCCACGGGCTGACTCATCGGGCTGTCTTTCCCAAAAGGGGAGTTCGTTCTTGCCACTTTACGGACATGACGCCAGGCGAGAAAAATCAGTTTTGGTAAATGAGAAAAATAGAAAAAAAAAAGAGAAAAAAAACCCCACAGCCAGGTGGGCCCCACCGCAAGCAAGCGTGTGACCCGTGGATGTCGTGCCTGGCCACTACTCGCAATGGCCTGCGAGGCCTGAATGACTCCATGGCCCCTCTCATCTATAAAACTGCTCCCTCCCCGCCATGATCCACGATGGGCTCCATAATCTGAACCTGCAAATTTTTCTCGCTTCTCTCAAATTGCCGTCGACAACGACTGCTCTGCAATTCTAATCGTGCTTCCCTGCATATCGACTTGATCGCTACATAGTCGCCCTGCAGCTTTGATCTACATCCCGATCTACATCCCAGACCGACCTAATATTTCACATTCACAACCATCACCATGCCTTCCGCAAGGACATCAGGTTACCGCGTGATCGAACCGCACCCCTCGGTGCCTCACACCGCTCGCCCGGCTGTTTATACGGGCCGTGGAGGCAGTGGCAATGTCATCAGCCTCAAGAACACCAAGACCACCGACTCTCGAACTGCCACCGGCCCGGCCTCGTTGACGCGCCTCGACTCGCGCACTCCGTCTACCTTCACTTCCGGCCGCGGTGGTGCCGGCAACGTCCACAGCAGCAGTGAACGTGCCATCTTCAGTTTCGATGAGGAACTCGAGCGTGACCTCCGCCGTGCTGCTCCCGTCTATCACGTTGGCCGTGGTGGCGCTGGCAACATGATCTACCGCGACGACGCTTCAAATTGCAGCCTCACCCGCAAGTATTCTTCCACCAGCACCAACACGGCCAGCAGCACTGGCTCCGTGACTGATCGTGCCCGCGACATAGCTCGCCGTGGCCTCGAGAAGGGCTGGGGCAAGCTCACGGGTACCGCATAGATTGCGCCGCGCCTTAATCATTTGACGATGACACGACCTTCACGACCAACAACCCAAAAAAAGTTTCTCTTGTTTCTGCCTCTCGCCGTTTCTTAATCACGCGGATTCGGACACTTATCAAAGAACCCTCGGGGACGAGATGGATGGTCTTTGAACAAAGACGACATCAGCGGATTTCTTTCAACAACCTGTTCCCTTCTTTTTTCTCAACGTCTACTATTTCCCATTTACTCGTCGCCCGATACCCCAGTTCTCGCGACGCTTCAACCGCATCTCTGTTCTTACAGGTTTTCTTTGTCCTGTTATGCAAATCTTTGCGAAAGACCTCCTCACTCTCCCAACCAACCAACCCTTTCTCTGAACCATCATGGGATCGGCGTTTTTTTTCTTTCCTAATTCCCCGGCCTTCCCCGGCCTTCCCCTGCCGCTGGTAGAGAGCTTGCTTGAATTGCATCCTTGGCATCTGCTAGGTTTTTCGGGCACTTTTTTCCTAGCCGTATTGCGCCATCTTGAGGGCATATCTTTCATAGTTTAAACCTCATCGCATTTCGCATCGGTTCCACCGGAGTCTGCCCCCTATGTATTACTCTTATTGCTTCCATGTCTACCTGTTTTCAAGCAACCGCATCCGGATCTTCTTCCTGTCTTGTTTAACATTATTCCCCCCATTCGCGCCACAGCTACTACTTTCTAGCTCCGGGCTCAACAATGAATCCTTCAGCTTTCCGAGGCTACTATTCTTTTAGTCGAAACTTTATTCTCCTTTCTTTGTTCTAGTAAATTCTAGTATATCTGTGCCAAGTTCATTGTAGGTTCGTGCTGGACATGCTCTTTGTTCGCACTTTGGTGGATCCACCCGATGGCGACATTTGCGGTCGGCCCGGATGTGGTGGCACTGGGGGCCAGCGTCACCGTCACAGCCGGGGATAGGCGAGGACAACCGTCTGTCGCCTCTGTTTTGACTCACTGAGTATCACGTCCTTGAAGAAAAAATTTTCGGGTCCCCATTGACCTTGACCGATGCTTCTAGAGGCAATGCTCCGCTTCTTGATTTGAGATGCTCTTCTTGTATGATGTAGTCTGGTATTGTTGCTTATTCATAATGGATGTGCCTGGAATTATCAATTATCAATTATCAATTGCCTTTATTTTGTTTTTCTTTTGTTCGTAGATCGGCTTTACGGCAGCCACGTCATATGATCTGAATACTTTTCATTGTTAGACCCTTCTGACCATCTCAATGAGTTTGATATTTTACCTCCACGTGGCTTTGCACCATTTACTTCCACGTTTTTGATGTCTTCGCCTCTTCAGTCGACCATTTTGATTTTCATAGAAATTATGTCTAGCTTGAATAAGGTCGCATTTTCTTTTTTAAGTCTATACCGAATCTACCAATGCTGATGCGCTGGCCAGTCATAACATATCACATGACTTGATTGATCTTCTGAGTTGATGCCTGGCAGGTCAAGCAAAATTCTGTTGCTCTAACAGTCCCCATTATGACTTGTATCTAGATCGAACTTTGCTCCTCACAAATCCCATAACCTTTTGTCTATGCCCTATTTACCCAGGTCCCGATTGTATTGCTCGGTTTGAATCAGCATGCTTGTTTGATTGGAGAGCATAAGCACATGCTCGAGGGTAGGTTGAAATACCCATTGCATCGCGCCGAAACTCAGTGGTTTAACACTGATACTGCCAATATAGTCGATAGGCTATTCAGAAAATTGTGAGTCCCTGGATAACCAATCACCTTCTGGCGTGGCTCATAACCCCCCTTGTTCATGTACAATCACCATGACCAAAGGCAGAACTTCACAACCCATGTTTATCCACCCCATTTTCTTGGTAGACCTGCAAGCTACGCTTGGCAAATTTGCTCACACCTCGAATCCGCCTTCCGTGCCTGCTGAATAAAGGCGGAATGATGCAGAAAACTGTTGCAAGGGCAGCCAAAATCGACGACGCCACATTCGCACCTAATGCATCGAACATCTCCGTCGCAAACAACGGAAAGGCGGCTGACATCGAGGAACGAAGGAGTTGAACTGCTGCAAATCCACTAGCCGCGTAGCCCAAATAGCTATCGGCCAGGTAACCTGCCAAAACAGAATCGAATTCGTTGACAGCGTACCCGATGAGAATGAGTGCGGCTGTGGATATAAGCCAGTGAACGTGAACTGCGGGTGGAATAGTCCATGCAAACCACCATAGTCCCACGGCAAGAATTGGTGCACCGATAGTAAAACCGAGGAGTTTGTGTTCTGGCTCGAGGGGGATACCCTGCTCTTGATATCGTAAGATTATGCGATGATCTTGAATCCGAGTGAGCAGTCCGAACAATAGACCGATGCAAATTGCGATAAAGGGGAGGTAAGAGGACGTCGTTGAGAACCCCAGTGACATGTAAATTGGAGGTAGTGCTTCCGTGAATAGATAAATCAACGCGAATGCCACTGCGCTCATTGTCGCTACCAAGAAGACGATGGGCTCCGTGAAGAAGAGGTGAATCGGGCGGAAGAGACTAAGACGGACGAAAGTTATGAGGTCGGGAGTGTGATCTGGGTTCAATGCCTTGAGGGTCATTATGCCACTCTCTCTGCGTATTTTTGCAACCTCCGTTTCCAAGACCGAGGACGGGCGCGATTCGCGGATACCGAATAGGAGGAGCGTGATGACAGCGGTAACAATTGCGGATATACGGAATACCCATCGCCTTGTACAGTCAGCCCCGGACAGCGCAAACGGAAAGGGAGTCACTTACCAGCTTAAGCGGGCAATAATATAAATGCTCATAATGGGTCCTAACGCGAGGCCCATATTGGCAACAACAGCCCATAGGAAGATGAGCCACACCCGGTCTTTGGCATTGAACATATCCTCAATACTACCGGCGACAACAACTGCTGGTATAGCGGATAGAAAGCCTGAGAAGAAGCGTCCGATAGCGACTGCAGCAATGGAAGGGGCCATGCCTACGAGTAGGCAAAATATGCTATATAAACCGGTGCTAACGACGTAGAGTTTCTTCCGTCCGAATGCTTCGGAACAAGCTGGGAATATAATCCCGCCGATCATCTGGCCGATGAGAGAACTGTATATTGTAGTAAGATGTTAACATAGGAACTTTGAGGGAGAGGGGTGACGCTGACAGAGAGACAAAGAGGAAGACAGCCAGAGTCTTATTGAGTCCGAATTCGCCACGAGCATGGTCCGCCGCGGCGCTCTACATTTCGTGTCAGATAGATCATGAGTGGATTGAACTGACACTTACTTACCCCGGCCGTGCTAACAGACGTCCTATTTGTAGATTATTTGTCAGTCTATTGGCCAGGCAAACAGAAGTTGAGTTCAGAACGAATCTTTGCAAATTCGCATTCGGATTACATACGTGAACAGATCCAAGAAGATGATCAAACCAGTATCGTATATCTTCCGTGACGCCGGCCAATTTCGAGGATGCTTCTTGTTCGAGAATGACCAACGGATGAATTGTCTGTCCGGTGTGTACTCCAATCCACATGCGTCCAGGAAAGGTTGGACATCGGTTTGATCTTCTGTGGGAGGGAGCTGTCGGGAGACAGGTGGTCCCAAGACGCCCATAGCTGATGGCAGAGTGAAGTTGAGCAAGAAACCAAGTTGACGGGGAGTGCCACGAGTGTTCTCACAACGATTGAAGCAACATGGTAGATGAGAAGACAAGAATCTCAGCTCGGTGCCCAAAAATGCTGGATTGATCACTTCTCGGCACGATTGCCGTTTAGAGAGATCCCACCAGATTATTCCTCAATCTTACATCGCCCCGCATTGGTCCATATTCAAATCTTTCAAGCTAGGTAGTATTGTTATGGAAGGATTCTAGTGGGGACTAGTACTCATCGCATCAGTGGAATTGTGCGTGAAGACGATTAGCTGGCTTGAAGCCCAGCAGGATAGGTTGGGGCGACCCATAATTTCATAACCATGTATTATGGCACAGGTATTCCATTTCAATCACATCTCGAATAGCTCTGTCTGCGAAGACGTGAAACTTGACTAGTCTTAGCCTTCGCGGATAAGCGTCGCCGATTGACTTTTTATTCTAGATTCTGAGAGCGCCTCAAGATCGTAATGCGAGAATGATGGCAGAAATGGAAAAGTTGCCGAGATCTCACTCGATAATACCTTGGATTCGATGCGTTCGATGCCGAGTTGGGAAACTTGCAGTAGAAAATAGGCCCACTGAGGCTCCAGTACGTCCACATCGCTAATGCGCTTAGTCAAAATCTCAGGGAAACTTCCACTCATAGCGTTGTGGCTTGTTTGCCCTGTGGCTCGTTCCGTCCACGTGACTGTTTACTGCTCTACTGTTGTATATTCAGGCTGATTTCTACGTGTTGTTTACTTTAGTGATATTGCAAGGCATTGACCTATGAAAATAGGGTTCTTCTGCGGCGCTAGCATGCGCAACGGGTTGAACTGATACTAGATCCAATTAATGCCGAGTGACCAGAATTTGAAGTAGAAAGGCACACAAGTATCCTCGAAGAATTGATTCTAGAGGGAAGACGGAGAAAAGGTGAAAATCACCATGATACGCCTATCTGGTTCGTTTGGTCTGTAATCTCAAGAATGGCTTTCCAGTCCCTCGAAGCCTTAGAAGCCCTAGATCATTCCTACCCTTTCGTACTACCAGATTCCACAAGAGTAACAGATTGACGGAGTATTGAAGATCTATTGAGAAATAGCCCATCTTTAAGGTATGTAGAACGCACTGTATACAGCCCACTCCTTCAAAACACCAAATTAAGATAGAAAGACGAACAGAATTGTATTTGCACAGATCGGTAGGCTCGCCGACAAGGGAGCTGAAATGGCGTATCACATGAACAAGATATGAGCCAAGGAGATTGGAGAGATATGTTGGGGCAAGGGGGTATCAAAAGTCGCAAGCACGACTCGGACTCAATAAGGGACGAAGTGAACACTGTTCACTTGGGTTTCCACCCAAGAATGAAAGTATTCCTACACAGTCGTTGGTGTAGTCGGAGGATGTTCTGCCTCTGCCTTATTGAGGGACAGCGGTAGAATGAGGATTTCGAAGATTGCCACATCTGCAATGGCGTTGAAGTCGTTTGGGGTGGAACCAAAAGAGTGCCCCAAGGAAAAGAGCACACGGAACGGGGGATTTCACGCCCGTTCTCCGTGGTTGAAAGGCTAGTTTATGCGAATCTTTTGAAGATGATCTCGGGGTCCTCATGCCATTCATCCGCGCTCACCCACATCTGTAAACAACGAGTTAGTCAACCAATTTCAAGCAGATGCTACTTCTGGACCACATACCTTTCTGAAAGTGCTCAGACCGGCAAGAATACTACCACCAATCCAAGTTGTGTACTTGCGCTCCGCGGGTGCCGAGATCCGGATCTTCATGTCCTCGACGGCAAGTCGTTTAATCTCACGCATGAGACGATCGGGGAAGTTCTTGCACAACGTGGAGCCACCAGAGAGAACAATGTTGAGGTATAACGATTTGCGTAGGTCAAGGTCGGTACGTGTGATCGCATCTTGAACAATCTGGTGTACACCAGGGTATTCGAGGCCGATAAGCTCAGGATCGAAGAGAATTTCAGGGGCACGATAACGTTCTTGACCGATCTGCACAATAAAGAAAGAACTCAAGTCAGTAAAGGGGGTATCTCCAAGTTTCAAATTCAATTCTTCGATAAGACTCGCCTTGATCTTGTGACCATCAGGTAGCGTGTAATCGATCGCCTTGGCATCCGACTTGTGATAATTGTTCATCCACTCTTTTTCTTCGCGCTTCGGGTCCAGCGACACGTAGCAGACCTTCTCCTTGATCATCCGCACGACCTCCTTCTCCGCGCTGGTATGCAACACATGGCCGGCTTTCCGCAATAGCAATTGCATCTGTTCTGTAACATCGCGACCAGCCACGTCAATTCTCCGAATACTGTTGGGGATCGCGAAGCCTTCGAACACCGGCACAGCGTGAGAGACGCCATCTCCAGAATCTAGGACAACACCCGTTGTGCGGCCAGACGCGTACAGAGACAGCACGGCCTGGATCGACATGTAAAGTGCCGGTACATTGAAAGCCTCGAACATGAGCTGGGCGGCCATATCACGGTTGGCGCGAGGGTTCAACGGCGGTTCGGTGAGCAGCACGGGGTGCTCCTCCGGGAGGGTCTTGAGCTCGTTCTCGTAGACGTAGTGCCAAATTGACTCCATATCCTCCCAATTTGTCACAATTCCATGCTCGAGCGGGTACCTGATCTTGAGTAGACCACGGAGGTCCTGCGCGCGCTGACCGATGAATGAATCGCCCTCTAGACCACCAGCCATGACCCGTGGGTGTTTGGGGCGACCGACAAACGACGGGAAATAACATGACGGGATTTCCTCGCCGGCAAATCCAGCTCGAATGGTACCGCTGCCATTGTCAATGACAATCGGCACGTTGTGAAGGGTAGCCTCTGCCATTGCGGGGAGTGGGTGTGAAAGAGGGAGTTCGGGGGTCGGGCGGTCGAGGCGCAAGGTAGTTGAGACGGCCCCACGGCCTGGGATCGACGACTCAGGATGTTAGGGGGTGTGATTGACGACAAGAAACATGTATAGTTTCAATGCTGGGCGGCAACGTTCAGCTGTGTTGAGGGCGTCAGGAGTGGAGAGGGTTCTGCGGTTTCGCGTCGGGAGGTGTCAACAAGAAGCTTGGGCCAATGATGGTTCCCGATGAGGTCCCGTCCATTGCTGACTGGCCCGTCTTGAAGATTGGATCTGTCGCATTATTGCTGGAGCATTTATAGCTTACATGGTTAATGCGCGAATTGCAGGGGATTTTCCTATGTCATAATAGTCCCATGGCATAGCAAGTATCCTCATATTTTTCATCATTTTGCTCTTTATTGGTCGTTTACCTTGGAAGAGTTCTACTTTGGGCGGCGAACCCTCTGGACATGAGTAATTTTGTATAAGTGATCTAGTAGCCCGTGAAGAAACTAGAGGGTAGATTCAGCTCTTTGAAATCAAAGGGCTAGTAGTGGTTGTACAATTCAACCCATATGGATAGGGGTACCTCGTGTATCTTCAATCCGCATAATGTACATCATAGTAGACTTATTTGACCCCCGATCCCATCAGCATTTTAGAAGTGATCAAAGAAGCCTCTACCCCAGGCTCCTACCTCTACCTGAGACAAGAACTGAGACTTAGCCATGTTAAAAATGATCCAAATCTGGCATAAAGCCAAACAGGATCAAAGGCCATGAACGGGAAGTGTGCTAGCATGCACTAGACATGCTACTTCAGCCTAGGTACTTCGAGTAGTGAATTATGTCTTTCCACTCATCTGCAGGCTGCAGGGGTACAGGAAGTTCCGAATACTGCAAGTGCTTGACCGAAAAGGACAAATCACTTCTCATGAGTATAATGTCAGCAACTATCACTGTAAGGTGATGTCTCATCATCAATCTAGAGCAGAGAGCACTGTACCTCATTGATAGTTGGTTATGGTGATGCCAATATGCATGTATACTCTAACACAAACACCACAACACAACAACTTCAGTCCACCCACGATAGCTCATCGGTCAAGGGTACGGTCGAGCGATCCCCGTGGCCACGCCGGAAGAAAGGCGCCTGCTTCCCCTGCTTGACTGCTTGACCAACAGTGCCAGGAATATCACTGAATGAATTGTCAGATACCACAACAATCTTTCATATAAGAGTGAGAAGACAGGACTTACTCGAGACTACCGATGATTGCGTATCCCTGACCGGCCAGTTCATCGGCAAGCTCCTGTTGGTGGTTGTCGGCGAGATCAGGGTTCGGAACCACAACGAGAGGCACCCCTGCACGAAGAGCGTCCAAGATTGAGCCAGTACCTGTCCAACAATCAGTTTTCATGACATAAAACCCCAGGGAGCAGAACACGTTACTCACCGGCATGGCTGATCACCATCCCGAGCTCCTGGAAGTTGGCGGGGTCATCTTGGACCATGCGCAGATATGGGGTCATGTTTGGGCGAAGTTCGAAACCCCCAATCTCCACACCATGGTCAATACTACCGCTCTCATATTCGGCACGGTAGGCGTCGAAGATGTGCTGGCCACCTTTGCCGTACTGGATCAAGAGACGGGTGAACTTGTGCTTCTCCAGTTCCGCCAAGAACGACTCATGCAGGACCGCTTGGACGAGCTTCTCGAATGACGCCGTAGCCCCAACAGTGACAAAACAGAGCTTAACAGCCATTTTGAGAGTTGGAGGTGTATTTTTGAAGGATGACAATGACGCCGAGGAAGTGATGAAGGTCGGATCATCTTGAGTGTCGCTGTCGCTGTTGTTGATGAAACAGATCACGTGTTTGGCTCGAACAGGACTAGCGTGGATCGGACTCTGGAGACTGGAAAACATCGAAAAAAGGTACTTCCGCCAAAGCATCCGCGCAGATCCACGCCCGCTACAATGGCTTGTGTTGCTCGGTCATTGACTCGCTCAGCTCGAGTCCTGGCCCATCGGGGGCCAGGGCTACTTCCTACACGGTCTTTTTCCGTCTCGCCATTCCGATTCGTGGCAGAGGACCCCGTCATCCCTCCGCCCCCGAAGGAACTTAAAGCGGAGGACTATCCACCTGCACCTGAATATTCGCCCGACCTCCTGACCAAGGAAGAGAGATCCATGTACGATATGTTGTCACCGGAAGAGCGGGCAGCCTTTGATGCCGAGAACCAACGCATTGTGGCCGATTTCAATGATCTGGAGAAGCGCGCCGCGGCCTTTGCGGAGATCCAAAAGAGTGTTGACCAGATCGACAAGCAAGTGGATATTCGTTTTGAGGATAATCGACCTAAGATCCGGGGTTTCTGGGCTGAGGATGATGGAGATGACATGGCTCAGGTGGAGGACGGTGACGAAGATATTCAAGACGATGAGATTACTTCAATGGCCCATGCGGAGATGGAATTGCACCGGGAAATGAGAGAGTACGCCCGCATTGCGGCATGGGACATGCCAATGCTGAGCAGTAAGGGATCTCTATATTACTTTCTAGCTTCTTGGGGACTTGCTAACGACGACTTTTTCTCTAGAGCTCGCTAAGCCCTTCACGCTACCCCCCGAGACGCACATCCTCCGCTTCCGCTACACTACATACATGGGTGAACAGCACCCGGCCGAACCAAAGGTCGTCGTGGAGATTGCATCCCGTGATCTGACTCCCAAGTACCTCACGGAGACCCAGCGCCAGACTTTCCTGAAGCTGGTTGGCCCTCGGTACAACCCCCAGACCGACATTGTCAAGATGTCTGCCGAGCAATTCGGATCTCGCGCCCAGAACAAGCGCTATCTGGCCGATGTTGTCAACACACTGATCCAAGAAGCCAAGAAGGGCGACTCCTTCGCCGATATTCCTCTCGACTTGCGCCACCATAAGCCCAAGTTCCGCCCTCAATTCCCCGAGTCCTGGAACATGACCAACGAGCGCCGGCAACAATTGGCTGCTCGTCGTAAGGAGAGGCTCACTGCTCAATCTTCACGGGAATCGATTGTGGACGGCAACCAGATTGTATCTGAAGCCGTGCTGGCCCTTCCTGAGCTGAACCCGGCTCTGAAGGCTCGCGCCGCGGAGGAACGGGAGAAGGTTGCTGTCAAGGTGGGGGCCCGTCCATCGAAGAGGCCAGTTCGTCGGTAAGGGACGTTGATTGGCAATGTATAGTTATGCTTTGCATGGTCTCTTTCTTTGGGTGTAAGACAAAACTGCGATCAGACATTTGCGAGGCGCGGGCGCATATTCTAGGAGGTCTAATCGGCCTTGTTTGTTTTTCTCAATGTACTATAGCCACTTCTCTTTTGTTTAAAGTACCGGCGCCTCGCTGCCAATTTTCCAATGCTTGATGGTGATAGATTTTGTACAGTATGATCTGTAGCGGGTTACGGAGTCTCGGCTCAGTATCTTTGTGGATGTAGCCAATCATCGTGCAAGTAATCACGGGATCTCAAGTCCACGTCATGCACAGGGATGCTAAGCTTAATTCAACCTACAACTACCAGCTACTGATCGCTTGGAATGGAAAACGGATAAAAATAAAAATATTTCATGGAACCTGCATATGGCCGCTACTAAGAAAGACAGTGAGTAAGCCGACATCCATCATGGATAATTCCGAAGGCCCGAAGGGGTCCTCAAGGAGTCGTCCAGTTGGTCGTCTAGACCCACCCTCCGTCTAACCTTTCGCCCACGCTCGTTCCGTTCGGACTCGGCATGAAGAGTACATCTCGCGACCCCGAAGGGTCCAAGACCAGTTCCCCAACATTTCGAAATTAGGAACAGAAAGAACGAAGACCACCACAGAACAGAAGATCAAGACCGAAATAACAAAAATCATAGGCAAAGGGCAAAAAAGAAACACAAAACCGATCAACTCCCAACGAACACCATCGCTTCTCATATCGTTCATGGTCGTGAGATTCGTGTCAGTTGTATCCGCGCATTAGATCGTCATTCAGATGGTCCATTCATTCCTCAAATGGTGCCCACACATCAGAAACAGCGTCGAGCGAGGATTGGTTGTCGTGTATGTTCAAGTTGCCTGTTGACTTCAGGTATATCATACCAATCGGGGAACTTCAGTTGGCAATGTAGGCATATCACAGATCGGAAAACATGGCAATGCCTAGGTTGAACAAAATAGTCGTCGTAAGTATTCGTTCCATGGCACAAGATCAGGTCTAAGCTCATTCGTATGGTCACATGCAGTATGTCCAGTATGTCCAGAGACTCAGAGTAAGATCTGTACACATCTAGTAACGGTCCATGCCGGGCTGAGCAGCCTGGGCACTGACGGGGGCCATCTTGGAGGTGCTGCTGAAAGGATACCCATAAGCATAGGGGTCAAAAATAGGACGGTCCACGGCGTTGAAGGACCGGTTCTTGAGAGCAGTACTCTCAGGATAACCATAAGCATACGGGTTGAAAGGGCGCAGACCCATCTCCCCAAACCAGTTCATAAACGTAGAAGGGTGCCGAACGGGCTCACCAATGGGACCCCAGTTGACCAGGGGCTCGTTGGGGTCAATGGGCTCAGAAGTAGCGACGAGCTCACTCAGTGGCGAAGCAGGGGCCGCAGAAGTGGCAGCGTTGTGATCGTCGAACTTTTCAAGACCAGCGTACGGATTGAAGACAGTGCCCGGGGGCATGATTCCGATTTTCTTCTCGCCGCCATCAGCACCGAACTGGAAGCGGGACTTGGTACGGAAGAAGTCTTTGACGGGCAGTTGTTTTCCCGCAGATGGGCCACCGTAGACATCTTCCATAGTCAGCTCTCGCATACGCTCAGCAAGGGACTTTCGGCGAGCCATACCTTCCTTATCGAGGAGGTGCTGACCCTGAGGATCGATCAGGGAAATGGGGACGGCCGATGGACCAACAATAGGGCTAGCCAGGAGACTCTGCTGAGTGCCGGGGCTAATGCCAGGGGTCATGCGAGGGCTAATGCCGGAGGAGGCGACATTGCTGGGACCAGGAGATGCAGTGCCGGGCGTACCATTGCCGCTGGTGGTTGGTGGAGGGGGAGTCACTCCATTGCGGTCACCAGCCTTTCCACCGTTGTTGATGCGACCCTTGTTACCGCCTGCAAAGCCAGCACCACGGGGAGATTTGTAGCGGCCACCACGAGAGTGAGCCTGGCCGTGCTGGTTGCCATTTCCATTGCCGGTGTTGTTCTTCTTACCGGCGTTGGCATTGCCATTGGCGTTGTGACCAGAGGGGCCAGCGTTGGCAGCGGTGCCAGTATTGGCAGATGGACCGGCGTGAGCAGCTAGGCCGGCATTGTTCACACTGTTGGCAGCGGACTGAAACTGAATGGCCTTGTGCTGAGGCTGGTCGATGACTGTCTGGGGCTGCTGTCCACGGTTGTTGTTGCCATAGTTTACCTGCAGCAGACTAGGGACGTTGAACTTCTCGCGGTACCAGCGGGGAATGTCACGAAGACCAAGCTTCTCCAACATGAAGATATCAGTTGGCATTTCGTGCTTGTACAGGCAACCTGCAAACCAGTTGGTTAGTATCATGGTCCAAGGTGAGGGAATGGTCAATATATCACGAACCCTGCTGCTGGTAGTCACACTCGCCGTGACGAATCCAGTAAGAGCAGAACTCCTTCTTGGTGTTGAAACCCTGTGTGAGGTTCAATCAGTGAGAGTCCAAGTGAGAGAAGTCCGATGAAAGTCACTTACGTGCTTGCCGTGGCCAGCATGACCGTAGTAGGTGGGTGAGTTTGAACGACGGCCAGTGACAGCCTTGGTGGGGGCACCAGGGTGGTAAGCAGCATCAAGGCCACCATACAGAACGCCCTTGATGGCCATGCGAAGATGAGTGGAGACATTGTCGTCGGCCAGGATTTTCATTAGAAGGCCCTCCAGTTCAGCGAGGTCTTCATTACTGGTGATGGCAACACGGCCAGTCTGGGGAGCACCATCGAGAGTCCATGGCTCAGAACGAGGCTCAGCGGCACCACAGCTAATCATGCCCTGGGTATCACTGGGAGTCAGGGTACGAGAAACACCGCGGACGTTGACCCCAGCAGGAAGGTCGTCGAGAGCAATGAGGGGAGTCAGCAACCCGTTGGGGCGGCTGCAGAAGAACGCAGGACGAACCTGAGAGCTCATCGTGGATGCTACTCAGGCTGTCGAAGTTGAAGTGAAGCTTGATATGTGAAGGTGTATGGAACAAGAGTTATGGAACAAGAGTGTGACAGTGGGTGGGTGAACAAGTGGAGGTTGGGTTGAGGAACAGAAAGTTGGGAGAGGGTGAAGGATGAAAAGAAGAGGAAGAGGAGGAGGAGGGAGAAGAAGGAAGAATAAGTAGCTGGTGCAGGAGGAGGGAGGACGACGGCGGAGGGCCCAGGAATTCGGAGGAAAGCAAACTGACCAGGCAAAAGCCTCCAGGCAAGCAATCAAGCGAGCGCTGCCTTGGCTCTTTTGAAGGCAGACAACCCATTTGTTTTCCAGGAAATTCCATGGCTATCAAAGAGGTTCCGTTTCATCCCACCACCTTTGATATTACCTTTGATATTTGCAGACAACAGGCAGACAATGGGTTATATTGAGTATCACTTGACCACTTGACCATCTACGAGACCATTGTCTAGAATACAATAGAGCTATGGAATGAGATTCTATGCGTAGCTTCTGTTAATCTACAATATACGGTGCCTGTGGATGGTCGAATAAGCTTATTTGTGCATTGCCAAATCAGGACGTGGGAGCGTTGCCTTACAGTGGGGATAGGCAAGCCCCCCACGAGATATCCGGAACTTACCATAAGTAGCCAAGGGGGTGTCGTTGCCTTGGTATTATATGCTGCCTTGGTATTCCTCCACGTTTCCAAAGGCAGACATCTGGGCGAATCATCGACAGGCACCGAGCAGCCCTGCATCGGTTGGCTGCAGCAAGTCCCTAGCCCAGATGGCAATCCTAACTTCTAATTTCTTTGCAACAAAGCGGACTTTCTCTACTAGATATGCTGCTTCAAATACCACAAGGGTTCATTGTCCAGATCTCAGGCACTCTTTGAAAGCTATTGTTACCTGCAGGTCATCCTTTCGGCTCAAGGGAAACAAGGCATCTTTCTCTATGCCCTGCGCGAATCGTCGTTCCACTTTTGCCAACGTCTCGCCTCCGTCAAGTCTTCAGTGATGCTAGGTGGACCCCCTGTTTAGCATGTCCTGTTGTTCTATGTATGAACCAATACTAACATGGCTGTTTCCTCCCAGACCAAGAAATGACACATCCACGACGACCACCGGGTTATGATGACCATTGACAAGGATGGACACAATACACCCACAATGATTCCATACCAACCATTGCCATCTCATGGCGATGCAACACGTCACACCATAGAGCACCCAAGTCTACGATGACGTCCTTTTCAACGAAGCGGATCGAGGGCTGCACACCCAACAGCCATGAGGGCGTTATGGTTGGATACTGCTCGGCTACCAGGTTGACCTCTACATGGCTCTCTATGAGGAAGTACTGGTATCTTGGTGTTCAATACTATAAATATGGTTTCCAGTCGAGTTCAATCGTGAAGGACCGTAAATGGATATATCATGCCTGGTGGAGGATCAAAACATTCATTGGCTTACCAACGTAGCGGAAGACCTGGGTTTCAGTAGTGGGTCATCTACCAGGGTATATGTTGTCTTGCTCTTGTATCCTAGGTTGAACTATGGAAGACTACCTGCGAGGCCCATGGATGCAAATAGGCCTTACTGAAAATGGCATCGACTACGGAAGAATGGAAGACACTGAATAACGTATGCTAAAGCATACTGAATTGTTCATGCAGTTCTAATCTAACAACTAAGGGGGTATCTTCAATCATCGCTCATGAGGAAAGGTTAAGAAAGGAAACCAAATTGAACCCAGGAGCGGCCATGCAGCTTTTGGTCTGGACGAAATCGCCCGAAAAGAAATGGAAAAGGAGAGTGAAAACGGAAGATGATTCTGATCCCGTTGATGCTGGAAAGACAGCGATGCTAGCCATATGCGTAAGAATGTCGACTGTGAAGATGTTTCGTCAGGGCAGTCATCGATTGGCTGGATTTCATGGGCCTTGTGTATGCATGGAAAAAGGAGCGTATGGATTTTGATACGACTCAGGATTGCAGCTAGTAATATCAGAAGGAGCGGCGTCGCCAGTCGGGGCCTGGGAGGTAGTCGTTAGGGCCGGGTTGTCCGAGCTGAGATCAATCATGGCCGACCTTGCCTTATTGTTGGCAGCCTGAAGGTGGCCGAGAACACCCCTCAAGTATTTCTTAGCTGCAGAAACAAGCTGTCGGTCTTCAGTGCTCTGCCGCAAGGCCTCCAACATGCGACGAACTTGGGTTTCAGAATGGAAGTGCGAGCATGCACGTCTTCCGCCAAAGTGCGCGAGGCCGCACAGCGGGCAATGTTCGAGGCCTGCTTGCTTCAGGCGGCAAAGGCCGAGAAAGTGGTGCTGATTGCATGCAATGCACTGAGGGGGCAGGAGATCCGAAGTGCCATCCAAGCCAAAAGTTGGTTGAGGTGGTGGGGACTGGACACGCTGGAAAGGAGCAGTCTTCAATCGCTGAGGAGGCAGGGTCTCTTGAATATCGGCTGTGTCCTGAACAGCATCTGCATCCCCTGCAAAGTCACTTTCTTCGAGTTCATCGACTCCCTGAAACTCGACGTCACTGTCGCCTGTCTTACGAGCTTTGACCGGGGAGGACATCATCAGGTCAGGATCAACGGCATCATCGTCCTCGCGGAGCGTTTGGTAATTCACGGTGGCTCGCTTCCGCTTGCCGCGTCCAAGTCCCTCTGCTTTTCTGAATTCTTCCTCTCTTGCGTCACGCTCCCGCTCGCGAAGAATTTCCTCCCAGACAGTGGCATCAACAGGAGTGTCCTCACTTTCAGTGACTTCCTCAAGAGTGCCACGATCGTTCTGCCACACACGTGCGAAGCTGAATTGCGGCTGCTCCGTAGAAGCTGGAGTATCCGAAGCAATTTGCTCGGCTTTCTCCACCTGGCTGCGGTCGAGCAGCTTGTTGATAGACTCTGAATCGTAATGAATGTCCGGCGAATCATAGTCATTGAACAAAGCCTGGGCGCCGTGTCTGAGGATAGACTCTAGATCCTCTTCATCTTCACTGGCTTCCATCCGCTCAATCAGGACATGGTCCAGGGCCAACTTCTTCTTACCCTTCTGCATGATCTTCTCTTCTACCGAGGCCCGAGTGGTCAGGTGGAAGACCAGAACAGTGTTCTTCTGGCCGATTCGATGGGCACGAGAAAGAGCTTGCATGTCTTGCTTTGGGTTGAAGTCCGGGTCCATGATAATGACGGTGTCGGCAGTGGCAAGGTTGATACCAACGCCGCCTGATCGAGTTGACAGCAAGAAAGCGAAGAACGGGGAGCTGGGATCATTGAATGCATCAATCTGTTGCTGCTTCTGCCGAGCAGTCAACTTTCCATCCAGTCGACAATAGCGAAGCTCAAGACCAGTGAGGAAGTCTTCAACGATGTCAAGATTCTCCAGGAACTGGCTAAAGATCAGAACCCTATGCCCCCGCTCTTTCAGTTTCGGGAGCATGATGTTGAGCAACTTGAGCTTCCCCGAAGCCTCAACCATGCGCTGGAAAGCCACAACCGGGTCATTTGTCTGTTCCTCGATGGCCCTGTTGTAGATGAAAGGATGACAAAGGCACTTGCGGAGTTGCACGAGGATGTTGTTCAAATTGTGCTTTTCAGTCTTCTTCAGCTGGCCAGTCTGCTTCTTGCAAATGGCCTGAATCAACTGCGGGTTCTTTCCCAGGATCGACTTGTACAACTTCTTTTGCACGACAGACATCGAGACTGGGATGATGATCTGTACCATAGGTGGGAGGAAAGGCAGAACTTCTGCTTTAGTCCGACGAAGGAAGAATGGGCGGATCATGTCGTGAAGTGATCGAATGTTCTCCGCTGTGAGGTTGCCGTATTGCTCCTCCAACTCGTCAGCATCCTTATCCGGATCAAGGAATTGGATCAAGTTGAACAACTCTCGGATATTGTTCTGCAGAGGCGTGCCGGTAAGAAGCGCTTTGAAGTCGAATTTCATACGACAAAGTCGTTCATAAAGTTGCGACTTGTCATTCTTGAGGCGCTGTCCTTCATCGACAACCAGTCCTGCCCAATGAATCCTGTTAAGAACTCTCTTGGCCTCCTCGTCGACCATACTCTCGTACGAGGCAATCGCGACATGACACCGGAGAGCTTTGCTGCGCTGAGGGAACATTTCATAGTCGTTGGCCATTTGACGCGAGAACGCCGAGCCAAAGTAGGTGACAACCCGGATTCCGGGTGCCCAAGTCTTGATCTCGCGTCGCCAGTTGGGGACCGTTGAGTTTGGAGCGACGACAAGGAATGGCCAGCATCGATGCTTCTCGATCAACGTTGCAAACAACGAAATCACCTGAACAGTCTTACCCAGACCCATGTCGTCGGCTAAGATGGCGTTTTTCTGTTTCATGAACATGTAGTACAGCCAGTTCACACCGTCCAGCTGGTAATCCATAAGCTGGCCACCAGTGATCAGCTCTGGTTGCGTGTCGAGGACCAGATCTCTTTCGAAGTTTAGGCGTCGAACAACGGATAGATGATTCTTAAGGTCATGTCGATTTGGCGGGTCAATAGTATCACGATGTAGCCAGTCATTGAACGCCAGCTTGAAGTCCTCCCAGCGACCAGTCTCCTTGGGGTCCGGGGGCGATTCCCAGACCGAGTCCTCATAATTCAAGCCCTTGTATTTGACAAACGCCTCTTTGACAAGCTCAGGATTGGTCAGGTCATCGGGATCGGTGTCATCGGCAAAGGTCACATCAAAGACAATGTCGACTCGGAGATTCTCTTCCGGAATCGCCTCCTTGGTGGTCCAAATTGGCTTTCGGGCCTTGGGCGAATTGAAAAACGCTCGACGCATGGCGGCATTGCTGATACCCCAGACCCAGTCTCCAGGCATCCAGGTGGTGCGGAAGTATGACTTGTGCTTCCACTTAACGAGGTACTCCTTTTCCACCTCGGGGATGAGCTCGGCTAGAGGAAGTCTCGAAGCTTTGGTGGGCGGGTTCACGAGACGCCAGGCAACTAGAGCTTCGATATCACCAGGGGAATCAGAGCAATCTTGGCACTGCCAATGAGTCGTGTAGTGGGAGATCACCTCGGAGAGATCCTGGGAGGGGTCTGCCGCGAGATGCGCAAAATGGAAAGCCCGCTGGCATCTTGCGCACCGGAAGAGGACATCGTCGATATTGTTAATGCGAGCCATGTCAACATGGGTGACCGGATCTGTACCGCCATTTTCCACGCGTTGCTGTTGTTCTTCCTTCGAGGTAAGACGCTCCCTCAGTGGGTGAGACATTACGCCATCTTCCATGCAAACGGTACACCGGCCCAAATGAGGGGATACATCATGTTTGCTGTGCGCGCTCCCAAGGCATCGGCGGCACTGCAGAATGAAGTACCCCTCGTCAATCTTTGTGACAAGATGCTCTCGGCTGCTGCGCGGACCAAGGCATTGTTGATGAAACGATGAGCTGCAACCCTGGCAGAAGACAAGGGATCCTTTGACGTCATCATCTTCATAGAAGTTGCAGGAAGCGCAGGATGCGAAGTGTCGCAGTCGGAATTCGTCATCCCGCGGAAGTTCAGGAAATGCTTCTCGAGCCCCGGAGTACTTTTGTCGTTTAGGCACGTCACTCTCTGCTTCCGACAGGTCATCTTCTAACCGCTCTCGAAGGTTATTCCGAACAGTCTTCCGGGTACGAGTGGAAGCACGAGTCGGCACTTCTAGAGAAGAGGAATCCTCCTCCTCATCGGATGATAAGACAGCTCTTCTGCTTACTCGGGTTGACCGACGGTGTCTTTTGGGGTAACGTTCGTTGACCTTGTCGCTTGACTCATCCTCATCTTCGTCGGAGCTGGAGGATTCTGGGATTTGATAGAACGAGGCGAAACTACCACGCGCGGATGCATGGCGCCGTGGCCGAGAATTTCGTCCAGCCGCGCGAGCCCGCTTTCCATATCCTGCCCCATCCTCGCCGAATAAATTGCGTGAGCGAGATCCATATCCCACCGTCATGAGCTCATCGTCCGATTCCGACTCCGGAACGAAATGGTCCAGAGCTTGAGCACTATTGTCGAGACTCATAAATGTATCGCGTGACATCTGTGAAGAGAATACTCAATATTAGAAATAAACATTCAATGTTTGATATAAGAAGGGGTTGTTCTGACAGTTGCGCGTTCTCCACTGGCCAGTCGGACAGTGTACAGCGGCCTCTCGGGGTTACTCGAGTCGACTCGCAGAATGCATCGGACCTCGAAGTGGCCCGGAAGATATTCATAGTCGCCAGGATTGTCGACTATGGGGACACGGATCTCAATGTTGTAAGACTTCATAGGTTCAGGCTCTTGAAGCTGCTGAACCTCTTTGATGTGGTGTTGAGACCTAGACTCATTGGCTGTCGTTGCTGGACCGGGAGTCGAGCTCTCCAACTGGCTCCGCAGCTGCGCAACCATAGGGTCTGGATCATCGGATTCTAGAGAATTCATGTCTACTGGTTGAGACATGTGATGACAGGTACTGCGGTGTGCGATGAGCCAAGATGCTCAGGCAATGCACCGCACACGCAGTCACCGGACGCAGTCGAAGTGATCACCAAGTTGAAAGCTGGGTGAATGTGAGAGAGTTCGTAGGGATCTTGAGTGAACGGGAACGAAGCTGATTCTGATGAGCCCGTTGAGACTTTGGCAGAACCAGAGTATTAGGTGTAGCAAGTCAAGAAAGTGAACGGAGGTCGAAGATGGACAAGACATGAGACGCGAAGATCTCAAGACGCGTTGATTGGAAAGGCAGATCGTTATCGATAATCGGATTTACGTTAATCCGGTGTAATACAGTTAGTTTTTGGGGCGCTCGAAAACCAACCTCTTGAGCATCAAGGTGATGATGCTTTCAAATATCCCAAGGACGAGCTTTTGGGCGCAACATTCTGTCTTTAAGTTGCCTTCGCTGGGCACTTCTGTCCGGTATGCTTCATTGAATTCAGCTATTGGCCGCGGTATTCGCAGGTCTCAAAATGTTGGCTCATTCGGGAGAGCGCCGAGTTCGCAGGGTGGCCAAGAAAGGTCAAGTCGGGAGGATTCCAGGATATCGTCAAGTGGACGCGCAGCCAAGGATGGTAGACGGCCATTCAGGATGGACTTTGACAGAGATGAGTTCGTTCGGAGCGGAAAGTTTCGAGGAATGCCCCGAGACCTTCAAGATCGCGGGCAACGGAGACCCAGGGAACGAGACACGAAGGGAAACATCACACCGGCATCTTCTGGGGAAACCAATCCTTCAAAGACGAGGTCCCGTGCCCATCACGTGACAGAGAGTATGCCGGAACGAATCAAGGAAAACGTCAAAGTCCCCGAATCGATCCCCTATTCCAGCCCAGCGTCTGAATTCATCTACGGTACGAGCGCCGTGGAAGCAGCATTGCGATGTGGCAGGCGGAAGCTATACAAGTTATACCTCTATCAACGAGCTGGGGAGGACCTGGGTCCTGCTAAAGTTGCTCTTCGAAAGCTGGCTCTCTCGAAGAACATTGATATCAAACTCGCTTTTGCAGGTTGGGACAGGCTTCTAGACAAGATGTCTGCCGGTCGCCCACACAATGGATGTGTCCTTGAGGCCTCGCCTCTGCCTAAACTCCCTGTGCGTGGCCTTCATGCTGTTCCTGCGATATCCGAGAGCCACTTTCGGGTAGAATTAGCACCTCAATCGCGGGAGGAGGCTGCAGTGAACGGTACCAATGATCATATCCCGATTCTACATCCTTCAGATCCCTCTTCAGGCCAACAAACCCATCGATACCCCGTGGCCTTGCTGTTGGATGGAGTGGTGGATTCCGGTAACATAGGTGCGATCATACGGTCTGCTTATTATCTTGGCATTGATGCGATAATCTTTGCTGGGCGCCAATCCGCTCCTCTATCTCCCGTGACGATCAAGGCTTCCGCCGGTGCAGCGGAAAATATGACTTTGCTGCATGCTCAGAACGAGGTGGATTTCATTAAGCGCTCGAAGGAGAATGGATGGCGGTTCTATGCTGCTGATGCACCTGGCCCCGGTGCCACCTACCTGGACCGGGCTATGGCCGATGGCGAAACGGTACTTCCCACAATGCACTCGCCCAGTGTCATCATGATGGGGAGTGAGGCCTCAGGACTGAATGCACACATCAAGTCACATGCGGATTCCATCGTCAGCATTCCAGGTGCCCGTCATAGCGCTCATCTGGGTGTTGAATCCGACCCGGCCCGCATTGATAGTTTGAATGTGAGCGTTGCCGCGGCACTGTTGATGGAGATGTTCTTGCGAACCCCGCTTGCGATGTCTGAGCCGATCAAGAAGAGCAACGGCCGAGTGTGGTGAATGCCGTTGTACGATATTGTTTCTCGCTTGCATGTACAAAAAGATACCTCATTGTATACTACTGTTGATTTGTTCGATTCATGGAAATGTACAAAAACCACTCGTTGATTATCAGTGAAAGCGCGCGTGGAAAAGCAGTGTCAGTATACAAAATAAAAAATCACCCTCCTGTCCATCGGGCGGTCAGCCAAACGTTGCCATCGTGCTCTTCCGCCTACCCCATACGATTTTCAAGATCGTCTGGTTGATCAGGTCGTTTCTTAGTGATATAAATTCTGGCAGAAAAGGAGTGGGGCTTGTATAGAGGTTGATTATTTCTTTGGGACCCCTGTAGCATGGCAATCAATCACGGCTATGAGGGCCTACTCCTCGGGACCTCATTACAAGTCTCAAAAATGAAACGAGGGCCCTCTACGCACGACACGGGCGCTTGGTTTGCTCTTCACGAGACACTTCTAGCGTTGCCGGATTTCCATCCCGAAGTCGCTTTCATGTGGGGAAACCCCACCAATCGATCGGCTTTGCGGGGACAAGACCCACAAATTCACAAGTTGGCCTTGGGACGATCGTGGTAAATATCACATGCGAGATTCTCCTTATAAAAGGAGACTGCAATTTCTCTACCAAAAAGCATCATGATTCTGAGTTGCCCATTTTAACCCTCTTTCCTCGTACAAGTCTATACAATGCCCGCTCCAGCATTCACAGCAGCAGCCGATGACTGGTCCTCGAACACTGACCGCACGATGATTCCACAGAAGCATATCCCCACGAAGGCATTCGTGGTTGAGACGCCAAAATCTCCATTTGTCCTGCAACATGTTGTTTTGGACGAAGTGCGGGACAACGAAGTCTTGGTCGAGATGAAGTATACTGGGCTATGCCACACGGTAAGCACTCTCATTCCATTCCTTTTCAATCTAGACGAAAGAGATGATGTCAATTAGCACATTTTGTTCGCAAGTTCTCACATATCAACAACAGGATATTGTTGTGCAAAACGGGGCTATTCCCGTTGGAGACTACCCTGCTGTTCTGGGCCACGAGGGAGCTGGTATCGTCCGCCGCGTTGGTAGCGGAGTCAAGGACAAGAGCCTCAGCGAGGGCGACCGAGTATTCCTCAGCTTCACAACCTGTCGCAGCTGCACGCCATGCCAGGAAGGACGACTTGGATTCTGCCGCCGCTTTACTGAAATCAACTTTGGTGGCGTTCGTGGCATTTCCGCTGCAGATTCACCCATTTCTTCAACCGACGGAAAGCGTATTCGTGGACAATTCTTTGGACAATCATCAATGAGCAAGCTTGCAATTGTTCCAGAAACGTCAATTGTCAAAAGTCCCACGGCTTCTGGGGTCACCGATGCAGACATGGCCTCGCTGGCTCCGCTAGGATGTGGATATCTCACGGGCGCAGGCACCGTGTTGAATGTTTTGAAGCCCACATCTACAACCCGACTCGCCGTATTGGGTATGGGAGCAGTTGGGTTGGCAGCTTTGATGGCTGCTCGGGCACAGGGGGTTGAGACCGTTATCGCGGTGGATATTGTCGATGCGAAGCTGGAGCTAGCTACTTCCTTAGGGGCCTCACACACTTTGAACACAAAGAAGGTCTCTGATCTAGCACAAGGTCTACATGACTTGTTTCCAGATGGTGTAGATCAAATACTTGATACGACAGGAGTGGTTCCTCTCCTTCAATCTTCGATCAAAGCGTTGGACCACGGGGGCACGTTGGCTATCGTGGGTGTTGCTCCGCTTGGAGCATCATTGACTATCGATCCTCTAGAGTTTATGATGAATTGCAAACGTATTGTCGGTGCCATCGAGGGATCTGCTGACCCGATCACGGTAAGTCGCTTTTTCTGCAACTGATAATTTTGTGCCTAGCTGATGTTTCTTGCGTTCTTTCTCTAGCTATTGCCGCAACTGATCAACTGGTACAAAGAGGGCAAGTTCCCAGTCGACAGGTTGGCCAAAGTCTATGATGTAGATTGTCTAGAACAAGCATTGGAAGATCTGCACTCAGGAAAGGTCATCAAGCCGGTGCTCAAATGGGCGGACCTTTGATCAGATTTGAACCGAAGACTCGCAAGGAATAGAGTCAAGAGTCAGAGCAACGCCGAAGACTATTGCCGAGACTCGTTAGATCAATTGGCCATTCGTACTCGATACCGGGACTTGATCAATTGTGTAATTATTACCGCTATTTGTCCCAAGATTCTCCTTTAGTTGACGTTAAAGTACGCCCGGAGTGCAACACCGGCCGGGTTGACAGGGCATGTATAGAGTGCCTAACGCAACGTTTCGCATATGTAAAAGACTCCAAACCTACAGTAGTTTACTGTACCATAGACCTAGGACACTATCTAGCCATAATAAAGGCTCTATCTTCCCAGCAACAACAACCCTATGTTGCCATCCCCGCACTTGCGAATTCACTCCCCCGCAAAACAAACTCATCCGTCTGGCGAACCTCAAGTTTCGGATGTGGGGAGTGACCCACTTCGGAAACATAATCCTTAGTAGGCCAAAGAATCATCCCGATTGATTCATCGATCGAGGCGAGAACCATTCGTATCGGAAGCTTTACTCTATCTCAAACTTTCGCTCACCTATTTCCGAGTCGATCATGATCCTAGCCGCCAACTAAGGGGCTTAAGGATGACACTGTGGCTGTCCATCACGAGATCGAGAGATTATCTGACGAGAGCAAGCAAGTTGTGGTAGTGGCTCATTCATACGGTGGTATAGTTGGAGCCGGTGCTGTCAAAGGTTTGGGTTTCGCTGAAAGGCAGAAGGCAGGCAAGAACGGTGGAGTAATTATGCTGGTATACATGGCTGCATTTGTTGGCAAGTCAGGAACCAGCCTATTGGATATGCTTGGAGGAAAATGGCTACCATGGATGAAGCTCGATGTTAGTACATCCCTCTTCACTACATGTGTAATTTTGCGCAGTACTAATAGCAAAAAGGGTGACTATTGCCGAGCTGACGAGGCAGCAGAAATTTGTTATAATGACCTCTCCCCGCCAAATCAGGAGAAATGGAGTTCTAGGAATGTGCACACCTCGCGCGCTGTGTTTGAAGATCGCGTCCCACAGGAGCCTTGGCACGATCTTCCTTGCATGTATCTCTTCTGCGAGAACGATAAGGCAATTCCTTTGGCAGCTCAGGAGTCTATGGCTAGCTTGCTCGGCGAGTACAGTCACTTTCGATGCTCGAGCTCTCGTTCTCCATTCTTGAGCATGCCTGATAAGGTGACTGAGGCCTGTAAATTGGCCGCAAAGATTGGTCAGGAAAAATGTGAAGGCAAGAAACTATAGGAATGAACTGATCGATATTGCTACGGGCTTCCCGCTGTTGGGGGAGGGAAAGAATACAGTACATACTGAGAGGGTAGCACTGCTGTAGTGGAAATAATGAGGCTGGGAAATCTGACTGTCACACAATGTAGCCAAAAATTTCTAGACCGGAAGAATTGATGATTTCACGCCTTTCAGTTCTTTCACATCTAGTAAGAGTTCAGAGTCTGGACTTCGAGATGTCCCCAACTCCAAAATTCGACCATCCGGCCGCGTCTCCTAAGGAAAGTCTTCCTGAAAGCCAATTATGGTAAAGTCTTCAAGTATTGGAAATCCGTGTGATATATCATTTCCATTAATAACTCCAAGATTCGGCTCAAGATTTTCCAATGTTCAACAATGCCGCAAGTAAGATATTGACACCCCAGGCTCCAAGGCAAACAATTTTCACACCCGAGGCAACCAAGTCATCCCCAACACCACGCAACTCGCGTCAGAAGTGCAGCTATTGCAACTTTCCAATCAATTCCAGAATGACATTAGCCAAACGACAATGACGCAAAACCAATCTTCACATCAAGCTGGGCCAAGTGCGACCTCTCCCATGGCTGGAATAGTCCGACAGCGTTCCAGACAAGCATGTCTCCCTTGCAGACGACGCAAGAGGAAATGCGACGGCAAATTTCCTTGCAATATGTGCCAAGGATATGACTACGAATGCGAATATGAAAGTGGATCTTCCAAATTATCCGCAAAGAGGCCAGCAGTCTCTGAAGAATCGTTATCGCGTCCAGAGGAGAAAGTGGCACGACTGACGTCCCCGCATTCCACCTCCAAACAGAATACGGACTCGTCAATTCTCCCGGGTATTCTCGAGCCATCAAAAGCCAGATATGTGGGGAGATACTCGTCTATTGCCTTTCCTCTATATGTAGGGCTGGAAGTTCAGGCGACAAAGCTGCCGCGTCTACACTCGTTTGCATATCACTCGGGCATCCGCAAAGAGCCGCCTTGTGCGGTCACCCACAAGATATCGGAGAAAGTCTCATGGAACGCGACGAGGAGTCTGATTGAAGTCTACAAAGCTACCATTCACCCCGTCTTTGGTTTTCTCGACATGGATCATTTCTACACACTCTGTGAGAAACACTGGCACGGTCAACCACAAGACATGGTTTTCGAGGCTATGGTCAGTGGAGTTCTGGCTTTATCTTCCTTGTTCAATGGTAATCTAGACCAGGACGTGGAAATGTGGTTAATGCTACATGCAAAAGAAATACTCGAAGATTGTTCAATCAGCCGCTTCCCTTCCCTAGAACAAATTGCGGCGTGGATTCTACGAGCCATATATATTCGCTGCACCGGGCGGCCGCATGTCGCTTGGCTGACGAGTTGCACCATCATGCATCTTGTTGAAGCAACTGGCTTACATCATGCCTCTGAGTTCATGTCGCAGATGACGGGAAGTGTAGCTCCAAGTCCGGAGATCTCGAGCACCGCTATCCGAACTGCTCAAGTAGCCACTTGTCTTCATATCGTCATTGCGTTCGAGTATGGCAGATCAATTATGACCGTGAACCGCCAGACTCTTGAACAACCTCTACCAGCAATCCGCGAAGACGATTTGACTCATCAGTTGTGTGCCCTTGTTCTGGCTCTACCTGTGACTCAGATAACTGGCGACTCGGCTGGGATGGCAGAAGAGCTATCTGCTGCCCTTGAACAAGTAGTCAATGCTCCAGTCGGCCATGACTTTCTACGCCTACTAAGGGCAGATCTGGCTCTAGGCGTATACCGACGCCTTAGAATCATGGATTCAAAATCTCAGCAAATGCACAACGACCGCGTGATTACCGTCGGCACGGCAGCACTGCCCGCGGCCCGAAGGCTGGTGAGTCAAGGGCAGCCATGGTGGAATGTCATCGGAACTACATTCCAATTTGCCTGTGCGCTCCTCGCAATGGACACTACTTCTGGCTGTGAAAGGCTCGTGGAAACGATGGACAGTCTGGAATTTGTCGTGGATCAATTGAACACTCACTTGGCTAGAGAAGCCTTGTCGACCGCCCGACAGCTTGCTCGAGCATCATTGGACAAAAAGAGAAAGGGCGTGGAGGCCTTAGAACGTGTTGTTGGACCTCCTTTGCCAGACCCTTCTGCCGCTCAGAAGGAACCCCAAACACCTCAGGATCTTTCAGCACTAAGCCCATCTCTGGACCATCAATTTTCCTTTGATCTTGACTCTCTATGGGCCATGGAGTTTCAACTCCCATTATGATGTAGTAGAAGACTGGAATCTTGTCTATCATTAAATCAAGACTACTAAGATTTATCTCTTGACGCCTTCCAGGTCACAATCATGAAACAAGTTGCAATCACCGAACCGAGGCCTGCAAGGCCAACACCCATGTATGTCGCTCCACGGTATCCCTCGAGGACGTCCTTCCCGTCGTTATTCACGTATCTCTCGACAGTACCGGCAAAACCGAGGCCCATCGAGATTGAATAATTCACGACCGTATTCACGAGTGAACCGGCTGCACCTTGATCTTTCTGAGGCATCGCATCACTCAAAATCAGGATTCCGGATGGAAAGGACATATCCCTGTTCTGTTATTAGTGGCAGGAAAACTGTGCAGCAGCTCAGGGTTACTTACATCCCCCATGGCGTGACCAACATGATCACGAAAGCGTTGGCCCAATAGGTCTGGCCTATTGGCATCGATGCCAGTAGTGCCTGGCCCGCAGAGAATGCCAGCATCGCGATGAACATGATGATGCTTGCAGGAACTCGACCGAGGAGCAAGCCAGTCACCACAGCAGCACACGCTCCAGACACAGAAGCACCAGCCCACTTGGCGGTTACTAGCAACCCAGTATTTCCCTCCAAATTCTCGAGAATATTGTAGTAGTAGAACACCAAGATACCGAAACTTGACCATCCCGCTGCAAGGCAACCGAGCACCCATCCGGTCTCACCTTTGAATACAGACCGCGGTAACAAAGGATAGGCTGCTTTGCGCTCGAGAAGCAGGAAGACGCCCATAATCATGATCCCAACAATGAGCAAGACATAAGTGTAAGGAACCTCCCATCCCACGACTGCAGCTTGGTTCCATGAGAAGTTGATCAATATCAGTCCACTGACTCCAGTAATAGCACCTCGAACGTCCAACCTTTCAAGCCTCGAGAGTTCGGGATGCGGTTTCTCTTGCCGTGCATACGGGATTACGAGGAATCCAAGTACTGCAAAGATGAAACATGCAATGCCCATGATCCAGTATGCCCAAGGCCACCATAGTCGTTCAGCGAGCAAGGAAGAAAAAACCGCGCCCAAGGTGAATCCTCCCGGTGCTACCGCCCCGAAGAGGCAAAATACCATTCCTTTCCGACGTCCGGGTGGATAGGACCTGCCTAGAATGGCAACACTGTTCGGTAGAAGAAGAGCAGGTCCAATTCCCTGGAAGGCACGGCAACAGTCAAAGAAGATCGGGTTTGACCATACGGAGAACCCTCCCAGGATAGACCATAACCCAAACCACAGGAAGCCTATTATAAACAACAATCGGTGTCCATACACATCGCCCAGTCTCCCTGATACGAAGATAAATGTTCCGACTGTAAGGCTGTACGCGGCAGAGGCCCACGTCAAGTCCTTCGGAGTGCTGTTGAAGCTAGCACTAATTATATGGAGCGGTGCGATTGAGAGTGAAAGCCCGGCTTGAGTCATGAGCTGTGCGGCGCAGACGACGGTCACAAATATGACTTCGTGAATCAATGACTTGGGCTCGCCAAAATTCAGTGTTTCCTCTTTGGCTTCTAGATCGGCAGAAGGCGAAGCCACTGAGAACGCGGTATTCTCGGGCTCTATTGTGGTGGCAAGGGCATTCGGTAGATCTATATCAACAACAATGGTGTTCAGCTTGAGCTTCAACTTACGTGAGTAACTAATGGAGTCACCTCTCTCATAGTTCACAGCTTTGGGGTCTGTTTCACCCATCGTATGGTTTGCCGCCATGTCGGCTTCAAGAGCGAGCACCTGAGGACGTGGGAATTGTGAAGAGTGGCCGTTTGAAATAGAAGATGACTTCTGCAGAATAAATAGCTAATCAAGCTATGCGACATGAGTCTATCGCCCCGAAGATCGAGGGCTGTTCCGAATTATTCTCTCATCTCACTACCATCAGTCCATCAGTGATTAATAACCAAGCTGGTCTCCGCATGGCCCGCGCGGCCCGCGCGAGCCGGAAGCCATCCTCGGAACATGTTGCCGCAAATACTGAGAGTTACGTCGATTGTTTGTACGCAGAGTTACAGACAAGCCAATTTGAAGGGACAAATAAGCTTTTTACATTGGATTGGTCTTTCATATGACCAAAGACAAACAATTTGTGACTTGATATAAAATGGTGTGGACATCCACCAAATAGACATCAATAGTTTGTTCCGATTCACATCACTCCTTCAGCCTTCAGATATTCACCTAGGTGAAACCTGACGCCATGAGAGCCCTTGAACTCACGCGTACTTCAGCGAGTGACCCTCCAGAATTGAAAATAAAAGATTTGCCTGTTCCTCAATTGAAACTCGGTCACGCCCTCGTTCGCATTCACTATGCCTTCATCCAGCCATCCGACAGATTGAATGCCCAAGGTGGCTTCTCATATACCACATTCCCACGTGTCCCAGGACGTGATTACTCCGGAACTGTGATTGACATCATGAGCGATCACCCCGAATCAAAGTCATGGGTTGGGAAACACGTCTACGGAACCAGCGGGTCAAGTCTCGGGTTCGAAACGGATGGCACGCACGCTCAGTACTGCTTGATTCCGGAAAATGCGCTTGTCGAGAAGCCATCTCGGCTGTCATCCATCCAAGCCGCGACTGTTGGAGTCCCATTTACGACGGCCTTGATTTGTTTGCAGCGCGCGCAAGTAAAGGCAGACGACGTTGTCCTTGTACTTGGTGCGAGAGGCGCTGTAGGGTCTGCAGTGGTGCAGATGGCTAGGGCAATGGGATGCAGACGGGTTTTGACGGCGGCACGTCGTGGAGACCCAACCCCTGATATTGTCCTGGACTCTGGTGGCTCCATCAAAGAGTCTATCTCAAAACTGACCGGTGGGAATGGTGTGGACGTTGTGATTGACACTGTGGGAGATTTGGCCTTGATGGCGGCGGTGATGGAACAATTGGCTCTTCAGGGACGATATGCATGGATCGCAGCTCCCCGAGGAGCAGATAGTAAACAATTGGCCTTTGACGTGTTCAAGGCTTACCGCAAGGAAATTTCGCTTGTGGGGTGCAACTCAGCCGCTCGTACGCTCGAACAGACGGCGGAATATTTACGGTCGATGAGCGGGTGGATCGAGACGGGTCTTCTAAAGGCACAGGATGAATCTCAGCTCAGCATAGTGAGGATTGAAGATGCCATTACTTCTGGGTACGGGAATCCTACGCGGAAAATGGTCATTAACATGTCTTAACGAGACGGATCATGTGGACTGCTCTTTATTTTGAGAATTGGAATCATCATATTGCATGTGTAGATAGAGGACCCGAGGATTAGATAGAAGCCAATAGAATAACACTCTAAAAAGCACGGATAACATCGAAGATAGATTAATCTATTGAGGAGGCGCAGACAGGTTCTGGTGAAGTTCCTTTCGCTGCACAGCGCCGAAGCGCGTGTTACCAATATCGAATACCTAACATGAATTAGTACACATCAATCAGTCAATAAGGAAGGCAAGATAACTCACAGCGTAGATCCCCTTCAGGAAGGTATCACCGAGGATATCCATATCCATCGAGCCTCGGCTCTGGATACCACCATAGACATACCCCGATTTGGCCTCCGCAAAGCCCAAGTCCTCCTTTTGAACGACGAATTGCTTATCACCAACCGCAAATGACACAACCGGTAGCTTATCCAGAGCGGTATTGGTCGGGTAGATATAGCCCTGGCTGTTTGTATCGTAGTACGCTCCTTCAATCGCATCATAGATCGCCTTGCATGTGCTATCATCGACGAGGGCCAGAGTAGTACCAGTGTCGGCGATAGCCTTGTTGCTCGCACGAGCAATCGATTTGCCATTCACTGTTGCTGATGTCGAGTCAAACATCCAGAAACCCTGGCTCTTGTCAACGGGTGTGTAGTAGATATCTTCGCCCGAGGCCTTGACGGTATCCTGATCAATGAACCCAAAGGTGTAGAATGACTCGCCCTTATCCGGCTCATCCGTGTCCCTCCAAGATCCAAGCTTTGCGGTGAATAGCTCTGCAGTCTTTGGAATATCTGATTGGGTAATCATGTTCTCAACGGGTGTATTAACGGCGGCCGGCTTGACGGTGTTGATGTTACCAAATGCTAAGCCAAGTAGACCGTCGCCGGCGCCACTGGCAAACTGTGCTGAGAGGGTGTCTGCTAATTCGATAGCCTGACCCTTGACTACCACGCCGCCGATGTTGACGTCGTCGTTGCCAACAGTGCCAGAGGCGGAAGATCCGTCTCCATAGGAAATCTTCCATGTGGAACCGGCTTTGTTCTGGAAGGAGCTCGATTTGCTGGGGTCAAAAACAGTGTGATTCTTGTTCTCAGACAGAGTGGCAGATGGCAGCTTGGTGGACCAGACCTATGTAACAAGTTAGTCTCTGTTTACTCTAGTAAAGTGCGAGAAGCTTTATCTCTCGTACCCAAAGGTCCGCCGAGCCAGTATCGAAATCAAGATTCAGATTCTGAGCAGGTGTACCAATACCGATCTGCGCCAGATACATGGAATCATTCTGGACATCGTCGGCTCCAACCTCTCCAACCTCATTGGTATCGATACTCTTCTTCTGCAGGACTTGACGAGCATGAACCCGACCCCCAATAGGCTTGTCAGTATACTGGCGACCAGTCTGCCGCATGACCGTGCCGATGGTATATGGGCCCTCCTTGGTTGGGTGGAAGCCATACTTTCGCATCAAATGCACATAGGACTTCGTCCCCGACTTCTGGTAGTGCGGGTTGGGAATGATCTTGATCTTGGTGGCAGCCATGGTGGGAGAAGGGTTGCGCGACAGTTTGGATTTCAGGAACTTGACGATTGACATGGCTGGAACTAAACAGTACAGACTATATATACTCAACTCAGAATGGATCGATGTGGCATGGGCCAACTATGACGGACTGGCTGGAATCCGGATCCGTCGTCGTTTTATCTTAAGCGGGACTGCTTGGAGAGGGGTCATTTGCCTTTGGCCCTGTCGCTGTGCAAGTCCTGCCTGTCCTGTACGTCGCCTTTCGTCATCGCAGGTGACAAGGCTTTTGTTAGCGTGGAATTTAGTGTCAAGTGCCGATCGACGTAGCATTCCCTGGTGTTGGATCGGCAGAAGTGAATCGGGCGAGCGGGGGCGCGGCCTCAGGCTGCAGGGACACGAGCAAGAGGGGGGTTGCAGAAACAGAGGATAAGCCTTTGAATTACTTTCTACTATCTTTAATTTGGCATGACACAGTAAATCATCTGAACGCCGATCCTTGATATCAGAACGCAAGACCCCCGCACCTCCGAATAGCAAAACAACTGGGCAAAAATACAAGATACATGTGCAGTCACCTCATCGCTTGCGCGTCTTGGACTTGGGTGCGTTGGCAACGCTACCCGCTCGTGACGTCGCAGCAGAAGCATTCTTGCTGCCTTTGGCAGGCTTGGCTTGTTTAGTCTAGAAAAAAAAAGGGTTAGATAAGGTGTTCGGCTGCCATCGCCACGATGCGACTACTTACTGTGGTGCCATTCTTAGACTTCTTCTTTGCAGGTGCCGCGTCATCGTTTTCTTCATCCTCATCACGGGCGCGACCGCGGCCTTTGCCCTCGCCATTGGCTTTGGTCTCTTTAGTGTCTTTGGTATCGGGCTCGAATTCCTTGGCCACCGTATTGAGCAGCGTCGTGCAGCGACGGCTGATCTCGACGGGAGTACGACTGAGGAAGAACCAGTCAAACCGGAACAAAGGAGACTCGCGAACCTCATCGCGGATCTTCTCAAACAAGCCGTCGCCCTCCACACCGTACTTGTCGAGCATGACCAGTAGGAAGCGGTCCTCTTCCTCGGTATAAACCTTCTTGTTGGTCGTAGACACGGTGTAGTTGATCTTGAGTTGCTGTAGAGGCACGCGGTACATCTCCATCTTCTTGCGCAGCATCTTGCGCTGGTGATTCATCTTTCGCAGCTTCTCCTCTCCCTGTTCAATCACCCGTAGGTATTTGGGGTAATCTTCAATCTCAGAATAACGTTCCCAGAAGACTGCAGCGTACTCTTCAATCTCATCAGGCTCCTTGCTGTCGACTTCTGTGGCGATGCCCTCGTAGTCGGTGCGTCCAAACTTGGCTGACCCGTTGACGAACTGTTGGAAGTCGCGACGGTTCCAGTTCGAGAAGCCTTCCTCAGTCATGGCGGTCTTCTTGGTCTGCTCTTCCTCCGTCAGAGGCTGGGCATTGTCAATGGTGTATTGGGCCAGCTCTCGATCCGCCTCGCGCTCGCTCAGGGATTCCCCCGGACCCTCGGGCAGTTCGGCCTTGTGGCCAATCTGCTTCTGATGCCAGGCAGTCTCCTGCGCCTGTAGCTCCTGCAGGTCGGGCGGGAAGAATTGCCAGTCATGAATCGTGATCTGCTTTGGCGGGCGAGGTACCTTCGGCTTGGTGTCGGCAGTACGTCCACCGGTAGCCAAAGCCTGACGGTAGTACTTATCGATGGAATAGAACTGCTCCTTGCGCTCACGCTTGGCAGGATTGATCCAGGTCATACCAATGTCCTTCTTGCGGTCGGTAAAATCCTTGCCATTCCACTCATACGCGCTCTCAGAGCTGAACTTCTGCAGGTCATCGATACCCAGTGCCTCATACTTCTTGTTCAACTCGGCCGTCCTTTCTTCACCCTTTCGAAGAATAGCGTCGAAGTCATCTTCAGTGAGGTCCTGGGAGCCGACTTCGCCCACTTGGTTGCTGAAGACGTTGGCTGCACCGTGCTGAATCATACCAAGCAGCTCATCCTTTGAAGTGGCCTTGCCAGAGCCCTGTTGAGCCCGGCCCTGCTGGATAACCAGCTGGTCCAAGCGAAGTTTCTGAGCCGCCCGCTCCAGAACTTTTTCCTCGATCGCATTTTCAGTAACAAAGCGGAAGACCTTCACCTGCTTGGTCTGACCAATACGGTGGGCACGGTCCATGGCCTGCAAATCAGCCTGGGGATTCCAGTCGCTGTCAAAGAGCACCACGATGTCGGCGGTAGTCAAGTTGATACCCAAGCCACCGGCACGTGTAGTCAGAAGGAAAATGAACTTTTCCGACCCTGGCTTGTTGTAGTCGTCGATGGCCGCAATGCGATCCTCATGAGCCGTGGTACCGTCAATGCGGCAGTATTTGTACTCGCGGAACACACAGTAATCTTCCAAAATATCGAGGACACGGCTCATCTGCGAGAAGATAAGCACACGACTGCCGTCCGCCTTCATGCGCCTCAGAAGCCTGTCAAGAATCGACATCTTGCCAGAATTGTACACAAGGTGCTCATCAGTCGTATATGGCGGACCGGGCTCCGCGCCCTCAAACAAGTAAGGGTGATTGCAGCACTTGCGTAACTGCATGACAATGTTCAACAGGCGAGTCTTAGACTCGCGCTTGCCACCAGCTCCGTTGACCGCATCGATATCCTTCTCCAGAATCTTCTGGTACCATTTCCGCTGCATTTCAGCCATAGGAACGTACAAATTCATCTCTTGCTTCGGCAGCAAACTCTTTTCGACATCACTCTTTACGCGTCGAAGCAAGAAGGGGCGGAGGACACGGTGCAGCTGCTGCACCACGGTATCTTGGTCAGAGTCTTGACCGGAGAACCACTGGTCGAATGCCTCCGAATCTCCGAAAACATCTGGGAGCAAGAAGTTGAGTAGAGCCCAGAGCTCATGCAGGTTGTTTTGCAACGGGGTTCCGGTGATCAACAGTCGGTTGCGGGAGTTGAAGAGACGAATAATTTGGGATAGAGAGGACTCCTCATTCTTAATACGGTGAGCCTCGTCGATAATGATATACTCCCAAGGGAGCTTTTTCAGGGCGGATTTTTCTCGGAGAATCATCTCGTAGCTGGTGATGCAGACATCAAACTTCTCGTCCGCCAGTCGTCCATTAATCAAGCGTTGTCTCTCCTCTTTGTCACCCTGGAGAACAAGGACGTCGATGTCGGGGATCCACCTCGCAAATTCACGCTTCCAGTTGTCGAGCGTGGACTTGGGGACGGTAACCAGATGTGGTCCGGTAATGTCACAGATAAAGCGCAGGTAGCCCAGGAATGCAATTGTCTGCAGTGTCTTTCCAAGACCCATCTCATCGGCCAGAATACCAGAAATTCCGTTCTCATGGAGAGATACGAGCCAGTTTAGACCGGCAACCTGATAGTCACGAAGCTGACCGTGAATGAATGCAGGCGACTCGCGGAACACCGTGGTGGTGTCTCCGCCCCGCTTCTCATCTTGCAGGAGTTCAGCATCCTCTTCCTGTTCGGTCCGACGGCGTCGGTCACCACTCGCACCACCGGAGCGCGAAGAGCCCTTGCGAGCCTTTCCAGCCTTCTCTTCATTCTGACGGTCAATCTCGGCCATAATCTCCTTGATACGAGGGTTGGGGTTGGTCTCGATAAAGTGGCGGAACAGGTCGGTGAGACCGAGAAGATAGCGGAATCGGCGAATCGAGTCATCTTCCTACATACAGGGTTCGTGGTCAGTTAACTAAACAGTCAAGGCGGCCGAATTATAGCAATGCGAACCTTAGACTCATCCAAACGACCGTGCTTCTTGCCCAGAATGCTTTTCCTCAGCTGAGTAGCCTCAGACCTGCGACGGCGTCCATCTGTCTGGAAGTCGCCTGCGACACTACTAGCAGTTGTGTTGGGGTTGGTGTCCGAATCCTGCGAAAGAAATGATATCAGTCACCCATCTCAGTGTCGATGTATGTAAAAACCAATCCGTCATTACCGTGTAGTCGGGGGTGTCTTGGTAGCTCTGCAGACGAGTCAGAATTAGTTGAGGCTCAAAGAAATAGGTATCGGATCGAATTGGTGCTGGGGAGAATTGGCTCCCGCCACCATATAGGGAACTTCAAGGGCATGGAGGAGCATCTCATACCTGAGGCGCGTCTGCACTATCAACAGGAATCGACGGGATGACATCGTCATATGCATCCGTCATAGGAGTATCTGCCTGAGATGGCGAGTCGGTCGGGGCAGGCGCCATCGTTGCGTTCAGTGCGCGGAGCGCAAATGTGAGTGTAATGAAGGCACAATTCGGTCTTCAGTTAATATCCAGTCGCGCACTTCGATAAAACTTGCACAGCTTCTAGTTCTTGAAACTGATGTCAAGGAAAAACAGTCTGACTTCAGAACATTCAAGTGGAAACAAGAAACCGAAAGGAATTGAAAGCCTTGCTCAGGTGCAGGTGGGAATCTGGATAGATGAAAGCGCAAGAGAAACACCAGGCGCGCCGAAGAATACTGGAGAGCGCGGCGAGTGGACACGCTCTGATTGGCCTAGGCAGCCCTCCCGCGCAGGGCTGACTCAGCAGGCTATGAGCACTTCGGAAAATAGGTTTCCCCGCAAGGTGGGGGTCACGTTACCGGGTCAGTGCAAAAAGCGCAGAAGATCATCTGCAGCAACGGGTACTTGCTAGTGAAGCCCCCCTCTCCGACTTTCTTAACGACACTCAACAACTATAGGTGTTGCGGATTGGATTCGATCCCTTCCCAGCTTCACTCCAACTTGGGACCGCACTCCCTTCGTTTATATTCTCTTGACTTTCCTTTGTTGGACCGATCTGTGGCAACATTGCCTTTTGAAGCAGGGCCCGCTACATCTGACCACTCTGATAACATCACTTGCCTCATACTCTACACACACCTGTCTGAGTGCTTTGCACCAGCCTTCACCGATCATGGACTCTATGAGATCCCTGAACACGTCTTTGCCGAAATCGACTCCACGCCCACAGCCGTCCGAGCAACTGCTCCAGTCTTTCAAAGCGGCAGCCCTCTCCGTCACCAACCTATACAAAAATGCTGTTTGTGAACAAGCCCAGGCGAGGGCTGCTGGCTATCAGGAAGCTATCGAAGACCTGCTCCACTTCTTGGACCGCGAGAACCTAGGCCTTGGCGATGGAGAGGGGTGGAAGGTCCGACAATGGGCGACGGAGAAGTGTGACGGCACGGCATCCCTTACGAGCGATGAGGACGAGCGAGTGGACTCGGAGAAGCTGGATCGAAGTGCTACACCGGTTGCCACCCGCAAGGAAACACCAGCACAGGAGCCTACATCCCGCCCGCAACCTGCCTCCACTCCCACCACCGTGCCTCGGCCGGAGACTACCACCCCCGCACCGCAAACACAAGATACAAATGCATCGCCGACGGTGTTCACATTCACTGCGGGCCCGACTTTCCCCCAGTGCCAGGAACTTGATATGGATATGCAATCATCGGACGACTCTACCTCGCCATCGCAGGATGGCGCCCCGGTCAGCGTCTCTTTGATGCCTCGAACCCCTCGCCAGTCCCATCGACACAACCACAACCACAACCACAACCACAACCACAACCACTCCTGTTCCAACGTCCGACCTCCCCCTAGAGAGACCGCAGCCAGCTTGGGATCAAAGAGGAAACTCACCTTCCCTGACTTCTTCGACCTATCCAGCCTCCCGAACGGACGAGACAACATGTTTGGAGGAGGGAAACGCGGCCGGTTTACCTAGGAACCACGCATACCTAGGCTCGACGAACTCGACGAAATGACGAACATTTTTCTTCTGATTGTCACGCAGCAGCTGGGTGGACACTTGCGGTGTTTTTTTTCAGGTGCATATTAGGGGAAGGTGAATTCTTGCATACATATGGCTTCGTTGCATTTTTTTTTCTGGTTACATCCTTTGGGTTTCTTTCTTCTTCCTCTTCATATTTTCTTTCATTTTATGTTTTCCCTTCCCCTTTCTTTCTCTTATACCTGCCATACAGCATATAGAGGAATTGTGTTACGGTGATACCCGGTGTGGCAGCTATCATTATCATGATGGTTCAACAAATCAATATTATACATACAACCCCCATACTTTGTCTTCTCCTTGATATCGTAGAACACTCCGTAGATTGAAGGCGAACTCCACGCTTGTAGCGCTATGTGGCACAGGCGAAAAGCTCCATAGTTCGTAAAAAAACAATCAGTTAAATGCCCGCCAGACACCCAAGCCAATCAGACTGGCCGATATGGTGGCAATGCCGAGTCGTCGTGATCCCATTTTATACTTTGTTGAGGCTTGCATGATGGCCTTCTCTTGTTTGCGGAGGTTGTTCATGCCGGTGTAGTAGCTGTAGACTCCAAGGCCAATGAATGCAGCAGAACCTGTGAATAGATCTTCAGCATATTACCCTCGACAATCGGCGGTTATTCAAACTTACCAGTGACTCTGCAGGACATACAGTCGTCCCACTTGTCATCCGCAATCGCCTGCTTGGCAGTACGATTATCTGAAGGTAGCGACATTTGGGGTATGATGGGAACTCCTGGGAGCTTCAATTTCGAACAAGTGAAAATGATGCCCTTCTAGACCTCAGTCTGCTCGATATGACAATGACTCCATTGACGGAAACACGGGTGTAGCCAAAAAGTAACCATAAGGCGGAACTCGGAGGCAGAATGCACAGCTTCATGTCAAGCTATACAGCGCCAAGGCATCTTGCCCCCAGACAACTATCACCATGAGCGGCGAGATTGATGCCGTCTACATATTTGACGAGCACAAGTATGACACTTGGCTTCCTAGCTCCAGAACCAGCACTAATCTCCGTCTTCCAGCGCCCCTCTCGTCGAGCATGTTTACCGATCCCGCCCGCCATCAGCCGCGGCCATCCTGCCCCTCTATCTTGCTCATGCTGCCCCACGACCATCCTTGATATATCTCCCAGGGACTACACCTCCTGTGACTGTGTTCTCGACTGTTCAGTCTAATCTCCTATTCTTGGCTGTATCCGAGGTAGACACAGAGCCGCTGTTGGTTCTGGAGTTCCTGCATCGCGTGGTCGATGTCCTCGAGGAGTTTGTTGGCGCTCCATTACTATCTACCAAGATACAAGCAAATTATGAGGTTGTGGCACAGTTGCTTCATGAGATATGTGATGGAGGGATCGTGTGCAACACCGAACCCAATGTTTTACAGGAAGTTGTGGAGGTGCCGGGGTGGATGGGGAAGCTTCTCGGAGGTATCAGCGTGCCTGGGTAAGAACCGAACCCCTGTGATTCGAGCTGTATGGAATAGCTCTCTGATGGTAATTGTGATTCGTCTAGCACCTCGACCCCTACGCTTGGCACAACAAATCCTCTGAAGCAATCGCTGGCCGCGGCCAGCGCATCCCAAGGCCCCGCAATTCCCTGGCGGCGCTCCGGGATTCGACACACTTCGAATGAGCTATATGTCGATATCATTGAATCCTTATCTGTGACCATGGCTCCTTCTGGCAGGTTACTTTCTGCGCTGGTATCGGGGACTATCGCCTTCACTGCGAAGATATCTGGAGTGCCAGATCTGCTCCTTTCATTATCAGCGCCGGGCGGCCAACAATCCCTCGCGAGCAAGATTGAACTTCCTGTTTTCCACCCATGTGTTCGCCTTGCTCGTTGGCGCGATCGTCCCGGCGAACTCAGTTTTGTTCCTCCCGATGGACGATTCATTCTAGCAGGCTACGAAGTCGATCTACTCCCAATAGACCCGGGTCTCGATCAACCGCCTAGTCATATGGAGAAGCTATTTCTTCCCGCCATTGTGGATATTCGAAAGTCACTAGGACCTTCTGGTGCAGACTTTGAGGTTCGGCTGACTTTGAACACAAATTTCCCGGGGCAGAGCTCATCTTCGCGGCCAGCCGCGTCGCGGGGTGGATCAGGGACCTCAACACCCTCCTTCCTTGGTGGTGGTAGTGGAAACTCCTCTGGGCCGGTACTAGAGGAAGTAGTTGTGACAGTTCCTATTTCAAAATCTGTGCGGCACATCACGGACATGCAGGCCAGTCGCGGTGATGCGCAGTTCACCCATGCCACTGGTCTTCTCGAATGGCGAGTGCCGACTGGCAAGGATGCTGGGACGATATCTGGTACTGCAACCCTTCGCTGTACTGTGTCCGGGCACCCATCCCCGGACGAGGATTTGGACGATAGTCTAGAAGATGAAGATGCGGATACCAACCTTCTCCAGGGCTACTATGAGGCCCCCGCTTCGTATGACCAATCTACGAGCGCTACCCGAAAGAGCCGAGACCCTTCTAAACGAAAAAAGAAAAAGAAGAAGTCAAGCAAAAAGTCTAGGGCGGCCGAAGAGACCGGCGAGACCCCTGTTCAGGCCATATCGGAAGAACAAGGCAAACCCAAAACTCCCTCTCCCAACCACTCCAAACCTCACACACCGCAACCTCAATCCCTCTCCCACTCTTCCTCCCAGCTTCCAGCTTTCTTCATGCCTTCTTCTACATCCCGCCCTACACCCCGCAGAACCAAAGCCCAAATCAACGCCAGCCTGATGCCAAACTCGGCCTCGGTCTCCTTCTCCGTGCGTGGCTGGCTTCCTCCGGGATCAAGGTCGAGAGCTTGAACATTGACCAGCGCCGCAGCCGCGGTCTGGGGGAAAGCGTCAAACCATACAAGGGGGTGAAGTACCTCTGCGTAAGCAAACGCGGTGTGGAACGACGCTGTTAACGCGGATTCTTGAAGTCTGGAAACACAAATGTGAATGTTATGAGGTGATCATGAAGTCAAGAATTGTGACGTGGTGGCATGAATAACGATAGAGTCCTACATTTGAGAGAAAATCGGAAAACAAATCCATAAGACATAACTCAATAACTGGAATTTTTAACCTCCAGGACCCCCCTGACCCTGGTCTGCCCCCAACTTACCCAAACACACCTTCCACATATATAAGAGCGATGTGAGTCGGCCCAATCAGCCGGCATGTTTGGTCCGTTCGTGGGGAAAGCTTGGATGAGAGCTAAAATGGACAGGGGAACCCAGGGAAGTCCGAGTGAGGCCTCCTAGGTACATATTCCACGAGAGCAAATGAAGTTCCGCGAGCGGCTGAGGCCGGCTGGGTGATCTATGGGATTGTGATGACTTTCCATGTTAGAGGATGCGTTGTGAGGGTATTTATTTGTTGCGTAGAGCTGATCACATTGTTGAATGCTGTCGAAATAATCAGTATCTCGACTGTATACCTAGATAGAGAGGCCATAACCACTTTAGTCGCGTGTTCTATGGTGATTATAGGGTTCATTCGGTGTCCTGAAATATCTACGATAGCTACCACTCGACGCAGAAACACGTTTTCCATATATCGCTAGGTCAGGTTTAGCAAAATTGAGTTCGATCTCGATCTCCGACATGCAATTAAATAGTATATACACAGGATGATGTCTGCTACCGTAGGTGGGTTAACTTAGTTAACGAGGGGGTTTATTAGTAATATAGACCCGGGCAGAATAATAACTAGTGGGTCAAGTACCAATCCTACATTATTTTCTTTGCAACCTGTACGGAGTAGACAGTGTTTAACTTAGAATGGTCACGTGAGCGTTTTTATTCTTTCACATTTATTCCAGTCCACTCCAAACCAAGAGTTATCTATATCAGTTCCTAGAGAGTATGGCACTCATGATTCTAAAACAACATCTACAATGTCCATCCCCTTCACCTCACCACCGAGCAGCCACCCCGTCGAAATATCCTTTTCAAATAACTCTTGCACCTGCTTGCGCAACTCGCTCGCGGTCAAACTATCAATCCCAATCCGCACTAAACCTGCCTGTATGTTTATCTGTTCTCTAGGTATAAAAAGCAGCTCGGCAAGAACTTCTGTAACAGCGTCTGTCGCTGCATTGCGACGTATATTTCCATCTTCGACTGGGATGGACCGGAATTTAGCTATTGCTGTGGAGGTTGGGGTTGCTGCTTGGCCGTTGGTCATGTTAGCGCTAGTGGACTGGGCTTGCGCAGCGGCTGTTTGGAGGATAATGGCGAATTTATCGTATGTTTGTGGAAGGACATCTGTCTCTCGTTCTTGGAGGTGGGTGTAAGCCATTGTAGGAGAAAGGCCGTACAAAATTGATTGAGCACGGGGCAGTTCAGGAGACTCTGAGGCTGGCGCGACGCTAGTGCAAAAAACGGCTTGTATCCCTGGAATGAGGTCGTCGAGAACGGGCTGACCCTGGAATATGGTAAGTAAGCTGGACATAGGGCCTTGTATTGCCCATGAGTCTGCAATACTCTGTGCCTGTTCGCTGCTGTTGGCAGAAAGACTGAAGAGGCTCGCATCCGCAGAAGTCATGATGAGGACTTTCTCCGGGGCCCAGCGCCCTGAGAAAACACGTTGAGCTACACCATGAAGGTCTTCCATGGCTATACCGGCATCCTGTCTGCCAAAAATGACAGCCTTGACACATGGCGATAAGGTTGCGCGCAATTGCATAGAAACCCTGTTTTCATGCACGGTGGAGAGCGGCTCCCAGATCACAGAGACAGCAACTCCCAACTGGCGAAGGCTTTCTAGGTGAAGCAGTATGGATCCGTCTATCCAACTATCCTTTGCACTTGTTCTCAGGCTCCTAGCGATGATGATGCATCTGGTTCCCATTTCTGCGAGCCAGATTGTCAGGTCTGTGAAGAAGGGCTCGTCGATACAGTCGATCAGGACCACTGAGTCGGAGTAGGGTTGTGCGTTCAAGCTTGAGCTTTCCATCTGCTTCGATGGGGCCATGGGGTAGAATCGCTCGATTGAACACTTCTCTGCACCTGTACCTGCAACTCGGCCATTCATAGAATCCTCTGCGACAGAAGAGACCAGCACGTTCATTGTTCTGAATGGATCGACATAGTCCGGAAGATCAATCCATGCGCTTGTGAAGCCACATTTGCGCAATGTCTGATTCCACAGGTCGACAGAAATGAAGGGTGAGGTAGGTCGGCCATCTCGTCGACCTTTCCAGTAGTCTGAAAATCCACCCTACTCATACCTAGTATCAGCACCATGGGACTCTTTAGACCTTCCGAGAAGAGAAAGAAATTTTTCTTACCAATACAATTGTGAGCCAAACGGTCTCGATGGTCTGCAAGAACCAGATTAGTCCCGTGTTTCTTTTTTGGAATATGAAGAAGGCGGGTTAAGGGAGAGGGCTGAATACAGTTTCGACGAGGATAAGCTTCCCATTTGGCTTCAAAAGCCTGCGGACATTGCGTAGAGTCTCCTCTAGTGAGATCGTTGCGTGGAGGACCTGTCATCTCTGTGTCAACTCTCGCTCTCCAAATCAGAAGGCGAAGGATGAATACATTCGCGGCAACAACCACATCATAACTCCCTTCCTCGATTCCCTGCTTCGAGGGAGCCTCCTCAATATTCAGTGTGGCATATGAAATATCCTGAACATCCTTGAACTCATCCCGTGCACCGCTGAGGAAGTAACTGCTCACATCCGTGAAGCAATAGCTCCCATACCGACGCCCTCCACTCCATGCACCCAACACGTCAAGGATCTCCCTTGTCGCGCCTCTCGTGCCACCACCGACCTCGATATACCTCGCACTCGGGTTCTTGTGCCCGACCAGATCAATTACACGGCGTAGCTGGATCATCGAACCGGCAGCTGTGAGAGTTGAGGTGTAAAGCTTGTGCAACAGACCGTCAGCCATTAAAAGGTCATGGGCTGAGATCGTGCTATTTAGAACACCAGGAAGACTCGAATACATGCGCATCATGAGTTGGGCTTCTACAGAGTCCTGAGCGACTTCTTCGTAGAGGGTGGATATGAGTTTAGACCGGGTTGGGGAATCCATGGCTTTTAATTCCCGGCCATATGGCATGCGGCCGTTGGGAATTTGAGCATACGCATTCTCAAGCCACTCGAGGAAGTTCCGACCTGTTTCAGAGAGCGATTGCGACGTTCTGTTGCTCGAGTCATCCTTCTGGGAGGAGATGTACTGGACAACCATGGCCGAGGCGAGTCGGTGTACCTTGCCGAACATTTCTTCTCCAGGAAAGTCGGGCGCAGGAAACATGCTAGAGATTGAGTCCTGGGAAATGGTCGTGTAGTCTGGTTTAGAAATTGACTGGAGAGCGGGATACTCCGCCATTTCTATACTTCTCTGATCCAGACTGTTCAAGCGCACATCCTTGAGACATATAGCTAACCGGCCATTTGTATCCCAGAGGTCGACCGTTTCCACAACAGCTCTGCTTTGGTGCGTTGATACAAGATATGGAGCAGACAAATCTAAGTTGTCCCAGAAGCCGGTAAACTCGACCTTCCCAATCGATATTGGATACGCCAACTGGAGATCGTGGGTCGCCGACGACATTATAGCCAACTGAATGCATGTCTCCAGGGTGCCGAGCCTGCCGAAAAGACTCTCTCTCAGTTCACATCGATACACATTCTCCAATGGATTGGCATGAACTGTGTCAATCGATTGCCATAGCACATCATACTTGAGCCCTGCGGCTTCCAGCTTCTCATACAGTTTTCCGGCAGAGATCGCGATAGGCGTAATTAGCCTGTCAAGAGCACCACCTTCAAGTTGATGATCTTGCTTGACATGGATCCGTCCGGAGGCATGAATGGTGGCCTCCCTGCCTTGGACGCTGGTGATCTCAAAGACAAAAGATTGCTCGTCGACATCCGGATGAAGGCAAGTCACAACATCCCTCTCCACATCCAACGTTAGTGCATTCGGCAGCTGAATGTTGGTAAGTGTCCATGTCCCAGCAGAAAATGAAGGCAGGGTCTGTTGTGCAGAAATAAGAGCCATCTCTAGCAGACATGCAACGGGAACTTGAGGGGTCTGCAGAACCCTCAGCCCCCAACCCCCGGTGACCTGTCCAAGCTAAGCACATTTCTCCAACTAGGTGCGCGCGGCGAAGCGCCCAAAACCCGGCCCCCAAGGAGGTCATGGAAGGGGAATTGCGGGAACCGAAACTCGGTCTCAATTCGGCTCATGTGCTGCAACGCGTCGCCATATGCATACCTATACGTGGGCAACGAAGACAACAGTCTTGGCTTGATTTCCTTCCCGGTCACGGCGTCGGCTGCGCAATTCACAGCCGCTAGGTTAAGCTCGCAGGCATCGTTGAAGAACGCACCCGCTAGCTCGAGCATGCACTCCTCAGCATCACGTTTCCGTACCAGCGTCGGCATGTACGGCGGGAAGTTTTCTCCCTTCTCGCGGAAGACCTGCTCAAGCTGTCGAATTGGACCTGCAAGGGCCGAATGTGGACCAATTTCAACAAGGACATCAACGCCATGGTTTACCAGTTCCTCTAGTGCAGGCGAGAAAAGCACCGGACCTTCAAGATTTGATCGCCAGTACGACGGCGTGATCTGGGAGCCCTCTGGTAACTGGTGGCCTGAGACGGAGGAGAAGAACGGTATGACGGCCCGCGTTCCCTCCTCATGGTACATGTGAGAAGTTGCTTGTCGCGTACTAGTCTCAAAGATCTCCCCAATCTCTCGCATGTGAAAGCTATGGTATGCTTTCCCGCCAGTTGAGAGCACACGGTTGAAAATTCCCTTCCTATTGCAGATATTGCAGACCTCTTCGATAGCGTCAACGTCCCCGCTGATCGTGATGCTCTCGGGCGAGTTAATTGCCGCAATACTGACGCGATCTTTCAGTGGTTCCACGAGAGCCTCGCAATCCTTTTGTGCTAGACCCAGGGCAGCCATGGAGCCCTCACGGGTTATACGGGCAACAGATTTGCCTCTATAGTAGGCAGCTACGATGGCTTCTTCGAGCGTTACTTTGCCAGCTGCGTACGCGGCTGCCATTTCTCCTGTAGTAAGTCAGCATTTTCCATGGCCTCGGCAGATTTTACATGGTGGTGCATGGTATACCAACCTGAAGAATGCCCCATGCATGCAAAAGGAACGATATCCCACGAATTCAAAACTTCAGTCAGTCCAATCTGGACTGCTGTACAAGCTGGCTGCGAAATTTCCGCCACGTATACCTGGCTCTTGTCCGCCGGGTCAAGCAGAATTTCTATCAATTAGTATGTAGAACTGTTGCTCAGCGCAAAGTAAAGCCCCGGTACCAACCTTCAAGCGTCCAAGCTGGTCCATCAGGAAGCCGTTGCAACGATTCATTCATCTTGCAAATTGCGCGCCGGAAAGCCGGCCACCGACCAAAGAGTTCTTTGCCCATTTGCGGCCATTGTGCTCCTTGACCTGCTCTTACTTAGTCCCGAGTTTCTGACAAATGGTTCAAGAATGTGGAGGGGAAGAATACCCGTGAAGATGAATCCAATCTTGGGCGGCAATGTACGTAGCCGCTTAGCTTTCTGCAACTGGTCACTTGACAGTGAAAGGGAACTATCTGCATTAGTTGAAACGACAGCAAATCCCCTGTATGGAAGACGAGATCGGCGCCTAAGTGTATATGCCACGTCTGTGGGTGTGTATAAGTATTTATCACACGCAGCTGCTAGTGCTTCGCAATTCTCAAGCAGAGACTGAGGCTTGTGGGCCGAAAACGGCAGTAAGAAGCGCGACGGTCGTATATTTCGATCGATCTCTGCGTCTTGACCATTGTATAAGAATTCTTCAACTATAACGTGTGCGTTCGCGCCGCCAAACCCGGAGGTAGCGACACTTGCACGCCGGGGTAGGTTGACAGGCCATGGTAATTGGTCCTTGACTAGTTGAAAACGACTCGTGTCGAGGTTCAGTAGAGAATTGATAGAAGCCGACGTGATCATGGGCGGGATCACACCCCGTTGAATAGCAAGGACAGCCTTGAGCAGCCCGCTCAGCCCGCTAACTGGTTCGCCGTGTCCGATATTAGCCTTCACTGACCCTAATAGCAAGGGGTTATCTGTTCCACGCGCAGAAAAGAATGATTGGATCGCCTTAAGCTCGATCGGATCTCCCACTGCGGTTCCCGTGCCATGGCACTCATAGTATGCCGTGTCTCGTGGGTCGAGGTTCCCAGCCAATTGATATGCCTTGCGCATGGCGGCCTCCTGGGCTGTGGGGCTGGGATGCGTGATACCCCCGTTCGGCCATTGGCATTGGCTGCCGTACCTCGTATGACAGCCTGAATATTGTCGTTGTCACGGATCGCAGAGTTCAAATCCTTAAGGTAAAACCCCACAAACCCGTCGCCACGACCGTATCCGTCTGCGTCAGAACCGAAGACGTGGCACTGCGAGGTGGACGAAAGCGCACCCAACTTGTCGAGGAACATTTGCATATCGGGAGACCAGATTAAGTTAGAGGATGCCACAATTGCAGAGTCAATCTCCCCTGTGGATATGGCCTGGCAAGCAAGGTGTAAGGCGTATAACGATGCGCTACAAGCGGTGTCGACCGTCATGCTGCAAGCCACCACATCCATTCCAATCAGCTTACTTCGCATCTCGTGATCTCACAAAGGGAATGCTTATGAAAACGCACCTAGGTCCCCTCAAATCAAACGTATAGGAAATTCGATTCGCGAGAAAGGGGGCAATGGCTGCGGTGGCTGTGTACGGCCCTGCGAACTGGCTATCGCGCACTTTGCCAAACAGCTCATCGTGGTTAAAGCTGCCGATGTAGCATCCTGTCTCTGACCCCGCAAGTTTCTCCATAGAGATTCCAGCGGATTCGATCGTCTCGTAAACGACCTCGAGCAGCTTCTTCAGTGCCGGATCAATCTCAGCAGCCTCGGTGGGCTTCATCGAGAACAACTGCGGTTCGAAGAGCATCGGGTCATCACGAAGCAGGTAGCCGCCAGCAGTGGTCATGCTTCCCGGACGGCCGCGCTGTGGATGAAGGAATTTGTCGACATCAAACCGATTAAGAGGGATTTTCCCTGCCGCGGTTTCCTTTGCCAGAAGCATGTCCCAGAAGGCAGAAGGGTCTGTGGCGGATCCAGGAAGGCGGCAACCTTGATCACCGTCAGAGAGCGCGTTCAACAATTAGGTCTAGTCGACTCAGATTGAGGAGTCTTACCCATGCCGATGATAGCGACGCCTCCAAAGGAAGGCGAAATGGGGCTTCTACTGCCGTCTCTGGAGTTTGATGCCCCATTTTGCAACCACGCCCGGTTGAGCTCCTCGATTGATGGCATGGCGTGTAAGTAGAATGTCTATGTTTGATGGCCAGTTCAAGTTGAATTGGTATTGTGCTACATCAATTCTTTCTCTCATGTCCCGAAAATAGGACCCTGGATATAGATGGTCAATCGGGATGATCTACATGACGTTGACCCGAGTCCTGCCATCCTGTGCCCGCATCGTATTCAGTCGCCTTGATTATTAACGGCTTGACGGGGCCTCGTTACTCGGGTCTAGTACATAGCAAGTAGCCACTGTGAGTGTTATCAAGGAAAAGGTGGTATACCTACCCTGCTTAACTAGTGGAGGTTCTAGACTACGCCTAGATGGCGAGATAAAGACTGTCCATATTTTCAAATAGGGCAGTGCTACAGGGATCCCCCATTGGTCTCCTCGAACCCCCCCCCCCCCTGCCTAAATGATTGGGTAGGGGGGTCCCTCAAGCAATGCCCTTCATATATGCCGTCGTTCCCCCGTTGATCTTTTCTTTCCCCCGTACGACACCATCACTTAGATAGTATACCTACATCAAAATAAGTATACTAATCCCATCATGAGATTTCCAAGAACTCGCTTATTCACTACTCTCGTCCTATTTTTCTCATTCTCTATCAGGGCAAATGCAGACGCGCTCAACAGATTCGGCGGCAACACCCCAATCTCCGCGTACACCCCGCATTCCATCAAAGCAATACTGTCCCCCAGTCTCTCCTCATCGGCTTCAATCGCCCTCCCGGGCGATGCAGAATACGAAGAGCTAACGACGAAATACTCCGATTACAACCGTCCCACATATTCTGCTGTCGTTGCGGTAGCCTCAATCGAAGACGTCGTGGCAACAGTCAAATACGCGCGCGAAAACAATATCCCTTTCCTCGTGCAATCCGGAGGACACAGTTTAACGACCTCCACACAGGTCACACAAAATGCCATTCAGATTAATATGCGAAAACTCAACTATATTCATTTCGATGGGGAGAGAGGCTCGGAGTACGCAGTTGTCGGAGGCGGGACTCTGACGGGAGAATTCGCGAATGCGACATATGCCAAAAATAGAGAAGTTAGTACGTTACTCCTCACTATGCGCCTGGTTCCTCAATTTCTCATTTATGCGGATTTGCTGTGAACGATATGCTGACTGACTCTCGGAAAGCTGTTGGATCCTGCCCCTGCACAGGCGTAATGGGGATCGGCCTGGGTGCAGGAATCGGCCGACTCCAGGGGATGTACGGTTACTTCATGGATAACATCGTCGAGCTAACGCTCGTGCTATACGATGGTTCCGTTGTAACTATGTCGGAGACCTCTAACAAGGATCTATGGTGGGCCGTCCGAGGCGCGGGGCACAACTTTGGCGTCGCTGTGGAAGCAGTCATCAAAACGCATCCGCAGCTCAATGCTGGCAAACACTTTGTTGCGGATATGGAATTCCCCGTTTCGCGCACCGCAGAGCTCTTCCAGCTCATGAATCAGATCTCGACACCCGACCTCCCGCCAGAGCTTGCATTCTTCATCACGGCGCACTATAGAGGGAAGTCGGGGAAGCCGATTATCAACATTGACTTTGTCTGGCATGGTCCCCGTGAAGTAGCACTGCCCTACCTGCAACCTTTTCTCGACCTGTCCCCAATTTTCAAGAAAGAAGAATATGTCGCCTGGGATTCATTACCTTGGGTGACCTATCTCGAGCTCAACAATATCCTTTGCTCGCAGCCAGGTGGGCAACGGAATTTCTACGCTGCAAATGCCGCGACATACGACATATCTGCAATGGTCAGCTTGTTCGAGGATTGGGAGAAGACATCTAAGGAATATGCCGGGCGTGCAACCATTTTACTCATGTTCCAAACATTTGGCCAAGGCAAAGTACAGGCTGTAGAGACGGATTCGAGTGTTTTTCCATGGAGGAATGGGGCGAAGCATTTCTTGTACATATGCCCCTTACCCGGTGACCCCCTTAAAAAGAAGTGCAGGCTAATGTGGATGTGGCAGGATTGTCCAAGCAACATATAAAGACCTCTCCCTGCGCATGACGCTCGACAGGTGGCTCAAGGCAGCGCAGAACCTCATTGTCGAAAGTAGCGGGTACGGTCGGCTACAACAATACGTGAACTACGGGCATGGGTTTACCGACTCAGCGGAGAGTTTGTATGGGTATGATGGACGTCGAATGGCGCGTTTGCTCGAGCTCAAGGATAAGTATGATCCAGAGGGGTGGTTTGACACTTATCAGCCTGTGAGACGGAGTCCAGGGGGTGGATTGCGAGAGACGTCGATATTGCCGAAGCGTCCGAGAGTCAGCAGGAAATTGGAGGTGGAGGAGGGCGTGAAGAATAGTAAGCATGATGAGCTGTAGATGATTAGGTTATCATGATCGGTCCAACTGATGTAGCAAAGCTACTGATCCTGTAAGTAGGAGCACGGAGATGCCATTATCCACCTACATTGGTTGGTGGGCTAATGAATTCATGTTGTATCTGGGTGGTATCATGCGATGAGATTCTAATGAGATTCTATCTGCCGCCCAATTCAAGCATACCCCAATGTATCTAGAGGCTGTCAGTAGCGAGTCCAGTCACTAGTCTCAATCTACAACCGTTGATGTATCCAAACACAGCAAATTATCTTCAAGAAGGCATGGGCAAGGGGTCGTCAAGATCCTAACTGCTATGGCAAAAGAATTAGGATATAGGTGGTATAGAGTATAGAGGACAAACGATATGTAATCGTGTCAATCTAGTGAGAGTTGATATTATTCAAAGAGATCTAAAGTAAGTTATTGTGTATATGTTTTGACTTGTTCCCCCACCCCCTCGCCTTTCATTGCCACTTTTTCCTGTCCTCCATAGCGTGTTCCCCATACCGTGTGTATCACTGTCACTAAACGACAGTCCATGGCTTTTTATCCAGCAAAAGTCGTGCAATAACCTGACAGATCAAACCTGCAGTAACCATCGCCGCACTAAACATTGACGCCTCTAAATACCCATACGTCCGGATCAAGGCCCCGTTGATCGGTGTGCCGGCCAGCGCGCCGAAGCTACAAATCGCCAGGCCTTGTCCCACATATGTGCCAATATCGCTTGGATCTGGGCATACTACAGTCATCACGCATATGTTAACAGAAGGGTCCGGCCACGCCAAAGACTGTAATAGAAGGAGCCAAAGAGAGGCGACAAACCTTGAGCAACAGTAGGCGAATACAGGGAAAATACCGCCCCAGAAAAGAACCCAAAGAACGCGATCCAAACCATGATTGCTGCACTGGAGGTGGCAGCCGTCCAGCAGAAGAGGAGAATTGCACAGGCGGCATATGTGAATATAGTAATGTTGAACCGACCTAGCTTGTCACCTGCGAAATTGGGGATTGTCCGCCCAAAAAATGAGGGAGCGTTGAGAATCGCAACTTGATACAGAGCCATCTGTTTACTCATACCACCGCGCTCAACGGCATAGTCAGCTATGTAGAATATGGGAGCGTACAAGCCCAACAGAGCCAAGAGGAAGCCCGCATTCGTCAGGTTGTAAGGCCACTTCTTGAAGGCGCTTGACAGGAACATGTTTTTCTGGCGACGAGGAGCAAATTCCTTCGTGACCAGGGCAGCGTAGATCAGCAAGGCAAGCATAATGAAACCTATAACACGTACTGACCAGCCGAAGCTAAGATGATGGTGATTCAGGAGGCGGTTAAGGGTAATGGGAAAGACAATGCCCCCGATAGCAGCGCCAGACACTACAACGCCCATCGCCCACGCCCGACGCGTCGTGAAATATTGTCCAACGCAGGAGACCACTGGTGTAAAAATCATGCCACAGGCCATGCCTCCCAAAACACCCTGAGCTAGGATGAACTGGTAGTATTCATGGCTTAGGCTAGTCATCATGACGGAGAAGACAAGAGTGAGACCGGCGGGGATTACAACCGCCTTAACGCCCAGACGGTCAGAAAGGGACCGCTGGCGGCACCGAAGAGGAAGAGGAGGAAGGCTTGCAGGGAGCCGATCCATGAGATGTTGCTGGAGGATTCGGAGGAGAGAAAGGTTGTACTGTAGTAGCTTTGGAAGACCCTGGAACATTGTTAGGGCTAGAGAGCTCCAGACTGCATTTGATTGTACAAAACTCACCCGAATGTGTTGATATAGCCGAAGGTGCACCTAACATTACCTTAGCTTTAGATCGACGTACCCGAAAGTATAGTTGGGCAGGGTGGAGACATACATTTGAGCGGCAAGGGCTCCTAGCGCTACGCCCCACGCTCGGGCACCTCCATTGGGAGGTTCCTGGGGGTTCTGGCGCTTTTCTTCATCGCTGGACATTTTTCGAGTGATTGAACTCTCATGGAAGGAACTTGTTTAGCTTCGAGGGATGAGAATAGGGCGAGGAGAAGGGAGGCGGTAAAAAGACAAGCTCATCGGAGATAACAGATCGGAGTCCGGGCGATCTGCATTGACAGGGTACGACAGAGGCTTGCATTCCAGCTAACTGAACAAAGAAACATACAGAGCGTTTTGTAATTACCCGATACCCTGCGTTTAGAAAGTGCAGAGTTCCGTAGCATCCCTATCCCCTGCTATTCGTTTTCTCTAGATGCACATTGACCGCTGAATTTTAATACAGAATGAGGAAATTGAAGTCGCAAGAATAAAAAAGATGACATAGCGTCGGTTGGTGGCCGCGTTACTCGGCCCAGCAAATCATAGCAACGCAAATGCAGACATTCATGGCCATGGTCATATAAGTACATCGTGGTCAAGATACCAGATCAGGATCTTAACGGCGATCAGATCATAATTCCGTGTCTACGGTTTATAGTCCGTGCCCGTTACTCTTCACGGATGCTTCTCAAGGCTGTTGTCGTTCTTGGCTTCCTATCCCTATGGCGTTCTGTCGTATGGGCCTCTCTAGTCCAAGACAATAGCACATTCGCTGGACCAATCCCAAGCATCCACAACCCTACTAGCGCCAGCACTGGTAGTATTGAGCCGGTAACAAGCATATTTCCCCATGGCACAATCTCCACAATCCGAACACCGGGCAGCAACATCACCCGTGCAATCTTCTCCAATGGTCCTATCAATATTATGAATTGGCCAATGATCCAGGACTTGCAAAACCTGACTACCTCTCTTTACAACCAATCTCATACAAAAGTCGTGATCTTGGAGAGTGCAAACCCAAGTTTCTTCATCGCCCAGCTCAGCCTCCTTGAGCACGATGGCTGGCCTACCCCTACAGAACAAACGAAGACATTTATTAACGCCGCCCACGACATCAGTACACTCCCTGTGATCTTCATCGCCAGTATTGCGGGCCGTGCGCGTGGTGCGGGAAATGAGCTTATACTACAATGTGACGTGCGCTATGCGGCGAGAGGGCGCACGTTCCTTGGCAACTTCGAAACAGCCATAGGGCTGGTTCCTGGCGCTGGTGGCATCGCATATCTCGCCTCCTTAGTAGGCCGCGCAAAGGCATTCGAATACGTTCTGTCGGGGCGGGACATTGATGCCGATACCGCAGAGCGGATCGGATGGGTGAACCACGCTATTGATTCTTATGATCTGGATGGGGTCGTGAGGGCATTTGCGGAGCGATTGGCACTGTTTCCAGTCCAGGCATTGGCAACGGCAAAGAAACGAATCAACGAGATGACTCTTGTGCCGCCGGATCAGGTATGGGCGGATTATAATGCGTGGGTGCCGCTTGTTGGCAAGCCATTCTCGGCGCCCTTGGCCAGTAGGGAGATGATGCTTTCAACGAATGAGAGCTTTGGAGAGTATCAGTTGTATGAGGGAGACGAAGTACTCAGGGTTTACGAATAACTCTTTTGTTGAGCTACTATACAACGTGGGTGTCTTTCGAGAAAACTACTGGTGTACATGAAATCATTCGCTCAAAGCTCTCTTGGCCATGTACCACAATGGATATGATACTAGTTCAAGGATAAGCCATTGGTAAAGCATGGTACGCATCGAACAAGCCATCCGGATCGATTCTCTGCTTCAACTTTGCCAGCCGTCCCAATTTCTGTTCGCCATAAACCTCCTCCAAAGTCTCATCCCCATGTGAATAACTGACATAAACATTCAACCGGGCTGTCCCAGCTGTTTTCACCAGAACATCCCTAATCCGTCTTGCATACCCGTCCACAACAGCGTCGAGGTTTGCATCACTATGCTTGAACTCCAGAAGCGCATGCGCGATCAAACTTCGCCATGGATACGCTGTCTCGTTATCTGGCACCGCAAGGATCCCTTGAGTAGGCAGCAGTTATACATCAATTGAGCTGTCAATGGTAGCTGGGTATCTGGTTATCATGTCTTTAAATATACCAGAGGCTGTAGTGTAGGCATCCGGGTCAATTCTGTTGACCCCAATTGCCCACTGGCTGCGTCTAGCCCCTCGTTCGCAGATGCCGGACCCGTGAAGCCAAATCCAACAGTATCCAGTAGTTCATTTCAGGGAACGGAGGTAATGTTAGATACAAGTGGGTTCTGGTCGAGGAGGAACTGCACGGCAGCACGGCCGTCTGCTTCAGGACCAGCATAGACGGCGTTGGCGGTGATCACGGTTTCGTTAAGATCCGCATCAAAGTTGAACAGTGTGAGGATAGATGGTTCTTTGGGCAGAGACTTTGATATTGTGTCAAGTCGCTCGTAATAACTTTGCACTTGTGAAATGGGAAACTTGAAGTCTGCATTTAGATGCAAGCCGTTGGGGACCTGGTCATAGATCCGGTACGTGGCGTTCAAGACATAGCCAAAGTTGAAGCCCGCGCCTCGAATAGCGCAGAAGATATCCTCATTTTCGTCTTTGGAAGCGGTGATAATAGTTGTGTTGGGGAGCATCAGTCTTACAGTCATGAGACTCTCCAGGACTAAACCGTGTAGGCCCGACAGCCGTCCTACACCACCTCCTAGACCTCCGCCCAGTAGGCCAACACATGAGAAAGATCCCGTTTCTATTCATATTAGTTTTATATTTACGTATATGGTAATTTGTGGATGTTGCCATCTGCGAGGGGGTGGAACTTACGCATTTCCTTTCCGACTGAATACAGAGCGTCAATGGCCTGGCCAAACGTAACGGATCCCCCTGCGGTCGGAGTATTTGCATTAGGATCAACACTTAGATGGTTCAGGAAGGCTGTGTTGATCTCGAGACCATTTTGAACAGAGTCCAGTGTGATGGAGTAGCCGTGTTGAGGACCTGTTGCTAGGAATGTGACGTTTGACTGTGTTGCACATTGGATCTAGGCCATTCTCATCAGCGAATAATCCAAGCAATGTCCTCACCAAGGCATTAGAAGTCATAGAGTGATCATCAACAAATGGACCCACTCTGGTATAGTACGTACTGAAGTCGCAATATCCTCTTCTGACCCTGCATTGACAAGAACGGAGTACGAGGGGGCTCCCAGGGTCGTCCAGCGGATGCTATCATTAACATAATTTGCATTGCTGGGGGTAATGATTGACGAGGTGGGTATTTTTCTATGCAGGCAATCTAGCAAGGTACAGTGGCAGTTCAAAAGTCTGAAACCAGGGACCAAGAAAACAGGCCGTCAAAATATGCCTCGATTTTATGTTTTTAACAGATCTTTCTGAATGTCTTTTGAACCCTCTTTCTAGATATTCCCGGCATCTGTGTTTCAACTTGTCTTTCAAAGTATAGCTGATGAGGTGGGTTTGAACTTTTTCGGGTGTTGCAAACTTATGGAACACCACTGTATCTATTTGCGGCTGGCTTGATGACACCTGGGCCGCGCTAGCACCGACCAACCCGTAGACGACGATCAAAGCCGAGAGTGACATCGGAGCAATGAGAGGTAGCATAGTGATTTTGGTTGAGAACAAAAGTACCGGACGTGGTTCATGGGCTATTGAGCTGCATGACTAAGAAGTTCTAGAGAAGCCGATACCCGACTTTATTTAATTTTCCGTTAGTGATATCTGGAAAATCGACAAGCGGATACAAAAGGATGGATCGGTGGGCCAGGACAATAACCTGCGTAACGGGCTTCACATACAGCTACACACCCCTGACCAGGGTCACTACACCAGCCTGCAGAGAGACCCGGACTCTTCGGACAATCGTGGCTCTTATATCCGCATAAAACCGCCCCGTGATGCTCAAACCAACCCGATCTTGATCAGCCATTTCTATTCCCCGAGTTGTGAATATGGTTGCGTGCGGTTTCAGTACACTTGCTCCCGCTCTGATTTTCTCGGTACCCAGCCCTTCCTCGGCCCTTCTGGCACATCCATAGATTGAAACCTCGCTAACCGAGCCTTCTTTGATGTAGCTACAAATCTGGCGAAGGGTGAGCCAGTCCTCGTAATCATCCCTGTCAGGTTATGTCCTAATACAGTTCACTTCTGCAGCATACAATTGGCCCCACAGACATCGGCTACACTCTTTACAATGGAGAAAGCAGAGGCACTTTGAAGTCGGTGGAAGGGGTAAGCTGGTCTTTCGTCTATCGCGCATCTCAGTGCAGCTTACCTACAATCTGCTGTGTAGTTCGAGACTTCCCTCAATGCTACAGTCGTGCACATGGATGACTTTTTCAATCTCTATGGCGACGGATCCAACTACTCTATCGAGCCTCGTGGTCTGGTTCTGACTGATGATGGCGTTGCCATCAGCGTGCACGCAACTGGTCTCTTTGCCCGGACCCCAGAGATTGCGAGCCTATTGGCCGGTGATCCTGGCACGCCGTCTGAAGATTGGGGGCAATCTTATTCAGGTACGTCATCAATCCGAGGCGGTGCTCTTCAATGCATGCATAATTGCAGGGGTAGTGAAAAACTGATAGGGTGATAAAAGCCTCAGCATGGACGTTTGACGTCAGCAAGAATAGCACCAAGTACAGAAACCTGGCAGATTCCATGTTTGTCGGCAATTTCCGCCTGATGCCAGGGAATAGCGACAAATCATCTTACTTTGACGTGGAGTATCGGCTGAGCAAGATCACGCCCGGGCCACACATCCAAGGGGATTGTCCAGAGGCGAAGTAGACTCGGAGTTCATGAGTCTCCTCGTCTAGTATACATGCATTTGCATATCATGACAACACTGATAACCCTTTGAGTCTAGCTTGTGTTCTTAGCATAGGATGACAATAGTAATGTCTTTTTGCAATGACGAAAGGATTTATTGATGAGACTTGTGGTCCACTAAGTTGATCCCTGCACAACTTTGAAATCTACCTTTGCTGTTACCAACTCATGTACCATGCGAGTGATTAGATTTTCGTCGGGATTTTGAATGACCAGTGAGACCTCCTGGGGTGAAGAGGCCAAAGAGGAAGGGCCTGCGTGGCTTGGGTCTTCATCTCCGGGGCTGGATGTATCCTGTGCTTCTTGAATAGTCCCAGGGTCGAAAACTGTGGAATAATTCAAGGTTGTATCAGAAGGAAGGGACAAGCCTATTTATGTGTGTTAATTTAGTTTCCTCGGTGCAAGTAGAAGTGAGTTTACCTAGAATATCGAGCTGAGACGAGAAGAAGTTCGAGCTGGGGGACCCCACGCCAGGAATAGTATAGTCTTCCATAGTCTCTGAAACTTCAGGAGTCCATGGGACCGACCGAAGATTCCAAAGTCTTGTATCGGATAATGGAGTCATGATTCCGAGGGGTATCGCAGTGTCTTGCGAGCAAGTTACTGCATTCTGGCAGCAAGGGGGTGCATCGGAGATAGAGGCCAATACAGCCTGCAATCGCTCATAGTTGCGGCTAACGATCGCATGCCTAAATAGACAATAAGCTCAGAATCAACTGAGGAGAGTCAAGTCTTAACTGATTTTTGATACTATTTGATGGACATCGCGGAAAATGCACCTGCTGGATAGTGCTCCAGTTTGTGCCATGAAAGGAGACTGCTCGGAAGAGGAGTCCAATCTATCAATACTGTCAGGTCATACACCACATCCTTTGGTAGGTTACAGTCACATTTACCTTATCTTGAGTCCATTGCGAATGCACGAGAGCTGGATCGAGATGCTGGTTCCATCGCTTCGAGCATTCTAGACTAATTATTAGTCAATACTCTCATTCACAGATACAAGGAACCCACGGTCTGCGCTACGGGTACCAACGTCTTTGGCGACGTTCACCCATCTCGTTCCATGCAGCTGGACTGCGATCCGTAGTCGATCATCCTCGCTCTTAGTCCATGCACCTTTGTTAAACTGGTTCTCCAGTACATTGACCCAGCGCTTTCGGACGTCGCGACTGGTTCTGCCGGGTAGACAGCGGGCTATCGCATCCCAGCGAGTCGTGCACGAGGTATTTTCTGCAAAATGGTCATGTGAGTTAGTATCCTCTGCGTAACTCTGAAGGTAATTCCTACCAGTACCCTGTCGAGCGAATTCCTTTCGCAGAATCTGATCTTCAGACTCATTCCATGACCCTGCGCCCATTTTTGGTGGTCTATGCAGAGGAAATAGGATAGATAAACTGCAACACTAATTTAGGAGAACGAGGCAAGGCTTAGCTGCGGCTTCGTCTTCTGAGATAAGACTCCCAACCTGGGTGTCTAGGAACAATTTAAGAGCGTCGCTTATCCATCGAGTCCACACTGGCTTTTCAGAGGCTTTATTTAGTACTTTTGATTGCTCGGGGGTGGATATGGTATGGCATCATAATACGAAGTCGGCTGGGGGATAGAGCAATGTTTAGTTGCGTGGCCAATGGGCGTAAGTCGTGGCACAACGGTGGGCAAGAGAGCGCTTCTGTTTTGTGATGATAGGATAAAGATGCATAGCAATTAGAGTATTTTATTTTTCGCTTCCAGCGGAAGTATGATAGAAAGGGGCCAGCTTTCAGGTACGTGACTTGCGCCGTTGATTGCCATAGGGGGACCTCTCGAAATAGGAACCATCGAAGTTGCGTCCTCCCAGTACACAAGGAAAGATTGAAACCGAACGAGATCCGATACTGAGTTCAACAGCTCGCTTTCAACTTTGTCCCGTATGGTAATCTGGTATCTTTGGCATGGACACTGTAGTAAAGCTCTGTTCCAGACGCTGACGTACCAAAGAAAAAGATTTAAAAAAATAAAATGAATTATATTCCAACCCGCCTCGGTCGCCATCTGCCCCTGAGAAATCAATATAGAAGTCCAGCCAGGCAAGATTATTCTTGCCCATGATCCAAATATGCCCGGGTGAGAAATTACTGTCACGAAACTATGTATGCTACGCTAGAATTACATGGGAACTGCAGAGTAGTTCAAGCAAACTGAAGATGTTAAATTGAGCAATCCCCGTCCAACTTCATAAGCGGGACGGGTCAACCCGCTAGCGCGCCCGTGACGGGCGCCACACATGCTCTTGATTTGCTCATGTTCCAGAAATAAAAGATGCATAATTCTAGTTCAGTCAATAAGATAAGATATCCGTTGGAAGGCCGATCGGGTATAAGGATGTCATAATGATTCTGTATAACAAGCAGCACAGAATTGTGAGGAACTAGGAGACGAGTCAACTCGAGCACATGGAAGAAACAGAAGAGATGTTCTTGATTTCTAGCCCCGCCGATCGTCGGCATCCATTACTTAGTCAATCCGTGCATTCGTATATGTACAAGCGAATACGGAACTTCCGATTCGAGTCATGAAAGGCTAGTGTTTCAAGATGGATAAATGGATATAGACATTTTCGCAGGACACCCACATATACATACACTGAGATAAGGTTTGTCGCAGGCAGCCGTAGCCTTGATCGACGGATCGTAAGCACTACTGCACTCACTAATGCACTGTGACCTAACCAAATCCACCAGTCCAACAGCGCTCCTCAACAAGGATGAATGTATTCGCATGATGGATTATTCGATAAACGATCTGCAACATCGGAGACTCCGAGGGGATATCCCCCTGTCGCAGTTAGAAGGTGCACAGTTGATTGGTGGCCCTGGGAATACAGTAGATCAGAAGTGAAATTTACGACATGAGGCAGAAATCCGCTACGAATATAATGGCTGGAATGGCCCAAAGCTCGATCTCCGAACTCGATACAAAACGTCACCTTTTCTAAGCCTCCATGTAGATTGACTTATTTCCACCAAACCCTTACTTCACCACAATTTGAAACACAAGATGCCGTGGATGACACGATACGTGAAGAATGAGAAATACTGCCAATTCACTATCCACTAGGGCCTCATCGACTATTAAATTGGCTAGCCGGGTATAATGCTGTTTTATTATCGCTCTGAAAGTTGCCAAAATACACACCATGTTGCATATAAGCCTGAAGAATCATTGACCAAATCTTTCTACCCTAGCATCTTGTACTTGAAGAAATCAAGTTTAATTGAGTGATACCCCGCATAATGTACCCATAGAATAACCCAATCATAATCATATGGATTTTTCAAGCGCGACGAGTACAGATACTCGAATCCTATAACGTGCAATATTTGGCACTACTACTGAGTGTAAGCATGAAATGGGACACAAGACGATCACACGTGCGAGGTGTCAGCGAATTAGGGCCCGGGGTGTGTTAATCGAGTAATAGAACATGGACTAAAGCATGAGGTTGTCAGTCCCAGCATTTGTTGTCAACAGTTGAGATGGGTTCGACCTATAATCATAACTTGATTGAGCCGAGGGGAGATATGGTCAATAGTTTAGTCGATCAATTACGCAGTCTATATAGAGCCTTTGTCTGAAAATATACAAAGCAGATTGAACAATAAGGGTCCGAATAAACAAAAACGCTTTATACTAGAGGTACATTCCCCAAGTGCTATACAGCTGTTTATAACATAGCCTTATCATTTAACTCGTTCTGTGATCCCCATTCTCGCGAGGTTCTCAAGCACAATCTTTCTTGCCTCGTTTTTATCTCTTCTGGTTCTTTTGTTAGCTTCCTCTACCGTCCTCTTGAACTTTTTATTCATGTAATAAATTGATACTAAAATGTCCATAGGACTAAAGCTCTCATCAAAAGCAGAACGAGAGTTCGTGCCATAAATTTGAGGAATTTCTCTGGCCACTGAACCTCCTTCTTGTCAAGATCAAATTTTGAAGTACAAAGAAACATCATTAGCTCTTGAATGGTCTCTGATTTCATCTTTCCTCGGCGATATAACAGATATCTCGAGGATGTTTTTAACAACAGCCTGACACTAGCACCAGTTGCTGGAACTGAGAATATATCTCGCGCAAGAGCTGCAATCGCTAGAAAGCAGCCTTACATAAATCATATTAGTTAATCGGTTAGTACTATGTAGATACGAATTGAGTTAAAACCTACCACTATCAAGATGTTGTGTTTTCTTATTAGCGACTTCCTCTGGCTGCTTTTATCTTCTATTTAATATATTATCGAACTTTGAACTTAGTTCAACTGCTACTTCAAAGCTTTATGAGCCCTGATAGTAGAAATACGCTCTTGGTATCGAACGTGAGCTGATCTAAGAGTAATACTCATTCAACTCTAATCGACCAGTTTCGAGCGAATCAAGAAAATATATTTTTCTATGTGATACAATTTCGCTGGAGCTGCTTTATTTGAATGTTTAAGCCGTTCAAAAAGTCTATTGGAAATTTGGAACACCTAATGCGCAGTGATATCTTAGGTCTTTAGAAGTTGAGTAATATAGCAGGCCAGATTCCAGCAGTGAAACCATATGCCACAGCCTTTCGAAAATTTCCTTGGGCAGAAAGAATTCTCAAGGTTTCCATCAAAATACTGCCTCAGAGACGAGGCTGAATCTCTTAATTCCCTTTGGCAGAAAGGATTCCAGAGAATTGTAAAGAGTTCCATCTGAGACAGAACCGATTCTCTTACTAGACGGGGCTGGTTCCCTCTTCTTTCCTTTCTTTTTAGTAAATCTTTTGTAATCTGCTATTAGCCTAGCATAACTAAAATTATTCTTCTTAGGACTTTTAGATATAGGCAGACTTGGAAGCTGTCAAGCATGTCCTATGGTCACAATGCAGTTCATCTTCATGACTTGGTTATGCAGGGTCACTTAGATGGTTTTATCGTCTTGTCACCATCGACAAAATGAGTCAAAACACCTGGAACAGTCTTTGTTAACTAGTATATCCAACCCAAACATATCGGTGAATAACAATATATACTACATTATCTGAAAAAGGAACCCCCTTGCGTCAATAGTCATGCCATAGAAAGCCGAAGACTCTTTGAAGCATGTAATCCGTCATTCATCCCTATATAATAGGCTTAGCCAGTAGAACAGTTTTGGTCTCCTGAAACAGGCTTTAACGTGATTGACGTCGCCAAAGGACTTTTCTAGCAGTTCAAAGTGTCCGGTTGAGGATCACGTGAGACTTGTGGGCGGGATTCAGGTTGATTATGTAATGCACCCCGCCGCTTAGCAAGGTAAGTTGATCCGGGGCGTGCTCATTTCTCCTCAGGCAGTAAAAGCGGCGGGAGGGCGAGCCTCGAATAGAAGGTGATGGCGCGACTGGCGCCACTATGCAAAAGAAGCCAAGAAAGGAACTAATCAATCAAATTCGAAGCTCTGCGAGAACAATCTAGAGGACAAAGAGGAAGAAAGGAATGAAGCAAGCCTAAATAGGTAAACGGGCGCTGACGCTGAAAACCTCCACAGGAATCTCCATCAGAAGGGAACGCCAAGAGTTGGTCGACAATATGTATTATCATTATCATTCGTTTACTTCAATGTGGCTTATGATCCCTCAGCTACTGTTTCTCCTACTGTAAATACTGCCCCGGCCTAAATCCTAGAGCCAGTGAATCAACTGCCCTTCCCTCGGCCGTAGTTGCACGAAATCAGACCTGCGGCTCTCGAGCCGACCGCAGATTACGCAAACACCCAATCACTCCGCTGTTTGACTCCTTCGTGCGACTTGCAGTCCAACAAGACTAGTCCGGCCAGGCCGATAAGCCCACCCCAACCCGCCCCAGACTAAACCCAACTCGTCGTCTTAATCGTCGATTCGCGATTTGCTTAATTATCACGCCATTGCGAGCACCTGCCTTTCTCTGGAGTCATGGACTCATTCGACTCGTGTTTCCGCTTGGATTCCAGGCCTCTGGTCCTGGGACGGAGCCGTGGGACGCGAAATCGGTGCCCTACGACTTCCCTGATAGGTACACAAGGAACGGAGTCCTGACGCTAGGCAGCTCGGGTATAGTACGACTCGTCGCCAACTAAAGGCAATGATGGCGCGAGGTACTCACGACCCTGTCATCCACGTGTAATTTTCTTTTTCTTTTTTTATCATCACTGGGTTCGGCTTGCTTTAAATGCTGCAGGGTCTGTCGATCGAGATCTTTTTTGGTCTTCTCTGTTTTTCTTCTTTTTACCTTCTACCGTCTACCATCTGGACTTCCCCTCTGACTGTCCCACTCCCATCTACCCTCTCGCCATCATGTCCAAGGTCAAAGAAATCGACGAGAAGCAGCAGCCAGGCTACGTGCTAGGCACGGAAGTCGACGAGACAAGCTCCTTCGACACAATCACAGCCCTCGTGGCGGAAGGTATAGCGACGTTCCTCCCAGACAGGCTGATTTCTGGTTCTCATTTGTTCTAACAGTGCTTGGTAAATGCTTATCTAGATCACGAACATGAAATCAAGCTGCGAACCATGTCCTGGCAGAAGACCGCCGTTTTGTTGGCAGGCGACCAGGTCTGCTTGGCGATCATGGCACAATCCTGGTCTCTCTCGTGAGTCAATGCCGGATATGCAGTTTGGAATGAAGACTGTCGTCGAGACTAACGTTTGGTTGCGCGTGGGCAGAGTCCTCGGATGGGTTCCCGGTATCATCACCATGGTCCTCGCCGGTGTGTTGTTCTGGATCACTTCTATCACCATGCACAAGTATATCATGAAACATCCGCAAATCAAGGACATCTGTGAGTGGACACGGAGCGTTTCTGCGCATGGATATTTCCAGCCTCGGACTTCTTTCGCTCATACTGATCAATGCTTGACTCCCAGGCGATTTTGGATACTACGTGTTTGGCCAGAGCAAAGGGGCTTATGTCTTCTCGGCTTTCATGCTTCTTGCCAACAATATTCTTCTGATCGGCTTCCACGTTCTCACGGGAGCTAAGGTACTGAATACCCTGTCGGGTCACACGCTATGCACAGCTGTCTTCTCCGTCATCGCGACTATCATGGGCATTGTCATGTCCGCGCCGCGTACCCTCCATCATGTTAGCTTCATGTCAATGTTTTCTTGTCAGTGCCGTCCATGTCTCCCCAGAAGAAACCATAATTTTGGTCTCTTGCTAACACCTCGATGTTACAGCTGCATGCATGGGCATTGCAATCCTTCTTTTCCTTATCTTTGCTGGTATTGAGAATGCTCCGCTGTACGGGTACAATGGCGACTATCCCACCGACGGTCCCGTCAAGACCTACGCCTTCCCACTCCCCGGCACGACCTGGGTCGCCTGCATGAACGCCGTGCTCAACATCACCTTCCTCTGGGTCCCGCAAATCCTGTTCCCAACCTTCATCGCCGAAATGGAGCGCCCGCAGGACTTCCCTAAAGCCCTCGCCGTTCTCGCAGGTATCTCTGCCTTCCTGTTCATCGTGCCCCCAGCCATCGGCTTCCACTATCTGGGACAGTACGCCACAGCGCCTGCCTTTGGCAGTCTGGGCGTGGTCGCGTACAAAAAGGCCTCATTCGGATTTGTCATCGTGCCTACGCTCATCATCGGCGTGATCTACGCCAATGTCACGGGTAAATTCATCTATAACCAAGTTCTGGGTAAATCCAGACATGCCCACAGCAATACCGTCATTGGCTGGGGTGTCTGGGGCTTGATTATGATCGGTGTTTGGTTGCTTGCATTCGTCTTCTCCGAGGTCGTCCCTAGCATGGGTGATTTCCTCTCGCTGCTTAGCGGGGCCTTCGATTCTTTCTTTGGTTTCATTTTCTTCGCTGTCGCTTATTGGCAGCTTAACCGGGGACAATTGTTCGCTGGTTTGGCAAGGACGACTATGACGCTTGTCAATGTCTTTATCATGATCGTTGGGCTGTTTATTCTGGGGCCAGGCTTGTATGCCGCCGTTGAGGCTATTATTGCCGATTATTCAGGGGCTACAACGCCTGCGTTTACATGTGCTAATATGGCTATTTAATGAGACGCGGGGGATGATGATGAATTGACGAGGAATAAAGAGATAGAGCTGGTAGCTGAAATACTTGTTCTTGATTGATTACACTCAAGCACAGTTACTGTACACATAGAAGGAGATGAAATAGTACCACGCTACAGTGACACGACATTTTAATTCACATGACCAGTCCAGAAATACTTGCTACATACAGATAGTTACACAAAAGGAAAGACCCATCCAAAGCTAAAAGCCAACCTAAATGGGGCCCTATATGCCCCCATTGGTCAGTTTCCCCACAATGGGAGATCACAATTTCGACGATCGTTTTTCGAGGACTTGCAGCACGAAGTAGGCCACTACAGAGCACGTTAGACAACTTTTTTCACAGGAAGACCCCTTTTCGGGAAGAGTGGTACAGCGCATGCAGATCAAACAGGACGAGAAGAGGTAGATTCAATTAAGATTATGACAACTTAAGGGTACGCGATTTTTCCTCTAGGTATCCGGTTGCGCGAAGAGGGGATTGGGGGAGGAAAAGAAAGGAAAGGAGAAAAAACATGTGGGAGGAGCCAGAGGTAAGATGGAGCATAAAAACCAGACCAAGGTTGTAAGGAGGGTATACGAGGGGTATCAAACAGTCTCGATGGCTGATTAGGGCGTTGACATGTCGACATGGGAAAATGTCGGAGTAGATGCCGTCTTCTTCCGTTGTGACATGGCAAAATCGAAGAAGAACATCAAGAAACATAGGAAAGATGTCGAATGACATGGCAGAAGGAAAATAACAACAGGGGATATAGATCGTGTAGATCGTGAAAGTGAAATTGTAGCTGAAAAGGCAAAAAGAGGAGGAAATGGGTATCTACTCACTGGCAGCAACGACAGCAGCACGGCTAGCTCCTGCCTTCGCACTTCCGCCGCCCAGAGTCAGGATGAAGCGCAGCCAGCCGAGCGTCACCTTTTGACCACTACGGTCAAAGTCGGGCACCAAGGTGCTGGCGGCCTTGAACGTACTCAGCTTGCCGGCGTACGGTGGGTAGCGGATGGAGAGGATAGACTCGAGCCAGCCAGGGCTGCTGGTGATAGGGCGGCGGTGAACCCAGACATCGAAGCTAGAGCGGCCACGGTAGGCACCGTAGCCGCTCTCGCCAACACCGCCGAAGGCGAGGGTGGGGATGTGTAGGGCGGCGTCGTTGCAGGAAACACCACCGGAGCGGGTGGAAGCAATGACTAGAAGGGAAAATGTTAGATTAGCATTACTAAATTGAAGGGCAAAAGGGGAGTTCCTTACTCTTAGCAACTTCGGCCTTGTTTCCGAAGGGGTACAAGCCTAGAGGAGTGCTCTGGACGCCGTTGGCGAGGTTGATAGCCTCGTCTAAGTTCTCGACGGGCAAGATAGTAATAAAAGGACCAAAGGTCTCCTGTGTGCACAATGAATCCTCTATAGAGTCAACCTGGATAACGGTAGGCTCAATAAAGAGCTCCTTCTCGTCCATAGTACCACCAAGCAAGATCTTGCCCTTAGAGCTATCGAGCATGGACTTAAGGCGCTGGAAGTGGGCCTCGTTGATAATGTGCGAGTAGTCGGGGGAGTTCTTAGCACCCTTAGGATAGAACTCGGCATAGGCCTTCTTGAACTCCTCAACAACGCGGGGTACAATCGCCTTATCAACGAGCAGGTAGTTCTGCGACGTGCAAACTTGACCAGCATTCAAGATCTTACCCCAGAGCATGCGGCGCGCAACTAGGCGCGGGTCGGCATTCTTAGTGACAATGGCCGGGTTGATACCGCCTAGCTCGAGGACGACGGGGGTCAAATGAGGAGCCGCAGCCTTGGCGATAATACGACCGACATTGGCACCACCAGTGAAGAAGATCTTATCCCAGCGCTCCGCCAACAGAGCCTGTGTCTCGGGGACACTACCTTGAACCACGGAGTAGCAAGAGGGGTCGAGCGAGGCCTCGCAGATCTTTTGCATCACAGCGGCGCTACGGGGAGCGTTCTCGGAAGGCTTGATGACGACGGTGTTACCGGCGGCGATAGCACCGATGACGGGGCCCAGGGTGAGCTGGAAGGGGAAGTTGAAGGTACTATATCGAATCGGAAAAAAGGAGATATGCGATTAGCCTTCTGTTGCACCACCGGGGTGTTCGCCCGGAAAATAAACCACTTACCCGATGACCAGCACGCAGCCCAGGGGATCCTTGCGGATCTTGGGGTTCATGAGCTTGTAGGAAAGCTCGATATCGGGAGCCTTTTCATCCTTGACCCACTTGTGCAGGTTGCGCGTGGTGAAGACGATGTCGTTGAGCAGCCAACTGCTCTCGGCGACCTCGGCCTCGAATCGCGGTTTGTTCAGGTCCTGGGCAAGGGCCTCAACGATCTCCTCCTCATGGTCCTTGATGCTGCAAAACCGTCAATCAATCATCTCCAAACCGATCAAATCTCTTTCTCTCGGTTATTAGGCAGGTACTCACGCCCAGTAGAGCTTGCGGAGCTGAACGAGACGAAACTCGACATCTCGGGTCCTGTTCTCCAAGAAGGACTTGCGAACGGTGGAGATGCGCTCGGGAATGGCCTCGAGGGAGGTAAATTGCAGGTCGGGAAGCTGGACACCCATATTGATTTCAAGGGGGAATAAAAGAATTCAACAAGACTGGAAGGGTATCAGTGTCAAAAGGCGCGGGAAAGAAGCTCCAGGGCCGAGGGGTGGCGCTTTTTAAGAGAGCGCGGTTTCTCCGCACATGACACATGCACCGCTCGCTCGGCTCTTCAGAGTGTCGATCTCCAACTGCTTTTGATTTAAGTTTCCCTCCCCCCCCTTTTTTTGGGGCTCCATGGCTATAGTATGATACTTGCCCAAATCAATGCTGGAGATGAAATGATCAATTCAGGTCTGCTTGATCTCATCATTAATGTTGATTCACTTTGCTTTTTGAGCTCTCAAGGCCTCATACTGGATGACCCAGCGCGACCGTTGCCCACTGCAGTACTCCACAGGGATTCTCCAGCCGCGGCTTCACACGGCCCCGCTGGGATTGGCGCCCGCCGGTGTCGCGGCTCCGATTGGAGCGGCTGAGTGGCCCAGCGCAAGGACGAGACGATCTCCCCAAGCGAGTTTGCAATTGCAGCTTGAAATCCCGAACATTGTTGTGCCAGGATAACTAGTTCGGTCGAACTAGATTAAGGCTCTCGACTGACAGGCTGATTTATGCAGGTAATCTGCCAGAATACCCCGGGGATCGATTTCCAAGCTATCTCACGTCAGCACTGCAAATTGCACCATAGTTATATGACAAAGCAAGATGGGAAGAAACAAAAAGATAAGAGTTACGGGGTAATGAATTCCCAAGGATTTGATCAAAGTTACTCATGCATCAATTTTCAAACTATGCAAAAAAAAAATGACACTCGGCTCGTCTCCAAGCGAATGCCGATGGGAATCAGGTCAAGTCGAGACTATATCACACATGACAAAATGAAGATGAAAAGAACAAAAAGGGAAAAAACGCCGCAATGAATCCCAACAGATGTACAACGGGCTCTTCATCACTAAACGATCATAACGGAGCATCACCCGCTCTTAGTTCTTAAACTGGTCCTCAGTCACACCCTTGCCCATAGCAGCCGTGCTGCTCACACCACCAGAGACCATCTTAAGCAGGTTGTCCACGTAGTTGGCACCACTCCACTTCTGGTGAGTGACGACGTCGACGCCCTGCGCCATCTCGGGCTCTTGGACCATCTCGCCGTAGGCGCGCATGCCGTTCTGCGCATAGGCCTTGGCAAACTGGTGCGAGATGAGCGCGGTCGTGTGCAGACCGGCCAGGGTGATGAACTGCCAGCAGTAACCCAGCTGGCCGAGGCGCTTGATGTAGGTCTCCTGCTCGTCGCGGGGCATGGCCTTCTTCCAGTTGAACGAGGGGGACAGATTGTAGGCGAGTCTGGAGGGGAGAGAGAGATACGTTAGTAAGATTGCTCAATGTTCGAAGACGAGAGGGATAGAGGGGACGTGTGACTATGACTCACTTCTGCTCGGGCCAGACGGCGTGAACGCCATCGGCGAACTCCTTGGCTTGCTTGTAGTCGGGCAGCTTGCTCTCCATCCAGATCAGATCGGCGAAAGGAGCATAGGCCACGGCACGGTTGACGGCGCACTGAGTGCCGCCCTGGTAACGGTAGTAACCCTCACGGGTACGGGGAGCATCCCAGTTCCAGTAAATATCGACACCAGTGATGCCCTTGGCGATGGCGCGAGCCTCGTTGTTGCCCTTGCCCTTGGCGGCCTTGAGGTACTGCTCAATCAGACCCTTCTTATTGGAGTGGGAGCCAGCGTTGATAGTGTCAATGACGGCGTCATTGAAGAGCTTGAGGCCAGCCTGAGCAGTCCACTGGTCCTCAATGGCTTGCAGTTCGGGGCCGTTCTTGCCGGCCTGCTCGGCGGCAACCATCAGGTCGTTCAAGGCCTGGAGGTTAGGGTTGGTGGAGCCGAGGATGAAGGCGTGGTCACGGTGGTCGATGGAGGAGGTGATGAGAGTGGCAGCCTCGGAGTCAGTACGGGCAATGGCCAGGAGATCGGTGCCCATGATATCGGCCTGGGCACGGATGGCAACCAGGCGGTTGATGTGCTCGCTGATGGGGACCAGAACCTTACCGGCCATGTGGCCGCACTTCTTGGTTCCGGGAGCCTGGTCCTCAATGTGAATACCGGCGGCACCACGCTCGACGAACAGCTTGGTCAGCTTCATGACGGCAGTCAGACCACCGTGACCAGTGTCGGCATCGGCAATGATGGGACGGAGGTAGTCGACATTGGCGACCTTGGAGCGCTGCTCCTTGGGGGTGGTAATGCGCTCCTCGCGCTGTTTCCGGTCGTGGAAGAGCTGTGCCATGAACAGCTGGTTAACCTTGCGAGGGACCGTGTCCTATGTAAATGATTGTTAGTTGTATAGTTCTTCGCCTCGGCAGTTTTCAATTCGATTGCACCCACCATAGGGTAGTCCGCAAGATCGGGAGAGGGCTCATCGGTAGACGAGGCCGTGGAAGAGCTCTGCCAGCCAGAGACGTAGATGGTATCCAGGAACTTGCACATCTGAGTGATCATCGTGGGCTCGAGGCAGCCATAGGTGTAGCTAGCCTCCTTGTTCTAATCATTGGTAACTCGATGTTAGCGAATTGTCTCATCATACAGTATTCCGCTGCTACAAACCTGCCAGTTCTTCTCCAAGATACCCCACAGCTTCTTCGCCTGGACACCGGAGGGGTAATCGATGGTCAGATTGCCGCGCTTGGCGACAATCTGCTCGGCAGTGAAGGGACGCTTGGTGAAGCGCCACCGGGAGTCTTTCCACCAGTTCTTGACAGCCTGGACATCCTCCGCATACTTGCGGTCCTCATCCTCGTGGAGACCCATGGTGTAATTTTAGTGAGGGGTATATAGTATACAGAAATTGAGGGCGGTGATGACCCGAAAAGGTGAATATGTATTATAGTCGAGAGGATGTATAGGCAATGCGACAAGATGTCTGCAAAGCAAAGAGAGAAAGTTTTGCGACGAAGGGGGAGATCTGTCGCCAAAAAAGAAACACAATCACGAGTCCAAAGAGCAAGAGAAAAAAAATGAGCTCAATCACAAGCCAGAAGGGAAACCCGGGGTACTTATTTACTTTGCGAAATGCGTCACTGTCAGGTCAATCAGGTCGGTAAACGCTCGGCTCACCGGGTGGACAGGTAATGAACGAAACCCTGGAAGCCTAGGCAATCCTGTTCAAGAACGCAAATGCCCAGTAAAATTCCAGGATTCACGGGCGTCGCTCCGAAACGCGGAAGGCGGGTGCGGTGGTTCGGAAGAGAGGATCCAGACTCTGGAGATCCTCGGTCTAATGGACGAGCTGCGCTCGGCACTCTGGAGCATCCACCGCACTACCCGCCACCAGCTTGGATTTTGTGGGCGTTTTGCCAGTGTGAGTCACATTTTGAGTGTCTAAAATGTATCGGTATCTCTATAGTCGATTGTCGGAAATCAATTCCTACACATTTGAACCCCTGATTTGCAATATCTAGGGGCATGGAAGGGCGCGAAGAAGTCGGGATGGCAAAGAAAGTAAATGACGTCGTTCGACACATGCGCAGGATACGTGACCATACATCGCTACTTTCACGTGCGGTTGTGGTCGGAGTTTCATGATAAGAGCACTGAACTAGCATTGTATATGGATCAAGAAACAAAATGACTGTCGTGTGATCGATTCGGACATCCGATTCAGTCGGATGTCCGTCGTCGCTCTCCTTCCTTTTCTTTGCTCAAAGTTTTGCTGTGATCGGTATAGAAGTCCAGAATGTCGAAATGTCGGAACGCAGTGTCTGCCTGAGTCATCGATACGGTCCTGTCATGCCCCGGTATTCGGTTCATCTCCACTGAACATCTGCATCTGAGCATCTAAGCCTTCGTCACAGCAGGCCCAGCAAGATGATTTCCATGACGGTGTCTAGACAAGTAGCAAGAGCTAGATACTATATCCACATTGAACTTATCATTGTGACTCCTTTAGCTATCTATAGAATCATCACAAACACGAATTTTGGGAGCGCGTCTTCGGCATATATCTGGAGCCCCTGGCGGCCATCTCGTCTCAATTTTTCAACAAGATTTCCCTGAGGAGGCCCAGAAACGACACGAACTCAAACCGGAATATCAAACGCCGCCACATAACTAATTTCAATATACCAGAACGATACATCTTTAGCTGGTCCACCTGGTGATCCTCAAAATGACTCAAACTAAGCCCTCTTCGTTGGACCTCGGCTCTTTCGACGCTGACTACGCAGAAGGAGGGGGGCGGATACAGATATTTGTGGTCCTCCACGTTCCAGTCTGAATACATAGACAGAGACAAATCGGTATTAGCACATTCTGCCCCCTCAAGTTCTCTCCTCGGCGATTCCCATAGGACCTCGACGCCGAGATACCTTAAGGTTATTTGTACATCAACGATGAAGTATATAAAGAGGGAACTACAAAGCCAACAGTCGCCTATATCAACAAGCCTAATTAAATCCAAATATTCAGACGTCAGCGATTCATCAGATCAGATTTCAGAAAGAAAGAAACCCCGTTACACCGCCGTATCACCAGATACACCTCATAATACCGCGTCACCGACGAGAATTAACCTCGGGACATCCAGGGTGCCCTGACACTTGCCCCTCCCGTAGAATTGTCGAACCTGGGGGACACCAGCTCCAGTCACAAAAATGCTTCGGTCGTAACGAGGTCGCTGACTCGCTGCATGTTTTCCTGCGGGGAGTCCGATGCTAGTGTCTACAATTCGGGATCCTTAACACCTATAGTTCGGAGGTTGACCGGGTTAGGAGCCTTGCCGAAAGGGAGCCCGGGTTATTTTCGCTGCTGCCGTGTTTCGTGATTACTTTTGACCATGTTAGGCGTCGAGTTTATCATTTACTGTGTCTTACTGGATGGGAATTGCGGGGTTTACGTAGGTTGATGACCTGTTTGGGAAATGAATGAGGCTTTTTTTATTTTAGGAGGGTGGTTTGTGGACTGAAGTGAAATTGCATTGCGTCAGAGCTAAACATGGAATACTCGAGTACCTAGTAATCCTCATAGACCCTCAAGAATGACCCTGTACATAGGGAGACATTCTTCCATGTCAGAGTTGCCAAGACAATGAAATTTGGCTTATCTGACATGATATTTCGCTTTTCACCAAATAAAAGGCAAGAAGAAAGCTTCTCCAAAAATTCCAATACCCACTTCTAAATGCATGTTTTTCTGTTCTGTCCAACTTCAACCAAAACCATCATCTCCAAATCCGGATACAATCGCCAACCAAGCTCAATTAAAACGCATACGACGCATCAACGGCCTTCTTATAGGTCTCGTACGGGGTGATAGCACCCAACGAGCGCCTCATGTGCGCATTAAGAATCTCCAGGCCATACACGTAGCTAGCATTAACCCAGCCGAACCTGCAAACACCAAGCATTAGCACAGTTCCAGAAAAGGTCTAGAAAGAAAGAAAGAGCCGAGAAAAAAAACTTACCCTTCACGTGGCGCCCCCTTGAAATCGGTTCCCTGATTGCCGTACTCGGCATCAACCCGGTGCGGATCAATCGGACGGGTCACATCATACTTCTCCACGACTACACCATTGAAGTCGACAAAAGCCTTGGTAATCATGTACAACCACTTGTATGCCAGACGTTCCGCTTCCTCCTGGTATCCGTACCGTAGGAAACCCGTCCACGCGAGCATCTGCTGCGGCGCCCAGCCATAGGGAAAGTCCCACTGCCGGTTCGGGCGCTCCAAGCTCACCGGGCCACGCGAATCCTCCGTACCGGAGACCAGACCACCGTAGGCTTCGAGCCGAGGCAGGGCCTTAGCCACCATCGTTGCGGCTTGTGCGGGTGTAGCCAGTCCAGCCCACAGGGCCCAGAAGGTAGTGGCGGTTTCGTAGTCGGTGCGCTGCTGCTTGACGGTGTCGTAGTCGAAGAACATGCCCTTTTCGGCGTCCCAGAGGAGCTGGTCCATACGCTGCTTGCGCTTGCGGGCGCGGCGGTCCCAGGTTGACGAGGACTCGGTTGCGACGTCTTTGGTCGCCGGGGTCCGGAATTCAACGGGGATCTCGAGCTTGTCCTTGAAGTGAATGCGGATGATGCGTGCAATGTCGACCTCATATTTGTACAGCAGGGAGTTGAGGTCGACAGTAGCCAGGTTGCCGCATACTCGCTCCAGACGATAGCTGGTATCGTGGCCGGATTCACGCACGGCACGGTCATGCAGGAAGTACTCGTCCAATTCGGGCTCGACCACGGCGCGCGAGTTGTACGCCTCCACAAAGTCCTCGAAGCTCATGCCGTGCTTCTCGGCGTACGGCATAAGGAGATGAATAAAGTGAGTCGGTTCCGTCTCTGGCGGCACACCCCAGCCCTCAGGGCGATACCTCGACAGGCCAGTTACGGGATCCAGTCGCGGCTCAGCTGCCCAGACACTGTAATACTCCTTAATGGCGGCAAGGACTGCGTTTCGCAAGAACTCCTTCGAGTCCGGGTCGTTCTTGATGCGCTCATAGACCCGCAGAGCCATGTCGGTCAGGAATGGCGGCTGTGAGCGGGTCAGGTAGTAGGAACGATTCGCGTTGAGAATCTTGCCGTAGTGCTTGATTTCAAAGCAGAAATTGACGACCATGCCCTTGGCAAGATCAACCCGATCGCTCACGAGAAGACCCAAGGACTCCATGTAGCTATCCCACCCGTACAGCTCGTTGAAACGACCTCCCGGTACAACGAACGGGACACCAGTGTATTCGTCCTCTCCAGTTTCATCGTCGTGCTTCTTTGTCATTGCCAACGCCAACAAACCAGGCTTCTGCTTGAGCTTCATGACATAGTCAGGGGTGATGTTGGCATCAAGTATCTGCACATCAAGTCGTAGCTCTGGGTATTCCGCGGCGATCTTGGAATAGTATTCGAACTGCTCTGGTGCACCAGGTGGGATGTAGATTCGGGGTCGAGGGTCATCGGTCCAGTCCTTGGGGTCCTTGCCCGCCACCTCGATGTTAGAGCCATCAATACGTCTCGTAAGTGCCTTCCAGAAGGAGTTCTTGATGAGTCGCGAGAGTCGGGCAACGGGGTTCTCGCTCAAGCGGGCCTCGTCGAGGACAATGCTCTTGCGACCGTAGTCTTTGGCAATGGTAAGCTCCTGAAGGAGGTTGGAAAGCATGTAGGTACCGCGCACGTCTACACGGTTGTATCCCGACGATCCTGCAGTTCCGACAGAGAGTACCTATACTGGTCAGCAGCCAATACGGATCAATGGCAATCGGTGAGCAGCGCACCTTGGGTCCAGCGTCTTCGATGGTAATCTGCATGTTCTTATCGGTGTCCTCTTGCTTTAACAGGGCGTCGAGCGTCTCATCTACATTGATGAGGAACTTGCGGGGCTGTCCTGAGGCCTCATCTGATCGACGCTGTCAGTTAGCTACCTCATCGTATCAATTGAACGAGCGATGGATGATGTACGTACCATGACTACCCCGTCTCGACGGCAGTGTACCCAGAAACTCAGAAATATCCCCACGGTTGTAGTCCTTCACGCTCTAGATGCGTACAGAATAAGAGTGAGCAGGGGTCGTTGATCCGCGGGGTCGCCGCACAAGCGCTGTGGCTGCTTACCGTCGAAAAAGCGCGTCGCCGTTCTCCGATCCTTGCAAGAGAATCTTCATTGCCGTAGTAGACATCAGGGTGTGAAAAGGGATCAAGGGATGGAGCCCGCTGGTGGTTCCCATCTGACGAGGTCATGGTATGTCGCGGGGCGGGTGAGAGGAGAGGGACGGAGAGCACAATCTAGACTCCGATCGCGCGTAACGCAAGGCGGGCGTGAGGGTGCGTACACCGACTTTTCGGGGGTCGGTGTGTCTTTCGTAATAGCAACAGTAACGCAATAGGAGCGGTGGAAGCAGCAGCAGGAGCAGCGATGCGAGTGTTCCGATCTATGAAAAGGAAGCGAGGGCCGTTTTCTGTGGGTTGAACTCCGAGTGGGCGATTCGATCGTATCGGTCGAGAGATAAGGCGGGAAAACTTTGTTCGTATAGCGCGATAGACAGTCTTGGACAATTCGGCAAATTGTCTGAGTGTATGGCAGTGTGGTAGAGGTGTTTTGGAAAACAAATATAATGTCAAATGGCTGATGGTGGGATGGATGATCTTCATTACAGCAATGATCTCATGTGAGCTACGATGATGTCGTCGCTCCACTCGGGGTCGCCTCCGATAAGACGATGATAACAGTGGGACAGGGATTAACGTAGACTCCCGCCAGATGCGCTGGTTATATATATATATATTTTTGGAATCTCCAAACTACACAATTTGCTACTCCCTAGCCCTGAAGCAGGAAAGTGTGATGCTCTTGATCGATTCACTTACTGTGGCTGCCAGCCTCCGGTTGGCATGCCAGAGATTTCAGAAGTTCCCTCTTAGCAGACTTGTCCCGGAGTCCGCAACCGGGGGTCCGAACTAGAGCAACTTTTGTACAACTGACTTCCTGCTCTAATATATTCAATATCTACAGCACTGGATATCTGACAAAGAGTATTTGGCTTCTTGGCACGCTGTCTTAACTCCATTTAGATCTTGGCAGAAATCGAGCTCCCGCCATCGACCGATATAGTTGCACCATTGATATATGCGCCCGCCCGGCTGCTCAGGAACAAGCAAGCACCGGCAACATCCTGTGGGGTACCAATACGGCCCAGAGGAACACCGGCCTTGATGGCATCGCCGAAGGATTTGAGGGTAGCGGCCATCATCTTGCTCTCGAATGGACCGCAGGCCAGGGTGTTGGAACTGTAAACAATGTATCGCATCAGTCACTATGGAGAAGATAGCCGAGGGAAGATCGGGTTTTCTTACGTGATGTTGCGTCTGCCGAGGTGGTTTGCCAACACTCGGCTAAGGTGGTGCAGACCGGCCTTGCTAGAACTGTAGGCAAAGGTCTCGAGAGAGGGGACGCGGAGACCGTCAATGCTGCCAATGTTGATGATGCGGGCCGGGTCATTCTCAGCCGACGCATTCTCCAGGAGCGGAGTGACGAGACGGGTGAGATCGAAGACGCGATGCAGGTTGAGGGTGAGCACTCGGGTGAAGGCATCGGTAGGATACTCGTCGTAGGGGGCACCCCAGTTCGAGCCAGAGTTGTTGACCAGGACGTGGAGTTCTACAAGGTAGAAAGGGAGGTAAATTAGCAGGGTGTGCCTTTCCAGTATGAAGCATTGGCTGTAACTTACTGCTCTCGCGCTTGCCCAGCTCCTCAGCCAGCTTCTTCACGTCCTCATACTTGTAGAAATCGGCGGGAATAGCATGGGCCTTGCCCTTGCCAAGCGCATTGAGCTCCTTGACAGCCTGGTCACAGGCCTTTGCATCGCGCGACGAGATATAGACCGTGGCACCGTTCGTCACATATCCCTCGGAGATCATGCGACCGATGCCCTTCGCGCCGCCGGTGACCAGCACCACTTTGCCCTGAAGTGCTAGTTAGCAAGCGGATAGCGGTAAGTAGGGCATAGGGTGTTCGCACCTTAACGTTGAAAAGACTTTCAGAATCCATGACTACGAAATCTGAGGTTCAAGTTATGTGTCCAGAATCCAGGCGAAGACCCATACTTTATTTCCCCCTCGTAAGCTTCCTGATTACACTGCATACCCGAGAGACCGACAGGGAGAGCCTCGGCTCATCGGACATAAGGTTTCTCCGGGTAGATTTACGCTAAGCCTGATTCGGCCGGAACTTAGGGCAGCTCCAGCAGGGTTTCGCGGGGTCTGCAATTCCAGGCCTGATTATTGTTCCAGTGACTGTTTACGTTCGCATTGGAAGTTGGATTTGCCTGTGTTGATTTTCTCCATTAGACTTTCTGTTTGTATCCTTCTCCTCATTATGGAGGAGCTTTTGGTCAAGCACCGCAAAGAGCAAAAAGACCTGCAAGGGCGCATTACTCAGAAGAAAAAGTCCGCCACCAAGAAGACTCGCAAAGGTGTCAATGATGATTGTGAGCGGATGCAGCGCGAGCTCACTGAGCGGCAGCAGGCAGAGATTGCAGAGTTGAATGGAGAATCCACAGAGCCGGCTGAGGAAGCTCTTGAAGACCTCAGCTTGGAAGATGGGACGCCAGCAGATGGTGAATCACATGAAGACAAGACTTCTTCAACATCCCAAGCTCCCGAAGATACCGCGACAGTGCCCGCTCAAGAATTTACCACGAGACCCAAGAAGCCCAACCGTCAAAAAGCCCGCCTCGCCCGTCGTGCAGCCGAACAAGCTGCCCAGTCTGCAGTGGCCGCTGAAGAAGCAGCCAACCAAACCAATTACAGGGGCAACGAGCAGGAAGTCATGGACGCTGTCTTCAAGAAACTAGGTCTGAGAGAGGTGGAAGTCACTCCCGATGGGCACTGTCTCTACTCCGCGGTCGCCAAGCAGCTCGATGAGTCTGGAGTTGGCTTGCGGCCGGACCCAAGCCGAATCTTGCTCCAGCCGTCATCTCAAACACGCATCGATACAGTCACCTCACCACAACACGACGGATACCGGGCTGTCCGTGCCGTAACAGCAGACTTTATCACAGAACACAAGGAGGACTTTGAAGCATTCATGGAGGACCCGCTGGATGTCTACACTCGAAAGATTAAGCTCACGGCTGAGTGGGGTGGTCAGCTGGAGCTGCAGGCAATTGCTCGAGCCTATGGAGTGGATATCAATGTGGTGCAGAAGGATGGCCGATTAGAGAAGATTGAATGCGGCGACATGAATAGCTTTGACGAGGAGGAGCAACGGAGACGTGTGGTCTGGCTGGCATACTACCGGCATACCTACGGTCTGGGAGAGCACTACAATGCCCTGTTCAAGAAAGACTGAGCATGTCTTCGGGAATTTTGTCCAAAACCAACGAAGACCTTTATTTCGACTGCCGTTTTAGCGTCCAAGACCGGCATTTCAAAGTCAGGCCGGTCTCCAAACCCAGCTATATTTTCCCTTCATTTTCTTTCCCTTTTCGCGTTATGCAATTGCATCGACGCAGATCTAGTCTCGTCGACGCCAAATAGAGACTCTGTCATGGATCACCCCGTTCTCGCCCTGGCCCACTGTGTGCGTGCGCTCGGGCTGCCAGTGTGCGACCCTCTCCAGGCCCGCCTTGCTGGGTTCCCGCAACGGATCCGAGTTGACGAGACCTTTATCGTTGTAAGAGACCTTTTCACCAGGGTGGCTCAGGTGCTCCATATATGCCTCGGAGGGGGAGGGGTATGGAGGGCCAGGGGCCAGAGGGTCCTTGTGACGGGGGAATTCCAGACAGATCAGATTTCCTGCTGGCGAGGGAGCTAGGAGCTCTGTGTGTCGGAGTGCCCATTTAGGACGGAGCTCTGGGTTCAGAGCACAGAAGAACTAGAGAATTGTTAGAATAAATGGCAAGAAAGAGGGGCAGTAGCTCAAAGATCGTATGTTGCAAATAGCAAATCCGAGGCCATCAAGAATAGACCATCTGGTAGACAACCATGACAAGAAGAGCCCAGAGAGTGAAAATACATACCGTGTAATCATAGATAACATCAAATCCATTTCTCGGCACCCCAATGGTCTCCAGCCAGGCATCATCAAAGAAATCCCCCTGGAGGAAAGTAACCTTCCCCTTTCCAATCTTCTCGTCCCGCACGCGATACCAGCTATGATTCTCCGTCTCCTCCTTCTTACACAACTCGACCGCCGTGGCACTGTACTCCAGGCCATAGGCATCATATCCAAAGCTCGCCAGCAAGAGGACATCCACCCCACGGCCGCAGCCCGGCACTAGGGCCTTCCGCCTATACGACTGGCCCTGGGCGTCTTGGGCGAGTGGTCCGCCAATGGTGCCGGCGCGCTGGACTAGGGCATCTTCCAGGGCGGGATTGGGGAAGCCTCGGTCCCAGGGTAGATTGTCACCTTTGTCCCAGAGGGAGGCCCAGCCGTCGACGTACTTGTCGCCCTGGTATGTGGCCAGGTGGGCTTGAATATCTTTGGGGTCAAGGTTGGCCGGGGTTGACATGGTTGTGAGTGGGTGGTGGTGCTTGAGTGCGGGGGAAGCTGGAGGTGTGTCAATATTTAGATACGTAAAGCGGAGGTGGGGTTCCTCTAGGCGAATGTCGGCTTAGTCGAACTAGAGTTGACTATGTATAGATGTTCGAGGTGAATCTTAAAGATGAAGATATTGATTCGGTTGAAAATCCACAAAGGACGAAGAATTTGAACAGAGTCTCCTCATGTTTATAACCCCAGGAAGCTCAAGGCCGTTCGCTTATTCAGCACCTCCTTGCAGCTTCAGACCGCAAAGCTCTGCGATTGCGGTGAGAGAAGATTTTGGACGCTCTGATCTTGAAGATCTTGAGCAGTCCAATCATCATTTCCCTCGCATCAGTATCGCAATGTGAGCTGAAGAAGGTCCTTTGTGTACTTGCATTGAAGTCGTCCTAATCTGTGCGGAAGCCGTGATCGGGGAATTTCGTCCCGGCTAAAGGAACAAGCCGAGTCGATCAGAGCACCGAAGAGACAGAACACGACAACTTCGACGTGACCGACATGTTTCTGTTGACATGTTTGAGGATCTATGCTAAGCAATCTTCATTGCTTGGCTTCTTTTGCTTATGAACAGACTATCTGTTACGTCATGCGCGCCCGGACCCGCCAATCGAACAGGCCAAAACTAATATGTCAGAACGATTGTCAGGACGATATGTCAGAACGCTATATTCTGACATGACGAGGACCGATATAAGTAGCGCACATAACGTTAGGGGAGCCAGTCCCAACACGATCACATTCTCATCTCATATTGCTAGCCAGAAGGTCCAAAAGTCCAGCGGAATCAACCGCCCAAGCGTTTGCCGACGGAAGACCGGCACACCAACACCGCACGATGACTGGTCCCCTCGCCCCACGACAAAGTCCTGGGAGGCGAATAATTGGATCGCAGGATTTTTTTGACGGGCGACCCCTCTCAAGAATCGGATTATTATCCATGCTGAATCCTCATAAACAAAACATGGGGCACTCGGGGATCATCGGTCGTTGTCGGCTTTCCGAATGCAGTGAAGACACGCCTGGTTGAACTCGGCCACTGCAACGAAAGATCATCAATTTTTCCAACCGCTTTTCCAACTTCCAAATAGGTTCGCAAGACCTCTTCGTGTATTAGGCTTCTCCTACGGAACGTTAGCTTGATCTTGCCCACCTATCTGTTCTACCTTTGTGAATACCCCGTGGCTACTGCCCGAGTCAACGGGCAGATACCGCGGCGAAGTAGTCACGACCGAGTCTTCAAGGTCCACGACTGCCGCTTTTGGCCACTGGGAGGCCGTCACAGGCCTGTTAGTTTTTGTTTCGTGGTCTTCAGTTTGCTTAAGATCGTCCGCAGAAAATTCATCTCCGCGTTGTCCATCATTGCGCATGAGATATCCTTGTTACCTCCCATTCGATATTCATAGGTTTATGCGCCAGCCTTGGAAGAGCGATACCACCCTCTCACTGCTGATCGCAGGCGTTGTGTTTCATACCCTTCTTGATCTTCAGGGATAGCGATCTCCCGCTGTATGCCCTACACCGACGGTCTCCGTCCCGGGCGTCACTGATCGGCTGTGATTTAAGCCTGCTCATTTGCTTGACTTTCATCCACCGAGTCTCTGTCTCGCTATATCAGCGCTCTGTTCTTTCACCATGCCCGCAGACATCGAAAAAGATGACGCTGTTATGTCGACTAGTCCACCATCCAGCTCCAGCAATTACCATTCTCTAGAAATGGCAGAAGGAACCTTTGCAATTGACCATACCGACTCGCGATCGCACGCCTCAAGTATTGCGCCCGTTGATGAGGAGAAGAGTACACCGGACCCACCGATTCCTCTGGCTCGACAATCCACTGAATTGGGGCCGGCCGTGAAGGTGCCGCGATTGAAGCGCAGAGGTCTGTTCGGCCAGATGACCCTGGTGGCAGAGGTCGAGGATCCCAAGACCTATTCTCGAAAGATGAAATGGTTCATCACGTTCATTGTTGCGGTGGCTGGAGCTACAGCGCCAATGGGCTCCTCCATATTCTTTCGTAAGTGATGCGTTCCGTCATGACATATGCATGTGCTCCTGTGTCTAATTTGGTGTCTTCCAGCCTCACTTTCTCAAGTGACTCGAGAATTACACACTACGACTACAATCACTAACCTATCTATTGCCTTGTATATGCTGAGCATGTCCATTTTTCCGCTCTGGTGGTCCTCCTTTAGCGAACGGCTTGGAAGACGGACAATCTACCTGACTTCTTTTGTTCTTTTTGTGGTTTTCAACTGCCTCTGCGCCGTCTCAAGCTCCATCGGCATGCTGATCGTGATGCGAATGCTGAGTGGTGGTGCATCCGCCTCTGTCCAAGCCGTGGGTGCAGGCACCATTGCAGATCTTTGGGAACCCCGCGAGCGAGGCCGTGCCATGGGTATCTTTTATCTAGGCCCTCTGTGTGGGCCCTTGTTCGCGCCCATTGTTGGTGGTCTTCTAGCTGAACGTTGGGGCTGGAGGAGTACCATGTGGTTTCTTGCGGTATACGGTGCACTCACTGTCATCTTTCTCTTTTTCGCTCTGCCAGAAACGCTCGCAGTGCGGAAGCCCGTTCTTCCGGATGTGGCAGAGAATGAGATGGCCCCCGTCAGTCGCCCGCTAAGCCGAGTATCCTCGCGACAGGTGGTTGGGGTCACGACGAGATGGCTCAAAATGCTGAAGATAATTTTCATCGATCCGTTGAAGATTGTCCTTTACCTACAGTATATTCCTGTACTGTTGAGCGTGTACTATGCAAGCATCGCCTTTGGCTCGTTGTACGTGTTGAACGTCAGTGTCGAAGACACATTCGGCAAGGCACCGTACAATTTCAGCACAATCATCATTGGCTTGCTTTATATTCCTAACTCGATTGGGTACGTGGTGGCGAGTCTGTTCGGCGGCCGATGGATGGACAACATAATGCAGCGCGAAGCGAAAAAGGCAAATCGGTACGATGAGAAGGGCAGACTAATCTACCGTCCAGAGGATCGCATGCGTGAGAATGCTTGGCTGGGAGCTTTCCTCTATCCGGCAGCTCTCATCTGGTACGGTTGGACCGTTGACAAGGGAGTGTTCTGGCTGGTTCCGGTATGTTGACACAACTCTTTGGAGGGATCGCAAAATGGCTAACCAGCTCATTCTCTCAGATGATTGCAAATTTCTTCTTTGGAATAGGCTCGATGCTCATTTTCAGTATGGTGACCACAATGTTGACCGAGTTTATGCCCAAGAAGTCCTCCGAAGGGGTGGCCCTCAACAATTTCATGCGAAATATCTTCTCTTGCGTTGGGTCTCTCGTCACTGCACCCATAATCAATGGCATTGGCAATGGGTGGCTCTTTACCATCCTCGGAGTGGTCAGCTTCGCAAGCAGCTCCGTCATATTCTTAATGAGGGTATATGGTCCTCGCTGGCGAAAAACCATGGACGAACGCATGCGGTGATATCCCACTTGCATTTTGACCTTGCATTCAATACTAGGCGTTTTTGCTTCTTGTTTCTGTTTGGCGGCACTCTCGAGCAACGATCATTTGACACAATCCTTCGACATTCCACTCGTTCCACGCACACATCTGTTCATACGCCATATTTATATCCTTGCTTGAGCCCGCCACACTGGAGCTTATTGGCAGCCCTCCTTGTTTTCTGGCACCAAGCGCTGTTTTTCACGAACATACGTGGACATACATTGAGACCTTGGAACTGTTGTGGATGATACCCATTATCAGATTATCGTTATGACCCTGAATAGATGAATTGATGATTCCATCGTGACCTTCCACCCAACTCTCTAGATTTCATAGATTCAATCATTCACCGAAGTAATGCGAGCTAGGAATGCAATTGAGCAATAGAAAATTTTATGTGGAGGTTTCTTATTTCGTTTTAAGCTCAAGCACCAGCAATATCACCACATACTTAGATCTCATGTGACCCGGTGGGCCTCGAGCATTCGAGTGGGGGAGTTTTCTGCCGGTTTTTTCTGCCTTTTTGCCCCGCACTAAAGCAACTGATCGGACTTCCTTATCTCTCGATCGCTCAGATAGAATATGTGAGTGAATGCAGTCTGTATTTGAGTATAGCAGCATGGAAGGCTTTTTAATGTAACTAAAGTCTTGCTATAGTGCCACACCAGGATGTTTGTTTGCACAAACTCTGCAAAAAATACTTGGACATGAAAATTCAAATCATTTGAAGAGTACAAAGAGTATAAGTGGAGGGTTTAGACTAGTTTTTCTAGTGACTCACGGATAAGGTATTTTAAAGGCGGTGTCCGGCCAAGAAGGCGGCCACGGAGGCGGTACCGCTGTACCAAACATATTTTTTTCCCTTCAATGACACATTCTCTGCCTTCGCGAATATCGCCAACTTCCTCGATACGCCGCAGACACCACGTCCACAATGGTTCACAACGTCGAGGCCGAATCGCCTCACAACAACTTCGACGTACGTATCATCAATACCCGACCGAAGGCTGGAATGGCGAGCCTGCAAACTTCCTTGTCCCCGCTCTCCGCAACTTGCGATCGATCACCTTCAATGGGGTGTGCAGGCGCAATTGATTCATAAATGCGAAAAGAATATGTTGGCTGACAATTTATTCTCTAGACTATCCTCGTGCTCGACTTTGGCGTACGTAAACCTCGGAAGATCCGTTTTCTCTCTTTTGGCGTGTCTCAGATAACAGAGCTTCTTTACTACGCTCTGGTTCCCGAGACCTCTTCAAACCGGCAAATGCTGACTCATTATTGAAGTCCCAAACGAGTCATCTTATCCTTCGTCGTCTTCGTGCTCTTGGCGTCTTTGCTGAGCTGCTTCCGTGTACCACCAAGCTCGCTGATCTGACATGGAAACCCAAGGGAATTGTGTTCTCTGGAGGTATGAAGTCTTATAATGTATGGTTTGCGAGGAGGTCTGACTCAGATACTAGGTCCTTCTTCTGTCTACGACGAGGGCTCGCCCCGTAAGGTGTTCGTATCCCGAATCTCTCGTACTTGTACTCATATGTGTAGATGTTGACCCCGCTGTTTTTGACCTCGGTGTGCCTATTCTGTGAGTGTCCTTTTTGCACATCCCTCAAGCTTTTGGATCTTGACTAACACGGGAGGTATAGGGGTATTTGGTATGACTTTCTTGAATTTTGACATTTCGACCCCGGTATCACGCTAATACAGTCCACCTAGCTATGGTTGCCAAGAGATCGCATGGCGCATCGACTCAAAGAACGTTGCTCGCGGAGAGGCACGAGGTATGTGACCGTTGGTGCACAATCTGATCATTACTCACTCTTTGTTCTTAGAGTACGGCCATGCCGACGTCAACATTACCAAGGTCAACAGCAATGTCGACCGTCTCTTCGCTGGGTTGGGAGATGAAATTCCCGTGTTCATGTCCCACTACGACAAGCTGATTAGCTTGCCTGAGGTGAGTGGAATGAGTTCGCATTTCCGGAGCACAATGATTGACTCTGATAGGGCTTTGTGGTCATTGGTGCCACCAAGAACTCTGAGTACGCTGGCATCGCCCATGAGGAGAAGCCCATCTTTGGTATGTCTCCCTCCAGAATGTCTTTATGGCCCAGTAAAGGAAGATGCTAACGCAATGCTAAATAGGTGTCCAATTCCACCCCGAGCTCGAACACGTTCGTTACCCCCCGATGCTTTACATTAAATCATCCTCTGATTTTCAATCTAGACACCCCGCGGAACCGATATCCTCCGCAACTTCAGCGTTGACATCTGCGGCGCCAAACCGAACTGGAAAATGGGCGACTTCGTTGAGCTCGAGATCGCTCGTATCCGGGAGCTTGTTGGTGACCGCGCACTCGTCCTTGGAGCTGTCAGTGGTGGTGTTGACAGTACTGTCGGAGCTGCCCTCATGCGCGCTGCCATCGGAGACCGCTTCAAGGCCATCCTCATCGACAACGGATGCATGCGTCTCAATGAGTGCGAGCAGGTCAAGGATACGCTTGGAAAGCACCTTGGCATTGACCTCACAGTTGTTGAGGCTGGCGATCTGTTCCTGGGTCGCCTCGCGGGTGTTTCTGATCCCGAGAAGAAGCGGAAGATCATTGGATCAACTTGTACGTGCTCAAAACTGTCTGGGATGGGTTAGCGATAGTGTACTGACAACATCGAAGTTATCGATCTGTTCGAGCAAGAGGCTATCAGGGTATGCTTGGCCTTCTCTGGCAGTCTATCTGGCTTGCTAACAAGACGCTCTAGATCGAGAAAGAGGCAGAGAACACTCCCAACAGCGGAAAGGTTGAATGGTTCCTGCAGGGCACATTGTACCCTGACGTGTAAGTTGTTGAAAGCCAATTGCTGAGTCTAAACTAACGGCACTGTAGTATCGAATCCTTGAGCTTCCGCGGTCCTTCGGCCACTATCAAGAGTAAGCGAGTCAACGAAGTCTTGAGAGCATAAGACTGCCCCACAAAGCTGTGCAACAGAAGAAGAAGACAATAACTGACATGAGAGATAGCTCACCACAACGTTGGCGGTCTCCCTGAGGTAAGTAATAGCGTTGCCCCCAGCCGGAAAGGATCTTAACTAATTAGCGTGCAGCGCATGATGAATGGCGTAAGTTGAACTGGCTTGGAATCATTTGATTTACTTACTGACAAACATGGCTTGTTTAGCAAGGCTTGCGTGTAAGTATACGTTTAATATCCGCATCAACGCAGACTAGGCTGACATAGCTCCTTCATAGCTTATTGAGCCGCTAAGACTTCTTTTCAAGGACGAAGTCAGGGTATGCTACACCTCATATGCTCCATTCCATTTTCAATGATACTAAATATTATAGGCAATTGGTCGTCAACTCGGCCTGCACGAGTCGCTGGTTAACCGCCACCCCTTCCCGGGTCCTGGCATTGCCATTCGCATCCTGGGCGACGTTACCAAGGAGCGAGTCGAGATTGCCCGCCAGGCTGATCACATCTTTATCAGCATGATCAAGGAGGCCGGCCTCTACGATCAGGTAAGTTGGATCACATAGGCGAATACGGGTGCAAGCTAATTCTCTCCTCGCAGATCTCTCAAGCCTTTGCTGGTCTCGATACTAACCGCAGTGTTGGTGTTTTCGGTGATCAGCGTGTCTGGGGTTACATCATCATTCTCCGTGCTGTTCGCACCAAGGATTTCATGAGTGCAGAGATTTTCAACTTCGATAATGCATTCCTCCAGGTGAGTCAAGTCATCGCTATATTTCGGGCCCTCCCCCAAGTGGATTGGATCCTATTCCACGGACCCATTCATCACAAGGCCCAATAAAAATCTTTCGTATGCTTACTGAGCACTCTTTCCCAGAATGTTTCCCGCACCATTTGCAACCAGGTCGAGGGCGTGGCCCGTGTTGTCTATGATCTGTAAGTAGAAGTCTTCACCTCCTTAGTTTGAACATCAAGCTGATCTTATCTTTCTAGGACCTCCAAGCCCCCTGGTACCATTGAGCTGGAGTAGGTGACATGGAAGAGGGAAGGCAGACAGAACATGGATCACCTGCCGGCATGAGCTAGGAACAAATATAGGAATTGACTTTTATGGCGTTTGGAGACTTCATTAGAAAGGCATATGAAGTGAGAAGAGTGATGAGGGTCAAAATTATTGCATCATGATGCCAGCGGCCTTTTGAGAAGGACAGTTTGAACCATGACATTTGATAGAATGAATGAAAATGGGTTTCATCGTCTGATGGGTGGGGGGAATCCGTTGAGATACACTTGCTTAACATCTGCCCGCGTCAAGTAATATCTGAGTCAATTGTGGATTAGACACTCGTTTGATCTCATAATTCAGAAATCCTTACTTCGATAGGAGTTCTGTGACCTGCAGGTTACATGTGAAAATCGCATAATATGGTGAAAGGGAGAGTGAAATACGGATAACCTGAAAACTCTTGTCTCCCCATAGCCCTCCTTGCAAATGAAGTTCTCTTGAAGTTCGAGTCCTGAGTATTCTGCCTTGTCTAGTACCATTATGAACAGCCAAGCGCCATGCATCCCGTGCTCCGAATCACATACTGTGGGACATGAAAGGACATGAAAGCTCTACCAATCTATTAGCTAATGAATCCATCCTTGCCATGATTGCCATCTGATAATCTCCCATCTAGGATCAATGTCTCCCTGGTGGCTCGCTGCGTGTCATTGAGGAGGTCCCAAGCTCCCAGCCACTCGCGATTGGTTGACAGTCAGGAAGCGTGGCATGGATACTCGGCCCGCCGCAGGCTGTTGGGCAGTCAGTTGACCCAATTTTGGAACAGATAGGAAGCTTGAAGAACACAGCAGATCGAGAATAGTGCGTTTGGGGCGCCCTCGGGCCGCGCCGTCGAGAGAACCGTGGAAAACCCTGGACGGATAGTGAGGCACTAGTCAAGGTATGCATGCACGTCTTTTCGGACTCGTGGAAGGCCACGATAAGGGGCAGTGGTGATCTCCCCTTGTTTCTCAGTGCAATTGTCCGCAAATTGTCCAAGTTTCAAAGTTGACTCGCGATCAGATTACCGAACTCCCGACGAGGGACGTGGTGGGATGGCACTGGTCGGAAGATCGTGAGACTGGAGGCGGCGTCACCTGATCCCGCCCAACCGACCCTCTCCAAGTCCACGTTCCACCACTTCCCCTCTCTGCAGCGCTGCATGAGACTGATGCATCATCAGTCCAGCACTATGGGAGGACCGTGGAGGACCAGATCTCCATTCCCGACTACGCCCTTGCGGTGGACAGCATCATCCGTGAAGCAATTCGTCCTTACACGTCTCGCTGGTGAAGGGAGATCTGCCTGATGAATTGTCGGTGTCGGAGAGTGGAGTCAAAAGCTCTCAAGCGACTCCATCCAGTTCATTTAGGGCCTTGTGGTTTGACACATTTGACTGACTAGGCCAAGAATTCCAGGAGAAGGTACCAATTCCTCCAACACCGCGTTTCTTCGGAGGGGACCCTCGCCTCCCCACTGGCGCCAGGCATGCATCCTATTTGCCGCCGTTGCCGGGGCCCATTGGGCACAAACGGGTCTATCGACCGCATCACTTTTCGTTGCTCGGCGGGCACCTTAACATTACATTCTCTCCCCCTCCATGATGGAAGCACTGCAGGCCTCGCTTCGGAGTGAATTCGTAGAAGCCATTCGAATTGTATCTTGACCCACCGGCACTCAATGATCTTCTCAACCCCACGCTGGTTGTGTGTACTGTACCAGATTGCCAGAGCAAAACAACAGATCAAAATTGAAACCAAATTGCACGGTGGCACCCCACTCCACTCAACATGCCCATCTTGCTCCATGAAGCTGCAGGAATACCTTTCCTATCTGGACCGCGTTGCTTCCCAATTCCCAACCCCCTTCTGCCATGGGATTCTTACTCCTGCAGCACCCCATCTAAGTGGAGATTGTGCTGCCCTCGCCCGGCCCTAATCGAGTCCCGGTACTCCCCCATCCACCCAATGCTGGCAACCACTGCATGGAGACCGAAGCGACGTGGTCCAATGGCAAGCATTGCCGTCGGGCAGTTCACTAATGACGTTCAGGGCCCAAATACCTGCAATTGTAGCGGATTGTTGTCCTAACTTACCCGGATAGCGGACGAACTATTATACGCTGCCTCGCAATGGCCGTCCAATACAATTTCCTCGTCTCCAGAGAAACAAGCATATGCTTCTTTCCCGTTCGGTCTTCTAATACATCGTACCCTGCCCAGTCTCACGGTCTCTCAATTCTCTCCATCTTTTGTCACTTCTTTTTCCCCCTGTGGCTCCATTCCCACCACTTTACCTTGCATCAAACGCCTGACAGTGGCTTGTCACTCCCTTATTGTTCCGTCCTTCGGCGCATCACGCGCCAGTTAGCATCATCCACACCTCAATATATGATACGTCATTGATCCGAGGACATGGCCGCCAAAGGTAAAAAGAAGAAGAATAAGAACAACAACAATAACCGCCTTCCTGTCGGTGCAACAAACTCCAATCCTGAGACCACAGAGCTCCCAGACGAGCCTGCCCCGGAGCCGGCGGCCGTAGGCTGCGAATATGAGCTCGCAAAAGTTCCAGTATGCTGAGCTCCCTACATATACGTATCACTCCTTCGAAAAGCAATACCAGACTTTCGATCGGAGCACGTTGAAATTTTCATTCTATCCCGTCGTCTCGAAAGCTAGTGGTCTGACGGGGGGCAAGGTCCAGGACAACAAAGAGCCTAGTGCTATCGAACCACCGAAAGAATCAACCCCTGCTGCTGAAGTCAAAGCAGAAGAGCCCTCGAGCTCTCCGGATGAAAGCTCATCGACGCCCGAGCCTGCAGGTAAGTACACGTACTGTGGCGATGACTTGTACATCAATCGTCCAGGGCAACATTGCTTGTGTTGTGTAACATTCACTCACTTGAACTATGTAGAATCCTCCAAGGCAACGACGCCCCCAGCAGATGGCCAACCTGCTGAAGCCGCCAATGCATCAGGCGAAGATGCAAAAGTGGAGATTCGGGACGCAGCTGGCGCCGATGAAGCTGTTCCGAACGCAGAGAGCGACGGCGCCCCAGATGAAGCCGCTCCAGAGCCTCCTGCGGAGGACGTCGCAGAGCCCGAAAAGGCGGATGAAAGCTCAGCCCCAGCAGAAGACGATAATGCGACGAAGCCCAGCGACGAGGGTGGAAGCAATGGTCAGTCCTATCGAATGATCTTTCTACATGCTGTCAATTAACAATCCTATAGACGAAGATTTTCCACCAGTTGACCCTGAGGCTGGACATGATGGAGTAGAATCGGAGAAAGAAGAAGCTGCCAAGCAAGCCGCGAAAGATGCCGAGGAAGCTCTATCTCAAGGAGATGATGAGAATAAAGATACTCCAGCCGAGACTACTCCAGCTGAAGATACTCCATCCGATGATGCTCCAGCCGAACCTGCCCCGGCTGAAGCTGTCCCAGCTGAGGACGCTCCAGCTGAAGGCGCCCCAAGCGAAAGCAAGGTAGAAGAGCCTGCGGCTGCGGAAGAACCTCCCGCTGAAAAGCCCCCTGCCGAGAAGTCAGAAGATTCAGGAGAAAATGCTGCCCCGGCCGACGAACCGGCCGCAACAGAAGCTCCTCAAGCCCCGGAGGCCGAAGCTGAGGCTGAAACGGTCGCTCCAACTGAAACGCCAGAAGCCGACATCAAAGTGGATGAACAGCCTCCTGCTGAGTCAAATCCTGCTCCAGAAGAGTCAGTGGAGGAGTCAACGTCGCAGTCACCTAAGAACGGTAAGAAGAACGCCAAGAAGAAGGAGAAAAAGAAGAAGAACAAAGCTGGCAAAGTAGCTGGGCCGGAAGAGAAACCGGCACCTGCTGCAGATCCACCATCTGAGCCTGCAGCCAAGCCTGAACTTGAGCCCGAGGCCGACAAGCCAGCTTCCGATGACCCTCCAGCCGCGGAGGAAACTGCCGAGCCAGCATCTGAACCAGTTGCTGAAACGGACAAGAAGGCTGTCGAGGCCGAAGCCAAGTCAGATGATGCTGCGGTGGACTCCACTGAAAGCTCTGCGGCGGTCGATCCTAATACCACCGAGCCCGCAGCAGAAGCAGAGACGACATCATTAGAGCCTGCCAAGGAATTAGAAACCCCACCAACAGAAGAGCCTGCTGTGCCTGAAGGCTTGCAGGATGATACGCCGGGCACTGCAGCACCTTCCGAGCCGGCAAAGGAAGAAACCACAGAGGAATCGGCCGCAATACAACCAGAAGCCGAGGCCAGCTCTGAGCCTGATCCTAGGCCCAAGCCCACAGAAGATACACCTGGAGAAGCGACAAAGGAAGAACCACCCGCGGACGAAGCAGCCGCTGAACCCCCTGCTGAAGATCCGGCGCATGAAGCAACTGCGAGTGAAGCACCTATAGTTGAAACGTCCGCCCCAGAGCCAGCTACAGAGGAGCCAGTCGGCGATTCTGCAAGTGTAGAAGTTGCCGAAACTCAAGCTGCGGAACCCGTTGATGAGTCCGTCGCCGAGAATCCAGCCGAAGAGGCTCCAGTCGAGACTGCTCCGGCAGAAGAACCGTCTACCGCCGAAGAGCCACCTGCTCCCCAAGAGGCTTCTGGTGTCGATGAGGTCCTCACTGTTGAAGAACCGCCTGCTGCTGAAGAACCCGCTGTTCAGGAGGAGCCTTCTACCGAAGAGGAACCCGTGGCTGAAGAGATGCCCAGTGAAACTCCGGAAACTGAAACGTCTTCTGACGAGCTCCCTGCTGCTGAAGAAGCTTCGGTTGAGCAATCCGTGCCTGATGAACCTACCTCCGATCCCCCTGAAGAACCTTCTGCTGAAGTTCCAGCTGAGGAGTCATCGACCAAGGAGGTAGCTGTCGAAGAGCCACCAGCGGATGAACCGAGCCCCGAAAATCCTCCCAATCCCGAGGAGACTGCCGCTGAGGCTGTCCCAGCTGAAGAAACGGTGGCTGAGCTATCCACTGAGGAGCCTGTTGCTGAACATCCTGTTCTGGAAGAACCAATTGCGGATGTTCCGGAGCCTCAGGCAGAGGCGCCCGGAGCAGCTCAGGAAGAACCAGCACCGGTTGAAGAACCAGCACCAGTAGAGGAACAAATTGAACCTCCTACAGACGAACCGGAGCCCTCTGCTCCTTCTCCTGTGCCAACGGAGGCTGCTGAAAGTGCACCACAAGAAGAGGTTGCTCCAGCACCGGCTCCTGCAGAGGAAGCTCCACCTGAACCAGAACCGGCTGAAGAGGCTCCTATTGTCGAGTCTGCTCACCCCGATGAGGTTGTTCCTGAAGCTACGGAGGCTCCTGCTTCTGAGCCAGCTCCTGCGGACCCTTCTCCTGCTGAGCCAGCCGCAGAAGAGCCTACGCCCGGGGATGCCCCTGCCCCTGAGGTTTCAGTGGCTGAAGAGGCTCCAGTTGAACCGACTCCTGAACTGGCCCCCGCGGAAGAGCCAGTTGAGGAGATTGTGCCGGAGTCAGAACAGACGAAAGAGTTGCCGGCAGAAGAGGCGCCTGCTGAGCCCGAGCCTGTGCCGACCTCTGCAGCCACCGAGCCGCTAGTGGAACCACCTGTTGAGGAGTCCCTTCAAGAACCAAGCGAAGCCACTGCTGGTCCAGCAGCTCCTGCCGAGGAAGCCACGCCAGAAGACGGTCCTCCTGTAGAGACCGTGCCAGAGGAGGCTGAAGAAGTCCCGTTTGCAGAAGCATCAGAGCTGCCAGTCGGAGATTCAGCAGCCAGGCACAATTCTCGTCGGCGCAAGAAGCGTCCGATGAACGAACGTGAGCGACGAAACTCCAAAACTTCCTCGGAAGGGCAGAAGAAGGAGCAGCTTAAGCGTCAGAAGAGCGAGCGCGGTTTGTTTACCAACCGTTGGGCAAAGGCTCTCGAAGAAGCCCGCAAACAACACGAGGGGAAGAAGAGGGCTGAAGCAAAGCAGCAGGCCATAGCGGAAGACAAGGAGCGCAGCGGGGTTGCCCCATCGGAAAAGTCTGTCAAGTCCAAGAGTTCCTCCTCAAAGGAGAAGCTTGAGGTCTCAAAGGAGAAAGAACAGCCAGTTGTTGCTGTTGAAGTGGAGCCTAAACCGAAGACCAAGCGTCGCTCGTCCGAAGCAGAGCAAAGCAAATCGGTCAAGACTTCCTCGTCCTCGAAGCAGGCATCGACCTCTGCGCCTAAGCCCCGGGCCTTCTTGCGATACATGAGCAATGCTCCTGCGACCAACACCAATGGACTCATCGTGCGACCCAATGGAACTTCCAAGTCTGCAGCCCCAGCAGCTGACAACTCCCGCCGGGCCTCCACGAGTCAAAGCCACAGCAGTGCCAACCAAGAGCGTTCTTCAAACGAGGAGAAGCGGTCGAGTGGACAGTCTGAGAAACCTCACTCCCGACGCGAGGACGACCCTGCTCGTCAGGAGCGGAAGAGTCGACGACGCAGCTCCGTTGAAGCCGAGGTCAGCAAGCCCCGAGATCGAGAAAAGAAATCCGAGGGCTCTCGTCGCCCACACCAGAGCAGCAAGGACAAGGAGGTTCGTGCTCATCGCCGGCATAAGCGTGATGAATCTCCCCCTCGAGAGCAGTCTAAGCTGAAGGGTTTCTTGAGAGCTATCGCCGCCCATTAAACCAATTGAGATCAGTCTCGTACTGTGTGAAGTGAATTTGTTTGTGAGATTTGATGTTGGATGATGATTTGTGATGAAATTCTTGAGAAATATGTTATCAGATGTATGATGTTATGGTTGCATGGAGGAGCGAGCATTGCCGGAGTACTGTCTTTTCTTGTTGTGATGAGACTGGGCTCTATCATCCAGACTGTTAATTAAATGTAGCCATTATATTTGCTTCCATGTTTTTACTATCAAATCTGGAAAGAGTCAGCTTCTACTGGCCCACAATCATTGGTTATACTTAGTGATTTTGGCTATAATTCAGTCAAGTATGCTGAAGTAAACACTTTCGACAATGCACATTCATTCGTTGACCACGCATGCAGACACAATGCCCGTATATACACTGGTCGCTATCGAAATCTGGAGTATGCAAGTCGCCCACAATGCAATGAACCAAAGAGATACACACGATGCAGGCTATATACCTAGCTCATTGACACCATTAACGAGGCACAATCTCATTCTTCGCCGGAATAACCCTCGAACACCATCCACACCACGCTCGATGTAAACCACTCTCTTCACGCACGAGATATCTTCCCGACTCCCGCTCATGCTCATACTCCACTACACAAGCACCCACCATAACTCGTTTCTTGGCCTTGTGTTTCATCAGCCCACCCAAACCAATGATCTCCTGACGGAAGTACCCCGGTTCCTCGTCGTCATGACTATCTGTCGAGACCAGCTCGTGATGATACGACAGGTGGCTGGGAGGGCTGTGGCCAGGACTGCTAGTATCACTGGACCCTTCGTCCGCTTCGCAGTCGACCTCTAGTTCGATCTCTTGCGCGGCAAGACATGCCTCACCACGACCACATTTCACGCCCTGGCTGCCCTCGCCGATGCCGGTGCCAAGCCCACCACCGAGATATGTGCTGTATCGCGTACGCCAGGCCCAAACGCGGCGGTATGTGGTGTCGTTGCTGCGCAAGGTCTGCCCGCATTGTTGACACAGCCATAGGGCATCGTTGCAGTTGCATATTCCAGCGCTGCGTGCAATTTCCTCTGCCACGGTGTCCCCGCTGCCTGTGTCGAGAGAGTTCATATCGTGCGGTGTATTGGAGAGATGGCAGGAGAGCGGTGCTTTGCCGCAGGGTCGGCAGAGACGACGGATGCGACCCTTCATGGCGGTCTGGGGAGGGGGTTTAATCGTGCAATTCTGTAGCGAGTCAGTCATGGTTTGCGTTCACGTGTAGGGTCGCTCTTGGGAAGATCATACCCGGCACACGACCTTGCTGCAGCGTCGACACTCGCCAACCATGTCGCGCGCGCATCTGCCCACTTTCCCACGTGTCATACGCCCTGGCCCACCACTGCTCTGGCTCAGCAGCTGTAGCACCGACTTGACACTGTCCGGAATTATAGCACTGCCGTCCAGCATATCCGCCACAGTCTCGATATACTCATTCTCACAGCGCAGAGTCTCCCGAACGAGCTGATGCCGGAACGGCGCCAGGTTGACGTGGAATTGGCGGCATGTTCGAGATAAAGCGTGGAGGGTATTCAGATCGACGGCTCGTGCAATTTCCTTGACAATGCTAAAGAGCCACCCAGAAGGTGTCGGTATTAGAGAGGGTTTGCGTGGGGAAGAGCGGTCGCGCTAGGGATCCACATACGGGTAGCAGGTCAACGCGGCCGAGAACGCATTCCTATTAGGATTCTCGACGTCGGATGCTTTGTTCTCCGCATCGCGGTCGTCATCGGACGAGGTTGGGGAGGGTAAGAGTTCAGACGACTCCGCGGTTGGAATGGGTGCGACCGTCAGTTTAGCAGGGAATGGCTTCTCCAAAGAGAGCGCCGAGCCGTGATGATCATGCTCGGAGAAGGAGTCATCGCGATCTAAGTCGACAAATACCACCATGCTGTTACTGCCATCGGAGGCTTGCCGCAGGATCAGATGAATCAGCACATCAGATAAGATGAATGATCTTTGATCTCCGTCCCGGGAGAGGGCGTTTTATAGGTCCCGGTGGGCTTAGACTTGGGAGGAAATGTGGTTCTGTTGCTGGGCGGCAGTCGCGTTCCGAGTCGGATGATGTGCGACTTTGAGGGATTTGATTCTCCGTTCTTCGGAATGACAAACGAATGGGACAGACTCCCTGGGGGAGAATGTAAAAGGGGTGAAAGCGAGGAAGTAGTAGAAGTTGAGGAGATTGAAAGTGAACGATCGGGCTGAGCGATGATAACATTGCCCATTCCCCAGTTGCCCCTCTTTTCCCTCTCCTGCCCAGATTTGCCGCGATACGATTATTACGCTGTTTATACAAAGGCACCGACACTTTGGCCGCTTGACGTGTGTGAAGTATACCAAGAAAATAAATTATTGAATTCTTTGGATCTATTCTTTGTTTTCACGATGAAGACCAATTTGTGAGACACCGGCAACAGCATACAGATACATCGATGCCCAGTCACGCCTCCTAGATGGACGGATAAGCTTTTTGGAAATTCGCAAGGAAGTGTGCTTTAGAGTCTTACGAAAACGATATATGAGTTGACTTTCTACTCAAGCCTTAGCGTCGCTTAGAAAGAGAGTGTGTGTGTAGGCTGCTAGGAGTATACGTAGACCTCGGCGATACTAGCAGGAAGAGGATTGTAAATACCGTCTAGCGATCTAAAAGAGAGTGACCAGAACACATATCAGTTAATACTGAACATTTGTTATCTATAACATTAAGTAATTTGTTGGTATGAAGACTGTCTACGCGTTCATATAAGTTGTTTCCAATCTAGAGGGATGCTCAGCACCTTGTGATGCAATTCAGAGATTCCTCACATTCTACTCAACCTCCACCTATTAAAGAACGATTGAAGCTTATACAACACTTTCAAGGACCATATAAAAAGCATATTTCTAATCAACTATTGAAGGAAAGAAATAATGTTCAAATCACAAAGTTTCGAAAACAGCAACCGCAGCCTTGGCAGTTGACGAAGCGCTGGCTGGGTTCTGGCCTGTTACCAGGCGGCCATCAATGACGTGGAAGTCATCCCAAATGCCAGTAGAGCGCTCATCTAGGATTGAAATTAGCCCTGAAAACTCAAAAGACTCATATCTTCTCGGATTAAGAAGAACTCACAAGTAGCGCCAAGGCGTGTGGCAAGCTCCTCGACCATCTCAGAATTCCAACTCCGAAGTTCAGCCATAATCCCCATAGTGTTCTCAGCTTCAGTAGTAAATCCAGTAAGCTTTCTGCCCTTGATAATAGGCTCGCCAGTTGCTCTGTCAAGGATATTGGCAAAGATGGCAGGGCCGTGGCAGACCGAGGCAACAACACCACCGTTCGCCCAGACTTCCTCGGCGATCTTCTGCAAAGAGGATGCAGTGGGATAGTCAATCAGAGCGGCGTGGCCAGCAGATGCGTAGAAAAGACCGTACTGCGACTTATCCAGGTCGGCAGCCTTGTGTAGGTTGTCCAGCTTTCGGCGGAAGTCGCTGTTGGGATCGTTCCAGATCTGGAGATCATCGCCATTGAGGAAATCTGGCTGCTGCGAGAGCCAGTCAGGAGTGTATTCTCCAGTTTCGGAAGCAAGGTCAACTTCAAAGCCCGCAGCAGTGAGAACTTTGAATGGGTGTAGAGCTTCACTGATGAAGAGTCCGGTCGTCTCTTTTCCTTGGAAGAGCGAGGCGTGGGCCGAAGTGATGCTGATAAGTGCCTTGCGAGCGGGAGACATTTTGGTTCTTGAAAAGAAGTTGTGAAAAGAAGTTGAAATGGTTGGGATGTTCTTGTAGTCAAGAGAAAGTGTGATGCGATGTGAATGAGAATCGAAAGAGCGCAGATTCCATGCCAATTTATATGTTGTCTTGTCTATAGTTGGGGCGTTAGGGTCGACTCCGTAACTCCGCGACTCCGTCGCTGCACTCCGTCACCCCGCAACTCCGCAGCTCCGGCATGACTACATCCAGTTAACCCAAAGAGGCTCTTATCACTAAGTCGGCAAATAGGGTCCGGAAAAAAACATATCACGATAATATATGACGCGTTAGATTATTTGACTGCGTATCAAGATCGTGTCTGCTTGGGGACTGTGCCCTCCTACCGGATAGCTCCGTGAAGAAAGAATAGGCAAGTCAAGTGAAAAAGAGAATCGTTATCTTTACGACTAATTCGCGAATGAATAATAGTAATTTTCCTAATCATGTACCGTTCTTGTGTGTTGATGTTTGGTAAAATATATGCCTTGGTATATACATCCAGTAAAGCTAGGTATCCTTCCACTGGGAATGGAGAGCAAATGGCTCTCAAGTTGAGGCAATTGGCTTCTTCTGAAGAATCTGCTCGAACACCTGCAGCGCTGTCTCGGGTTCTACATCAATTAGCATTCGTTCGAAATACAATTTGAAGAAGGGACTCACGGTAGTAAGGAACCTCATGTCCAGCCCCGTACACCCTCAAAAATGAAAAATTGTCCACATTCTTGAACATGCCCTTTTCGGTGCCATTGACGGTGTATGGTGCCAGGTCCTTTGCGCTAAAGTCTGCATGTCCTGAAAAGTCCACTGCATTGGCTACTCCGTAGTTGCCGAGCCAGTTGCAGATCCAGTCGGCGTCACCTGCCCAGACTAGCACGTTGATGCCGGACTGGACCACGCTGGAGAGTGTAGAGAGGAAAGATCGAGGGTCTAACATGTCAGTTCCTGCATTAAGATAACCAGGTAAAGGCTTGCACTTACTATCACCAGTAGACGCAAACTTATTGTACGGCCCGTTCGGACATTCCTGGTAGCTGGACTGCGCCCCAATGGCCTTTACAACGTTGGGATCGGAGAGATAAGTCGAGTATGTCGAAGGTGGATATGGATCATTCGATGGCTCCCGGATATCATAGACGTCGAAGTCGCCCGAGCTACTAATCGGTCCCTCGATGTTATTAGAGCAGACACTATCGGCATTCTGGCAGTCGGAGTTGCTTCCTGATTGCGCGCACTGTTGGATAGCAGGAAGACATTGGTCATTGTAGGCGCTCAGGAAGCTCGTGCGTTGGGAGTCGTCGATGAGCTGCTTATACGTGTTGTTGTAACTAAAATCGATATAAGCCTTTTCTTGAATTGCAGAGTCGATCCAACCGTTGTTAACACCAAGGGCGATCAGGTTGACGTTTTGGCCTGAGACGGATCCAGCCTTGATAGCAGCATTTTGCTCCTGGATGTACGCGGCGAATTCAGGGCCATAGTGTCCACCATATGACTGAATCATTAGTGAGTGCTGGTAGGCTTGGAAAGATGACTTACCTCGGTGAAGATGGCGAAATCACGGCTTTCGTACTCTGGAAACTGTGCATAGAACGCCTGCAGCAGCTTCCAGACGTACGGCGCAGCAGTGACCGTGCTGGTCACATCGTCCGTACCGTAAGAGAAACCAACACCGATGGGCTGGTCAACATATAGCATGTTGGCGTAGTTATTCCAGCTGTATTCATTCAGCGAGGGGGTGCTGTCCCCGTTAACGAAGTGACAAGGGCCGTTTTCTTGGAATAGACCGATCATGGACGAGCATCCAGGACCGCCGTTGAACCAGGCAGCCAGAGGAGCTTGTGAGGGATTGTTCCGCGCCTCAAAAAACCTATGACTGCTTAGACAAAAGCCATCAACTGATACATCGCGACACCTACCAGAACCACATGTTCATGTTGTTCCCGACTGAGAGATAGCCCGAGTACTGATTAACCCCGGGGGTTGTTTCGCAGATGCCGGAGTTCTTGACAAACTCCATCTTCGCACCGGTCGCGGCATGCTCAAAGACGGTATATGTGACGCCATTCTTCACGACAGAGGAGACGCTGTCTTTGGCCGTGTTTGCAGGGGCAGCTGTACTCCCTGCTGCCAGTAGAGGTAGTAGCCACTTTTGATGCCGCATTGTTACTCTAACGGAGACTATTATTGAAAAAGGAGGTTTGATTCATTCCGGCCATCGTCGGGAATTGCTCAGCTAAATACTTCCAGGTAATATGAAACAAAATTGCATGAAGAAACATCCTAGAAATACGAGTCTGATGACTCGCTACTCTATGGTACCGTCGGAATACGACGGTGTTATCGATCGGCCGGTATCATGTAAATCTTCTACCAGATCAAGACAGTATTCCGGAAGGAAATTCGACAGGAAAGTCCAAGCTTTGATCAATAGATCTTGGCGATCGGCAGCCAAGACCGGAGTCCCGGTGGATAGGTGACGGCTGCCAATAAACTTTACCGATCATGGTTACATCTGGCTTTATTTGTGGCGCATCCTTAAAGATATGCATGATGAGGGGAAGACAGATGAGGGAATAGATCGGGGTGGGGGACGACGTGATAATCTCCATTGATGGGTTCATTGTTAGCCAGAATTAGGCTGCCGAATTTATTAACAACGGCGAGAACTTGAGACATACTTGATTGAACTTTACAACCACAAACGAGAAGAACAAGAGAAGACCCTAGACTGGTGATTTAAACGCGCTAATGGAACAATCCACACTAATAATAATCAACTAGAAGATAACTCTCAAGGACCCTCTGTCAGAACGTTCATTTTGGCGGGAATCTTTCTTTATGGACGACTTAAATATGGCTAAAACGCCTAAACTATTCGTCGCTCATATTTCCGATTGGACTTGTAATGATTGATCAAGATCTGGAAATAGCGTGTCAACATCATTCCAGAAATCGATATCGACGGCCATATCAAACAGGTTGAATAGCGGTGCATCAAAACGATCCTGCGATGGTAGGACCAGGTCAACTGGCGCCGAGTATAGGGAATTGGCTTCCAAATCTTCAGGGAATATAGCAGAGTTTTGCTCAGACTCGATGGGCTTTAGTAGAACCTCAAGATTGGCAGATAAATCACGAGTGATTTGCGCTGCGTTTGCTGCGACTGAAAACTTGGCACCAAAGTTATCGAAAACCGAGATAGCTAGTTCAATCGCATGCTTGGCCTGGTTAGATAATGTTGAAGATGGAAACAAAATTATATATCCAATAAGAGTCATAACTGCATTCCATTGGCAAAAGAAGGCCTCGTGCCACCCGTCCAGAAGAGATGACTCCGTCAGCGCGTGATGCGTGATCATTGTCAACGTTATTGCATGAGAAGCGCATCTCATGGCGAGTTCTTCCGCTATTGAATCAATAGGCGGTTTCAAGCTGAAGGAGATAAATGGTCGATAGAGATTCACGCTGAGGTGATGATATGTATGTTCGAGGAGCAGGCGTTGTCGCTGCAGCCACGGTGGTGTGAACGGCTCAAGTAGAATGGAGGTAAAATCCGTGGATAGGGGTTGGCCACCGTTTTGACGCTTCATTTTCAGAGATTCCGGGACACCTTCAACCCATTCGTAGAGGCTCTGGGTATGTGCTCTTAGAACCTCCGCACTGGAGTTTTGGGCTTCGTGGTTAGCCCATAAAACCTGTCCTTCTCGCAGAAGACTGTCCTGATCAAAGAAAGCTGTATAAGCTGTGCGGACGTTTCTGTAGAGCTGGACTGTGTGTAGATTATAGCTGAGCCATGTAGCATTAGGTCCGATAGGGGCAAACATGGATCCAGAACTCGCAGCAGCCTCAAGGGTGTCACTTGGGAGGGATGGCATAGCGTGTGAGCTAGACAACATGAAGGGGCGACCAAGCTTCATTCCCGCTTTACTGTCCAGGAGATAGACTGCCCACCACAGGCGCCTGCGCAATTCACGGTCTTTTTCGGGCAGGGTTGGCGAGGGATCCAGGTGTAGACCAAGCATATAAGCAGTACGTACAGCTAGGCCCATGATACTGTCCATCATATTGTGGAAAGACCCGCCACATGTGTAGACTACACAGAGCAAATGGCATTGAAGGGTTGATAATGATGGGCTGTCAAGCTCGTACGTAAGCAACTTTTGCCCACGCCAGTAGTGCCATCGACCCGCAACTAGAGCGTCTTTGCCCTCAACAAGAATCCCTTGAGTCTCGGAAGGCATTGCCGAGGTCGCATATTGCATGCAAATGGCGATTATAACATCGACTAGGGCCGAAGGCTTCCGGTCCTGGCCGCCATTCACCATGAGAGACTGATAGTGCTTCTTGAACTGTGTCTCATCCACGATCGGGTAAAGGGAAGTATGGAAGGTCTGCCAGAAAAGATTGATGAAATATTCCTCTTGTATGAGACTCAGGTAAATCCCCGTAGTGGGAACTTCTCCCGCAGGAGGGGCCCAAGAATGGCTGATGTGTCCATGTAGGCCCGGTTCTGGTTCGTTCAGTAGTTTGTGATCGCTGGCTGATACAGGATGCAAACGATGGATAGTGTGTTCTTTTTGCAGTTTAATATTGAGAAAGTCGCCAAGACGTTGGATGAATGCGTAAAGGGATGAGGGCCCGAACCAGGTGTCGTTAGAGGAACGTGTAGGTCGAAACTGAATTCCACCACAGTACCTTTTCAAACCGGGCTCGGGGGCTCCTCCTGTAGATACAGGAGCAGAATACAGTGACGGTGACGACCCTATAGGACTCGGTAGATTGTGATGGTTGGAAGCCTGTCGCTTGAGTTCTGTTTCTAATTGCTGGATTTTTCGCTTAAGGCTTGCAATTTCCTCGGAGGCTTCGGTGAGAGTTGAGGCCTTGGGCGCACCACTATTACTACAGCGGTATCCACGTGCTATGCACTTTGAACATGGTACGCCATTGTCGCACTTAGTGCGGCGAAGACGACAAGCATCACACGCTCTGGCTACTTGCACCCGCCTCTGGCGACGTCGCGGCTCTTGATGTTCAGTTCCTAACCAGGAACTCTCTGAGTCACCAATCATAAGCACAGCTTCGAAGGAACAGTCGGAAGGAAAAGTACATTCGCTGGTATGTATGCTAGCGATTGTGAAGGGATGGAACAAACAAGACGGCGACTTCCTTCACCCCAGAGCCTTGTCTCCTCACGTGATAATATCATGTGATATATTTTTTGTTTGCTAGCTCCTGTAATAAAGGTTGATCTTATCTGATTAAATTAGGTCTCTTCATTCTACCATCATCCTAGGTCTATGTTTACGTTTAATCTTCCCAATCACCATCAGCATTCATGCATTACTCCGATACCTATGACACATGAGTCAAGTGGGGATATGTCTTATCTCGAGTGCCAGGCTACCAAATGGGGTTTAGTCTATGACCTCGGGGTACAATGGCACAGTATATCAAGAGTTCTTGTATAAGCGAGCTATGACGACTATATTTGTTGGCTTTCTGGCTGATACCATGTCGGTGGAGTCCCTAGTTCCACTCCCGTTGGTCGCTTAAATGGAAGGCGTTAGGTAGCGCGGTAGCGATCGTATTTCGAGCGATAGCAGTGGCGAGGAACATAGTACCTTAGTTCAATGCACCCTCAACAATGATATTCAAATATGCACCTAATTTTTTATCCAAGATTATTGAGAGAGCACGTTGAAAGGCAAGTGTCTCACATCAAGGAGAGCTATTTCCTTTCGTCTTAGTGAATCATAGACAAACTGAAGCAGCTTCTATTCCTAGATAAGCCGATATGATACGCAAAAATGGCCCATCGCAATATGCAGCCACAAACGCAGCCATTCGTATTAATCAGTATTGAACTCTCGGTGCTCCGTGGAGGTATCTCCGTCATGTCGTCATGTAGTATGGTCCTTGAGTCAATAATAATAAGCATTGGATGAAGAAAAGGGAGCTGTCTGGGGAAAGTTCATATTAATGATCAGTCCTAGAGTGCGTCTATCAGAACCTTTCAATAAGATTGAGCACTCGTCTTGCCACTAAAGGCTGGCTGTTAGATTTCTACAAGAACATTGTTTTTATCTCAATATACCATGTTCAGACAAGACACTTGGACCTTTGCTCACACAGTTAGAGTTTTCTTACTATTTTTCTTCATTGCCGCGGTGCTGTTCCGGGCAAATCTCAGTAAGTCTAATTCCGCGAGTGCAATATTTTCAACGGCCGTTGATTTCCCAAGTCATAAAGTCAAAGCATCTCGATGCTCTTGAATGCTCTGCCATCTTAGTCGATATTCGGATTTAAATCGGACCAGTCGCTCCTACTAAAGTTGTGATGGAATGACTCCGGTGATAATCATATCTCCGTTCACTTGATGTTTCCTCTGTTCTTCTGTATACGAGTTTGAACGCCACAGTTCGAACAAGACGTGGAGTGTGACCAATTAAACAACGAATGAATACGAGGACACAGAGTATAAATATGAGATGTTGTCCAGATAAGTAGAGTTGTTCAACGAGCTCGATATTTGACTAGTTCTTCTCCTCACCGTTGAAAATCATTTCATCAACTATGGCTCAGGCTTCAACATCAGCTATTCCCCCCATCCATCGGGTGCTCTTCTTAAACTCAACAAGAGACCCATACGACATCTCAGTTGTCGAGCAGCCCACACCGCAGGCTGTACCAGGCAGTGCAGTCATCCAGATCCTAGGAGCCGCCGTCCTGTCGTACGCCGGAGATATCTTCAGCGGCCGCAAGCCCTATCCATATCCAACACCCTTCGTCCCTGGTTCCTCTGCTATCGGTCGAGTTGCTGGAGTCGGATCCGACGCCACAAAGCTCGAAGTGGGTCAGCTGGTCTATTTCGACTGTTATATTCACGGCCGTGACGATCCAGACTCTTCGATCCTTCATGGCCTATTTTACGGATTCGATCCTAGCAGCAACAAGCTCATGGAAAACGAGTGGAGGAATGGTACATATGCCGAGTACTCTAAAGTGCCGTTGGAGAATTGCTTCCCGTTAGATGAGCAGAGACTCCTCGGTAGCCCTGCCGAAGGGGGCCTTGGCTATAACCTGGCCGACTTGTCATATCTCTCCAAATTGGCGGTCCCCATCGGAGGACTTCGAGTTGTGGACGTCAGAGCCGGTGAAAAAGTCATCATTGCGCCGGCCACTGGGGCCTTTGGCAGTGCGGCTGTAGTCGCCGCATTGGCAATGGGAGCGCAAGTGATCGCCGTGGGACGAAACCTCGATGCACTGGAAAAAGTGAAGTCCCTCGGCCCGGAAGGAAGAGTTAGGACAGTTCAGATCACCGGTGACGTGACTCATGATGTCGGAGAGTTAACCAAGTCCGGTCCTGCCGATGTTTTCTTCGATATATCACCTGAGCAAGCAGCCAAGAGCACACACTTTACGAGCTGCATCCAGGCCTTGGGTCGTGGAGGTCGGGTGAGTCTCATGGGGCCATTCATGGAGTTGTCTTTACCTATCATGGCCATGATGGGAAAGGATATTACTGTCAAATGCAAGTTTATGTACACGAAGGAGGATATAAGATTTATGATTCGGCTAGTTGAGGCTGGTGACTTGAAGCTTGGTCAGGCTGGAGGTGTTCAGGCAGCTGGCCTGTTTCCACTGGAGCAATTTGAGGCTGCCTTTGATACGGCTGCCAAAATGGGTGGTCCGGGTATGCAAACAATTATCGCTCCTTGAATGTGTACCCTAGGTAGGCAGTGATTGAATCTACGCCAATGTAGTATTTATCAAGATATCCAGCTGCTAGGTAGACCCCACAGTGACGACAATATTAGTCCTGTAGAAGAGTAGTTGGTCGAAGCTAAGGCTTATTGTCCTACGTGCCACCTTGAATGAAGCATTTACTCCAGCCTCGCTGTTGACGGGAAAGATATGATATACAATTGGTCTCACGGTGTTTTTCTCACTTGTTTGAGGGCTGTCCAAAAGTAGAGGCACTAGAGACAATCCTTAAGTACTCACCAAGTTATCTGTTTAAATAACAATAAGCCTCAAGGGCCATGTCTACCTTGGGGATGCCAACGAGTCGAGTCAAAATTATTTCTTTCCTTGTCTCATTTCTAGAAGAAACCACAAAAGGCACATCAAGCAATTCTAAACAGTCAAAAATCTCACCATTTACGCTTCGACTCCCCTTGACTGATAAGCCCAGGCACCAGCGAACACCTCCAGCAAACCTAAACGCAAATACTACCCAAGAAGTAAAACTCAACAAGAAAAAAATATCTGGATCAAAAAATCCAAAAGCATAATCGACTTAACATGCATTATCCGAATCGAGCGCCAGCATAATTAGGCAACATTTCAGAAAGCTATGTACTGTACGGAGTACAGTACGTTCCTCCCCGCCCATCCCAAAAGAGCCTCCGCGACAAGACCCACCCCTGATCGACACGGCAGCCCACGGGGACGAAAAACCAGACCAGTCAAACACGACCAGGACAGCGCCGATCGATGCTCGATGCGCGATTTCACGCGGTCCGGCCCTCCACCACGGATCAGGACCTATCACAGTCCTCGATACACGAGCTGTTTCGAGGATGTGATCCAGACACGGGTCAGGTCGCCTAAGGACTTGCCGGTGGCAAGGGTGAAGAATGCACGGAGCAGGCAGAAGGTGTGGGCTGCCTGGTGGAAGATGACCCGCTGGTTTTCAGCCCTAACTCGTTATGAAACAACGAGTACTCCGTATGCATGGTTGCCAAGCCAAGTACAATACTCAGAGAAGAAGCGATGCAGTGACGCACATGACCTGGTATCTTGGTAAGAAATAATGGGTAAGGAGTCGAGGGGGGCAACGGGCAATGGACGGGCGTGAGACGATGACACACAACGCCCGTCCGCACCAGTTACCCAACTCGGATACCAAGGCGATGGTGCAGGTTGAAGGGGAGAAATAGGGAGAAGGTAAGCGTGCAGGTGCAGAGGGCGAGTCAGAGTCTAGGAGAGAGTACGGAGTAAGTTCGATCCGATCCAACCGGTGTTTGAATATTGACTTTGGATGGAGTTGGTAATTCTGGTGGGAGGATTTAGGAGTTAGGAGTTTAGGATACTCGGGCGTCGAGTCGGGTCCACCCTGATGCTTGCAGATGAAATGGACGTGCAGTTAGATTGCGACAATTTGACAACCTACAGTAAGTCAATATCAATTATTTTGTGCCTCATCTGTCTATAGGGCGACGGAATGCGTACCTAGCCACGAGAAGAAACTAGTGTAGCTAGCAGAAGTGTGGAAGCGAATGACTCGCGACTCCATCCTCGTGGGGCAGACTATTCACGCCGTTTCACCCGTTTTTGCCGTTTACGCGATTCATGTCATGGAATATTTCATTATGAATCTAATTTGCCCTTCTCCAAGCCCTCTCCAGAGAGTGGCACCTACTCGTCCCAAGTCGTCCTTCTCCATACCATCACCCCATACATACTTTCAACCAGTCGCCGTGGAAGGTCGGGGCGAGACCCGGTGCGGAGATCGACCGACCAGGACCAGCCGGGGCTTCGGTAAATGAACAAATGAAAGGAGGACGGGGGAGGAGCAGTTTTGGCGAGCGCCTCTTTCTTCGGCCGGTCGGGGTTAAGGAGTCGGGTTTGTACATAGGGACTTACAGTCTTACAGAGGAGTCAGGACGGGGGATATTAGTTCCAGTAATCTTAATTAGCGAGGATGATTTGTGTAATTTCGTCGCATCGTTCGGGAGGGTTCTCGATGACAGGGATGTTTTGGTAGGTAGACCTTTGCTAAGTTTTAAGGGGTCGAGTTACAGTCCAGGCTTCGCTGAGCAGGTCATTGGGTGATTGGTAGATCGGAACCCATCTCCCAGGGGATGGATCATGGAAGGGTTGATTAATATCAGCTTTGGGCCTTGCGCTGTCAGCGTCGGCGTCGGCGTCGCCATTGTCCGTCACGAGTCTTGGGCCAAGTTTACCTCGTCGTTCAAAACAGCAGGCTAGGAGTTCGTTTTGTGGCGGTAGTACTCTTTCGAATACTACCTCGTGGCAACCACGAGCTACGTCAATCCCGAGTTGATTGAATCAAGGCAGGGTAATACTGTATAGTAGTACTCTGGACTCCGTACGTCTCTCCTAAAGCCGAGCAGTAGTTAGTCCATGAGCAAAGGTGAACTACTGCGGTTAGTCAGGCCAGCGTGGAAGTCTATTAGATTACCAAAGTTCCCCAAAGTGACCCAAGACCTGCGTGGCGCGACCGCTTCCAGTCATCACTAGAATCACTGGCAGGGTTCACAAACTCTGATCCCCCTTATTCATGACGCCGTGATGCCGAGATCCGATGGCGAGGTTGTGTACTAAGTGACTGGCGGCATTTGGAATTATCTTTACGGAGGCTGGAGGGGGAAATGAGACGTGGGTAACTCAACTCAGGTGGATTCAGTCATTCACGCGTGAACTCTCCACGATTGCAAATCGTGGCGCGCCCGCCGACCGTGGTGGCATAGGGCGATCTGCCGAACCACGGTTCGTAGTGCGTAGAAGAAGGCACAGCATCAGATGGACGTTAGAGGGAGCTGGAGATCCGAGTCTGGATTGTCCTGATTCAGTTCTTGCTGGATAAATGGGATTCTTGAAGAGGGTTGCTTTTGAATAGGCCTCCAGTTCCAGCCGATCATGGTTGCTGCCAGTTGGTTTGGGTGAGACAAGGTGACGGTGTGCGGCTCTGTGGGTCGGCGCTTCGGAGGAGTTTCCGTCGGAGGACAGTCGCTTAGAGTAAGTATTTGTGTTTGGGTTCAGCGATCAAAGACTACTGGAGACTACTAGGAGATGAATGGAGAAACTTGGGTTCGGATCAGTATCTGTATGTCCATTGGCTTTGAAGTATATGCAGAGTCAAGCGAAAAGTATGTACAGTCGACTGGAGGGTATTCGTATATATCAGAGGTCGAGTGACACATGGCATCAGGGGAGGGTACGACACATATGGGTATACAACACAAAGGAAAGAGAAAGAAAAGAAACAAAGACAAAACATGTCAAAAAACAGAACAAACACAGGAGATGCATGTCCAACATCAAATCATCAACAACAGAGGAGAAATCAACACCAGGAACTCATAAACGCCTGGAATGATCTATCCCATGAACTGAAACAACGCAAACAGAAATCGATAAGAATGAGAAGAGTTTCTCTTCGCGTCTGCGGCTCTCCCTTTGTTTTGGTTATTGTTTCTTTGGTACAATGGCTCTCTAGTGGAGCCGCTTGCCCGAAGCAGACCGTCTCCACTGGAAGTCGCTCCGCGGTCGCGCCTCGCGACGCTTGGGGCCGGTGTTGCCCGATCTGCGAATACCCTGGAGGCCTTTCGGGGTGGAATTTATGCCCCGCTACCCCTGTGGTTTTGTTCAAGGCGGGAAGATGGAGTAGAGGTTGGAGGTGTGGGTGAATCCAGGCTCTGCATGTCGCTTGCAACTTTTTCTTTCTTTGTTGGCGCATTTAGCGAGTCCAGGCTGGGTAGGCCTTTTTTTTTCCTTTTTTTGTGGTTTGCGGGTTAATTAGGGAGGGGCTGCGGCGGGTCGCGGCGCCTCCGGTGGGGGAGCCAGAGGATAAGAGTCATTGTGATGGTGCCTTATGCGACCCATCGACTCGAGACGCAGCTAGCAGCTAGCAGCCAGGAGAGGAGAGAGCTTGGGAGAGAGAGCAAGGAGTCATCAGTTATGAGAATGGAGCGTGGCCCCTGGTCTTCTTGGATGGTGTCTCGATCAAAGATCCAATCAGGCGTGGTCCTTTCACATTGTCCACTGCTTCCAGTTCATGGGCTGGAAGTGGGTCAATGACTGGACATGCTCGTCGTATGGCAAGCAGTCAGCGCTAGACCAGGAGGGAGAAGGGTACTGGCACTGGACTGGCGGCTGGAGTAGGCTCTCCTCCAGCGAGATCGGCACGAGGTGAGAAGGCGGCATGCCCGCGTCGGAGCCGTCCCATCGCAAAGGCGAGTGCATCTGTAGTGGGGGAGGAGGTCACGTCGGCCTTCAAGAGACCCTTGGGGTACTGATCGATGATGGAGGTGCCGGCTGAAGAGATCGAGGAGATAGAGCTAGAGTGAGGAGGCATGGAGAAGGCAACGTCCGATAGAGGGGAGGGACAGGTCTCTGCGGGCGAGGAGTAGAATGGGCTGTCATCTGCGGACTCGGGGAGCTGATTCTGGAACAGGTTGGCCGCTGGGCGCGGCTGGAGAGGCAGGTCCATGCCGTTCCACATCAGCGAGCAGTTGTTGGCCAGGTCCGGGTGAATTCCAGGAGCCACGATTGAGCCGATAGACATCGAGTGCGACTGCTGGGAGGCACCAGCCAGCATACTTCCGCCGTCCATGGGCATGCAGCGTGGGACAGAAGTCGAGTCGTTCACAAGGGGAGTTGAGGTCTGGGGAGTCCATTGGGTTGGTTCAGGCTGCGATTCGAGTTCACTATTGCGTGATAGTCGTTAGCTCTTTCGGTCTTTTCAGTCGCAATTGGGGAGACTCCAACTCACTGTCTTTCCATGTGGCGTGCAAGCAGATCTGGCCGGTGGAAGGCCTTCCTGCAGCCATGGTGTGTACACCGGTAGGAAGCCTCTGGATTATGGTTCAATTCGTGACGTCTCCGGTGCTCGGCGCGGGTGAAGACCTAGGTTACGGATTTGGAGTCAGCTTTATTGCGCATAAACTAATATCAACGAGCGCATACCTTGTTGCAACCGGGATACTCGCAAGCATGTACGCGCTTGCCCTTCTTTGCCTTGCTAATTCGGTGGGTGGTGGGGGTGTATGTGACAGGCAACGGAAGCTCTGTCTGAGGGCTGTAGCGCATAGTGTTCTTGCGGCCCACCATGGTGGATGATGAGACGAGATGAGGTTCGGGAGAAGGCGAGGCCGAGGTGGCAGGGCTGTTCAAGACAGCGATGATTTGGTTCGAAGATCGAGAGGCGTTGTTGGAAATGTTCTTGCGCTCCTGTGAGGATCCTCGGGCCATCCTGTGGAGGAAAGGATGGGGAGGGAGTCGAGGACGAAGGGGGAGGAAGACAAGCTATATAGAATTGGAGGCTCGGGTGTGAGTGATGTAATTGAAGAAGGGCGTTGAAGAAATGCGAACGCTGCAGAGGATGGCTGAAACTGAAACTGCAGAAGAGGGTGAAGAAGAGCGGAGGAAGAGTGGACTGATATAGAGGCACGCTGATAGCACTAACAAGGCTGTTCCTACAGATCTCCTGGCGGATTATTAGACTTCCCAAATGAAAATCCAGCTGGGAAAATAAAAAATAAAAAATAAAATAAAATAAAATAAAATCAAAGCAAATCCAACAATGATAGTAATTAAAATCCGAGCTAAATTCCCACGGTTCCAAAAATACCCATAAACGGGATGTTTCCCTAACCTTAGATCCGAGAGGGAACCAAGCACGGGCGTGGAGGCGATGATCGCTCGGGAAGATCAAGTGTGTAGTATAAGCCCCTCCTAAAATTATCAAATTCAGAAAACGGAACATTAATTCTCGTATAATAAAATATTCGAAATTAAAAAATGATTAAATGACACCACGTTTTGTTCGACCAGGGGGCGCACCAGCCCGACCATCCTTGCCAAGGCGGGTTAGCGGCGCGAGCGGACAAATTGGGACGATGGCGGAATGGACGGTTGGCTCAGGCTTCAAAGTTCAGGGTTGTGCGGCTGAGGCGTGCAGCGGCAGGGGAAACGAGGAGAGCGGAGGATGGGTAATGATAATCAGACAGAAGGGGAGAATGATCAAATCATCATCATGATGATACCGATTCGATTGGAATATTATACTACATACATGCATACTCGAGTACTCGAACATTGGTATACTTCCCAGCAAGCAATAACCGCTCAAGAAACGGAGATCCATCCCTCCCACTGGCCAGATTGGGCATGTCGACGGATTTCCCATTTAGTTAAGAGGGCAATCGAGTTCTGGCCAAACAAAAAAACTGGCACCACCGCCTGAGGGACTCTCGGTGACCCTCACGGGGGAGACCCAGAGGAGGCCCACTGGGAAAACAGAGGGTGGTCAAGGTGCTAAGGAGACTAAATGCTTAGTGCACTTTAGTCTACCCCTGCGAATTGGCATCAATGAGCATTGTGTTGGTTGAGATAGCGTCGTGAGTGGATGGAGGACTGGAAGGCTCGCTACCGATGCACTGGGGATGCATGCGCCAGGATTTCTTCTCTGGTCGGAGGGTCAATCAATGTTGGCTGTGTTGTTGGGTGGTATTTTTCCATGTGTCGTGCAGGTTTGTCTACAAAAATATATGGGATTGATAGTACCAAAAAAACTACATCCTTGCGATCATTGGGTACTATCGTATAGAATGACTATCGCGGCCATATGTCGGGTGTATGGTGGTGGTGGCCCACCATACGCCCATCTTTCCGACCCCCCTCCAAAACTCCAGATTTCAATTCCAAATTGCGTGGATCTCGAGCAGCTCGTCCAAGCTCCCACGGAAGACAACGGGTTTGCCCCACTGCGCTGGGGAGTGGAGCCGCGCCCCGTCAACCAGCCAGAGGCCAGTAAACGGGGGCTAGGACAGGGTTCATCCAGGTTGGGCTCTCGCAGGATCGCACTTTAAGCCCGTTTTGGTGAGCTGGTGACTCGCTTGGGGGGCCCGACCATTGGCTACCGATGTCATCGACTTATCACCGTGTAGTACGCCTTGTGTCCTCCATACTGGAGAGAAGTACTATCCCCCCCTGAGGCTGATTCGAATATCCTGCGTGTCAGACTGTACGCAAAACAATTGTCAGAACACTCTTCTTTATTCTTCCTTCCGTTCCACATTGAGATACTATGCATTTATCTTGCATGATTCCTCCTCAGAGGTCAGTTGTGAACAGCCTGCTTGAGATCCCGACCGAGCAAACAGATAGTACTTCGTCTATAATTCAAATTCAATAATACCATGAAAGACCCTTATTACTACTCATCCATCTAGATCTCACAGATGAATATCGGAAGATCGTAGTGGATCTTCTTCGATCCAAGGCACTCAGGAATCCAAAAAGAGAGCCTTCATGACGGGCACTCCAGAAGTCAAGAATCAGCCTAGTGGGTCTGCCGAGTACGCCTTAGGAGGAATGAAGGAATGGGGGAATTTGGGACGTGAGCTTAGGGCTTGGCGGGCAGTTCAGCAGTTCCCTGGCGTGTTTCAGGCTTGCAGATCCGTTACTACATGGGGTCAAAATTGGATAAAAAGAATAAACCTGCCCACGATCTCCCTTACCCACATCGAAAAGGCCCCCGACCTGAAAAGGCCCCAAACAAGCACTCTGTTCCCGACGTCACAAAGATCTGGATCTTCGAGATATGCCTTGACCCGGGCCTTGACATGATCTGCGATGGGAGCCTCGCACGGGAAGGATGGGGGTTCGTTGAGATGAAAATAGAAAGCGGGAAAGGCACTGCCCTAAACTGTAATTCCTTCACGTTGTTTGGTTCTGCATGCAATGAAGAATGCTTCGCCATGTTTATTCTTTGATCGGTGCAAGACCCTGTGCACGTACTCTATAGTCTAACTCGACCGACCGCGGCCCACACATATGTTCGATAGGTGTATCTCTCTACTAATGTACACTATTATACTATAGCACTACTATACTGTACAATCAAATGCCCAGTTCATCTCTTACGCTCTACTGTAAAGCCATGACTAAGAAAGCCAACTCCATCGCTGGCCCCCGCCTACCGTAGAATGCTGTACCCCATGTCGCGTGATATACCTCATACCTTGGTATCCCAACACGCTGACTAGCTGCGCATAAGCTGGGTCATCCTCGTGACAAGTGGCATGGGTTCCCTTGCTTCAGCCAGGGGTAACCGTCCGATCTGGACCGTCTAACAAGAGAAGCTGGCAGGGTGTCCTGTTGCAGGTGGCTTACAGCTTATTCGAGGGCAGCATCGGAGTTCGCTCCGGGTTAAGCTGTGTCAAGCCATTCCCAAAGAAAATCTTCAAGTTGCAACTACTTGGATCCGTTGGTCGGCCCCGAATATGCGAAAAATAGATCTATTGGGGCCGTGAAGAGGGGACGATATGAATTGAAGACCTGTTTGGTGATGGTGATAGTGACGGTGTATTGGGGGTTGAATTTGGGTCTGGTTCCATGCAGGGGCATGCCATCAGCACGCAAGACATACTACATGAAGAAGTGGTGCCTTTTCTTGAATTATTCATTACTTTTTTATACATTATTATTCATAGGTAAGGTTGTGGTAGGCGGGTCAGGTACATTGTAAAGACTGCTTGGCAGGGCAGTGTATATATCTCCGCGAGAGAAACCAATCAGGCGCCGAGAAATCTCGAAATCAGTTATCGAATCTGGACATGGCGTAGACAAGGCTGAATCTTTGCTTTTTATTTCGTCCCCTTTCTCTTACGCTAGCTCCTCTTCCTGGGGCCATATGCTGAAGAGAGACAGGACACCACTACCTACAGCGCGGAGCCGAGTATATCCCACCGGATATCGGTGTACTTGCCTAGCAAGCTCATCCATGACTGGTCGAGACGCCAACTTGACAGATCGCCCAGTCTAGTTCACGATGGGTGTCATAGCGGCACGAACGGGATTTTCTCTTCCCGCAATATAGCACAGCCATGCTCAGATTAGATCGGAGCATGGGGGATAGCTCCAGTGCTAGGTGTTTGATCGCCAGCTTCCCGTTGACAAGCCTCCCACTTTCCGAAGTAGTAGTGGGGAAATCCAAGTTAGTGCTAGTGTACTCATGGGTTTCCCCATCCGGGTCTCCTCGTGGCGGCTGGCGAGCGATTTACATTGTCCGCTCAGACAAATCACCATGCTCCGCCCCGCTATGATCGCAGTCTAATCTGTTAAAGGTCTTAGTGTGCCGCCAGTCGGCCTTATTCGGGGCTTAGGGTGAATTAACCCGCTTTTTTGTTTCCTGCATTACACTAAGGTTGTATCTGGGTTAGGGCTGAATTAGGACGGGTTAGTGCCTGGGCAGGGTTAATTAACTGGCCAACTCGTGGATGGCTGGTAATTTTCCTTGCTTGGGACGGTGGTTCGCGCCAAATAATCCTTCGTACTTTTGCTCTGACAAGCGGAGGTCTGCTCTTCACGTGGTGTCACGGTGAGGGGGGTTCAATCCTTCGAGCTGGTTTTGTATGCGGCATGCGGATCATGACGATGACGATGGATTAGAGAGTATACATATCGTCCTCTGTCCTATTGTCTGGTAGGGAAGAGAGTGCTACTGAATCATCCCGCTCCACGGACCAGGAACCAGGGACCAAAACTATGGGAGTTGGCGACCGGGCCACTTTCTATGACGATGGGAATTCCTCGGAGATTCCGCAAATACCTGATTTCTTTTGTCATTCGAATTTTAGTTGATTTTCTTGTGCGCCAGGTTTGCCCACCTTCGAAAGTATGAAGTCCGTGGGCCCCTTCATCTCCCACTTTCAGATGTCATGCACGACAGAAAGGGCCCCATTGTACCCAGCTTGGAGATTTACAGACCATCTGACAGTTTTCCAGCTAACGATTGACTGCGCAATATCATTCAGAGCCAATGATGTGTGACAGAAGACAAATAGCCGTTGTCGCGATGTCGGGCCTGAAGACGATAAGTGCTGACCTACTTGATCCTAGGTGTCCCCAAATCGTCATTGGCCCCCCATGGCTTTGGTAGCTCCGCAGAAGGGTTTAGTCTATCACGAAGTCGCCAGTCACGATGCGCGATTCAATGTTGGTTCTTTTTTTAGGGTTGCTGGCAATTCTGGGGCCGTCGGGGAAGGCTTTTGGGGCTTGGAGGCTTGGAGGGGGCCTTTTGGTGGTCCATGGAGGGCTGGAATTAACGGATAGGACTGGCTGGCGAGTGAGATAGTGAGATGCGAGGTCTTCAAGGAACAGTACAGAGTAGCTTCCAAGATAATAAAAATCTTGGTTGTCTGTTAGGTTGCAGCCGTTGGTAAGATTGTCCGAGAGTAACTGTACTT